GAAAATCGCTTGATCTTAGCAGATTACAGTTGCATATGATTTGTAGCACAGCGCACCTACTCGTGATCTGGTGATATTGTATAGTTAACCTCGGTTATTTGGTATCTGTTCGTTAGAAAAGACTTGATCCGTTGCAATAGGGGGCTTATAATTCCAATTGACTCAAGTCTGTTGATTAGAAGATTAGGAGGTACTTTATTAAAGGCTTTCTTGATTTCAAAATATAGTATAACTAATTTCTTCTTGTCACGTATGCGAGTAACCTCGTTAAAGTAGTCTATCAGACATGTACTGCACGACCTTGTTCTAATGAAGCCATGTTGGGATGGGTCCATTAGATCTTCCTTAAGTAGGTGATCAGATAGTTGATTTTGTATCACTTTTTCCATGATGCGTGATATAACTGGACTTATAAGTCTGGAGTTTCCGACCGGGTTTCTCTGTCCTGATTTGTGTTTAAGGAGAACATACGTTACCTTCCAGGTTTCCAGATATGTACCTGTCTCTAAAGATAATGTGTATATGTTGAGTAAAAGCATCTGTATGTCCGGTCCTGACATTTTATAGAGGATTGAAGGTATGTCATCGGCACCAGAACTCGCAGTTGGTTTAAGTGTTTTAATGGCGGTATGTATACTCCTAATGTCGGTGTTTATGGTACTACGATAATTTTTGCTGATGCACTTTATGTTCATATCTGGGGCATGAGATGTATTCTCATTGTGGGAAAACCATTCACCTAATGGTTCACATATGACGGTTTGGCCTAGCGCCTTCATTTATGGTGTGTCCAGTGAAACCAGTGAGGTCAGCATCAGATATCAGACGCTATGGTGATGGCATCCTCATCTGAACATTCCACTATAAGGTTCTACGATAAATTCATTTCTGCAGGCACTTAGAGGGATTACTCTGCGGCGGACCAAATACATCGACACCGAAAAATGTGACAAATTTATTACACAAGGTGTAGCGGTAATGAATATATATTTACAATTATAAGGCCGAACAAAATATATTGGGCGTTTCTTATATTTTTAGTAGCAAACGTGTTCGAGTTTTTGGTTGCGTAATACACAATTATAGGAAGTAGTCAATAGTTCCAAGTATGATAGATATAGTCCAAGGTAATTTGTATCCAAAATAATCGCATAATGAGAATATCACTGTGATTTGTAAACGTGGATGGCAAATATATCAGAGTTCTGCCAACTCAGCAGCTGATAAGTGAGCACGAGAAGTGTGCGCATCAGTGTTTTTATGGGTAATGATCAGTGTTACGCAAACGAAAAACAAGACGGCAAAACAACGCTCAACGTGATGCTCTCACATTCGCTAAGCCTATGCACGTTACCAAGAAATCGGAAGATGGCTCGCGTTACACCAGTTTATAAGGGATGTCGACTCAGAAAACATTCAAGCTACAGGCGGGTAGCACTTCTCTCTATACTTTCCAAAGTTATGGGGTCACTAGTACGCGACGATCTACGTGACTACTTACTACTCATAAACTTCTTTCAACCCAACAACACGGTTACAGAAAAGGACACTCTTGCATAACCAACCTGCAGACCACAGTTGACATATGAACAACCATCCTTCATATCAAGGGGACGTTTTACACCATATGTCTTGACTTCTCAAAGGGTTTTGATAGGGTTAACCATATATACTTTATCAGTAAGCTCAAATCGCCTTTAATTGGTTGGCTCACATCATATCTAAAAAATTGACATTTTAATGTTAGGGTTAGCGGCACTTGTTCTCAAGCTATGGAGTGTCCTAATGGAATCCCCAAGGGTTAGTACTAGGACCTGTTCTTTTCTTCATTTATGCGAACGATGCTTCACAGAAGGTATCGTTGGACATTACTTTTTGCTGATGTGAGACTTTGGAGAGATGTACGCAACCAAGGGGATAAACTGGCACCTCGGGAGGATCTGAATCGACTTCACAGTTGAGCAGATGACTACGGACTTACCTTCAACACTTCAGAGTGTAAAGTGTTCTATCTGAGACATGTCGCAAGCTACAGATACAACTTAAGTTACTTACTTCTAGAAATATATTTGGTTGAGATGTGAGAGTGGTGGTACCCTATCATCTGAATTCTTGCGCTGAGACAAAAATGCCTTTCGAGCAAACCCTGTACTAGTAACAATGAAGTGCATTTTCGGTCAGTACATGGGCTGCATTATATCGCTACGCCTTTTAAATTTAAAAATCCTCTGAATCTCCTTTAACACTTTTCAATAAATCCATCATAGTAGTTATTGCTACACGTATTTGAGTTTATGAATTGGTCTCTCATATTAGTTGCCTAAAAAGACGAGCATAGTTTAGATAATCAAGTCATCGAGTCTGGTTACTATTATGCTGCACTAGTGTAATAACTAAAGTATCAGGCAGTTGTTCGTCAAACAAACATTAAAATTACCACTATAAACGAATATTTTTGAATCGCAGTTTATAATATAGTGAAACAGCTCAGATTTGTTAACACTACAAACTTATACTACTTGAGAAACAACTAAAACAACAATACCTATTTTCCACTGGTTAATCCTCAATCAACACTATAAGTAGCTAAATATAATGGTTTGAGGATATCGTCATAAAGGTTGTCATGACTTGACAGATGCGTAATATGATTGATAAAGTTGGCGAAACTATTAACAAAATTATCAATAAATAGTGTTTATTTCTCGTTAACTTCATCCACTACAGATGATTTCAGTATGCTTCTCTATCGGTTGCTCATCCAGTAAGTATGCTAAAAGCTTGTCGGTCTAACTGGAGGTTTAGCGACACAATCATGCATGCGAATCATCAGTAAAAGCAGTCGAGCAAATCTCCTGCAAACTAAAAATATCACTGTCGAATATACCCGAACACTGACCAAGGTTCAAGCCATTATCATAGACATGAGTTGGGAGTGTACTCCCCTTGGTTACAACTTGTTTTCTCCCTAATAATCACATTATCACCACTCACTGTTTACCATCTCGTAAATATCTAGTTAGACGGAAGCATCGTGCAACACCAAAACACCTATGTTTGTGACACATAGGCTTGGTTGAGTTCAACAATTCTTAATCATTATATTTGTAATAAGTCAATCTTTAGCTTATTTGTAACTCGATACTTACAACTAACTTGTATGCACCATCAGCCGATAGATACGAATGTAAATAACGTCGACTCTAGAGCATGTCTCTCAGGTATACACCCATGTTTAGCGAATTACTTTTAGCTATCTATACAAAATGCACACAACTATCACGATTTTCACGTAAGAGAATTTTTGATAACGATTCATATATATTAGCAGTATTACTAAATTCTATCACGGTTAGGTAATAATGAGGTCTAGGTCAACAAACCGTATCAAACGTAGTAAACTAACTGTAATGTTAGTCAGAATTCTTCTCCATGGCTATACTTTTGTTTTTTTCAGTAAACCTACTAATGTAGATACAATCGGAAATCAACTCACATGGACAGATTACCGGCATAAAGGTTAACTGATTTTATAATTTAAACCAAAAATAATATCAGTATTATCATTTTTACAATATTGATTGTCTCTTAATATTTCTAAACACAAAATACTTGTATTGTGTATAAATTATTTTATTAACCAACGGGTATTACCACGCATCTTAGGGCGGCTTATTAAAATATCTTTACACTAATGACTTGAGGCATCCTAAACACTTCTAGGCATCCCCTTAAACACCTAAATAAGCTTAGTCCCAACACAAAACGTAGGAGTAACACGCAGAACTGATGTCATAGCACAGCAGAACGAACTTCAGGCACACTTTTTACTCCTTGGGAGTAGTCCAAATGGTTCAAATGGTTGTGGACAGAATAGAAGAAGCTTCCGCCTAACAGGCTTCCGTGTCTATTAGCAGGGGATCACCAAATCCTCCGGGCGAAAACCTAGGTATGTTAACAATAAAAGAGGAAAAGAAATTAGTAAATCATAGTGTGATGCTATCCTTAGTCCTTAAGAATAGATCAAGTTGCTTCTTGAAGGACTGCTGAGAAGTCGCTTGGACTAGCTCGCGCGGCAGCGAATTCCAGCATTTAACAACTCTTAGGGAGTAGGAGTTGTGTCTACGGTCCGTTCTGCTATGTTGTGTCTCCAGTTTTTGGGTGTTACCTTTTAGTCGAATGCTGGAATTCGCTGCAGGCTGAGCTATTCCGAGCGACTTCTCAGGAGTCCTTTAAGAGAAAACTTGATATATTCTAAAGGACTATGAACACTATCTCGATCGGATATACCAACTTGTTCTTTCTCTTTTGTCGTTAATATACCTAGGCTCTTACCTGGAGGCATGTGTGATCCACTGCTACTAGAGACAGAAGCCCGTTAAGCGAAAGCTCCTACTCCGTCCACAGCCATTTGAAACCACTTGAAAGATGCCATAGGTATTCGGAGTTTGACAGCGCATTTACATGCAACATCTTTATAATCGAAGTATGCCAACCCAGTTAAACCAAAAGTTAGAAATGAAGTGGTTCGAAAATTTATTTGGGAGGCTGTCGATATTTTGGGAAGCATTTAGTCTAAGTTGGCTAATAGTTTCAGTGAATATCGGCTAGTGATTTGGTGTGGGTGTGTAACCGAATGTCTTCAGTTAGGTGTGCCTAGTGAGACTGTGTCAGCATCAGGTGTCGAAGACTTACAGAACTTCTTATTATGGGGATTTATTTACCTTTACAAGTTTCTAAGGATAATATCACAAGAGCCACACCTCAATGCAACAAATAATGCACTCCAAGTGGTTAAGTGAAGAGGCTGGAGACAGATCGTGAGGAACATACATTTCCCTAATTCTGCCAATTTATAGATGAAAAACTACCGGGACGAGGTAGTTAACTATTTCATTCTTGGGACCTGTCAACTTGTAGATAAACAATTTTTTATTATTGGTCCGTATTCATATCTTCATTGACATAATCAATTCAGTCACAGAATGTATTTCTATGTACTATATTTCAAGGTCGCTTTTCATTTTCTTCCTCAGATATTCCGCCGGGTAATTCTGTACTTTAGGCGGAGGATGGATTGGGATTCGTATTACAATAGGCTAGAGGGATGGGTTAAAAAGCAATATGATGGTGTGACTAGTGTTCAAAGACGACTTGAGAATTCTCTACTTGAACAGCAAAAATATTTAAATGCAAATGCACTTGCCCTTAAAAAGTACAAACAAGAAATGGGATTATTTCAGTCTTTGTACTCTTGCAATGGTGATCCGAGCAGTTCTAGTCCACAATCAGACGGAAGACGAAGTGCGCCATGTAAGCATAATTTTCTGGTCAGTTTATCAACTTGTAGCTCGACGATACCTAATACCGCATCCTTGCCGCCGAATCGCTGCTGAATGTATTGACATTACAATAATGATGGCATTGAAATTAGTTATATTGTATTTCATCAAGAACGACTCAAGTGTAATGTAAGACTTTGTACAAATAACTTAGTAGACATATTCAGTCAGCTGGTTAAAAATATGGGTTCGGACATCCTATCTGGGGTCCCGGAATACCGTACACTCCGACGTGCACATGGATGGGCGAAGACGGATTTCAGTGGAAAGGAATTTCAAGTTTCAAGCATTTGGAGGTCGTTATTTTTTGCTCATATCGGTGCAAGAGAAGATCTTCTGGATTTCGAAACAATTATACTGGCTGATCAGATAGGACGGTTCCTAAGTGCCCTCTTGGAGGTAAAATGTCTGGCCTTATTTTAGTCTTTTGATATTAACAGTGTGACGGTAAGTATTTACAGACTTAGGTAATGCAAAGTTCTTGGCAAGACAAGCATAATCAAAGTCTTGCATAGAACCTTTGCTTTCATCTGAATCTCAGCAAGAAACATTAGACTTACTAAAGGTGTGCGACTTTAGAATTTTATTTCAAAGTGACCTATCCTGGTGGCCGTGTTAGTCCAGTGATCGGTAGAAGCTTTTGAACAGCTTGTACTCATTTTCGTCTGATCGGAATTTATGAATAGTTAGTCCCGGGGTATAATCCAACTTATAAATTAGATTACCCGGTTCTACACCACTCCCATAATTAAACTAAGTACATCAGTATACTCCGTTCTTTACACCCTACATCCTATCTTTATGATTTCATTGACCAGACTTCATGCTTGGCTTCATGTGTTTAGTTGATTCGTAGGGGTGTAATTTAGTGACTGTAAACAGTCATACACATTAACTCCAGTGTCAAATATGGAATGTTTTCTACACCGAATATCCATGTTCCACAGTAGTAACCAAATGATTGAATGATTTAGTTTTCTACCAATGACCGAGTCTTCACACTTCGTTTTACCTAGTTTGGTCTAAGTAACCGCTTAGTATTAATAAGCCTTATACTGTGTAGTTCAAAGTCGTGTTTTATCTTGTATCTGGTAAATATCTCAGTAATAGGCTATATAGTCAAGTCATCAAGTAAGCAGGCTAGTCATTTGCACAAATCTATTCCTCATATATCTGTACACGTACTAATCGCTAAAATGAGGTTATACTGAAACAAAGGTTAGGTCAAGATGCGGCAGTGGTCCCTAAGCTCACTGGTTGTTGTCCATTTTTATGTAAAGACTGCAAATTTTTCGATTAGATTGTTAAAATGTCTACTAGAGTAAAGAAATGTATTACGTAAACCTAGCTTCTACCACCTCTTAATCGCTATACTCACTAGCATAGGATTAAGTCGGAAAGAGGATGACTTGGGATGTTTATAGAGTTACTAAAACACCAGTCGTTATCGATATCGTCTTTGGGTCAGTGAGCTTGTTTTGATTTGTTACACTGGCACAGATGCATTAGTTAATAATCGTTTAAATCTTGAACTTAGTATATTTAATGCTCACCTGCAATTAACATGGTCCTGACTCCCTTGATTATTAGCTAGGTGCAGGTTAGCCAAAACTCTAAGGAATGACTGTGAGCAGTGGTGGGCAACGAAAGCAAAATTAATGGAAAAGGCAGCTGCTGTAGGTAACACCAGACAGCTTTTCATACTAATAAAAGAAACTAGAATTGAAAAGTCAAGTGTTAATGCGACGATCACGGAAAAAGACGACACTTATCTGCTCTCAACCCAGACGTTTAGAACAATGTGTGGAACACTTTAAGGAGCAGTTCTTGTGCTAATGAAATATGGCAACGTAAACCGATGCATATATGTGCCTGGTTCTATGTTGTGGCTGACTGACTGACTTAAGGAGCAGTTCAGCTAACCACCATTTCCAAACAGCCTGAATGGAACATTGAAGTTGGCCCCCGACTAATTGAAGTTCAGAAAGCTATAGCTAATCTGAAACGAGGAAGAGCAGCTGATCCAGATGGATTGGCTCCAGAGGTCTTTAAGTCTGGTTTTCCAGTTTCATCTATTAGGTTGACTAATATTTTGGCTAAAATCTCAGTTGGATGTAATTCAATCTGAACGGTCGCAATCACCGATTGTCCCAATATATAAGAAAACATCAAAATCGTCCTGTGACAGCCATGGAGGGATTAGCATTTAGAGTACTAACCTCAATAATTATAGGACGCCTAACAGAGACTCGTGAACTGCAAATACGAGGAAATTAGGCTGGCTTTAGACCTGGTCTTGACTGTATCGACCACATATTCACCATTTGTCGGGTTTTAGAACACAGTCATGCTTATCGGTGTCCTACAACGGTGATCTTTCTTGACTTACAAGCAGCATTTGACTCAGACTGAAAAATTCTGTGACGGATTGTCATTAAAAGGTGTGCCTCAGAAGTACATAAACCTTTTGAAGGCTCTTTACTCGAACACTACCAGTCGAGTCAGAGCTCATGGCGAACTGTCATCTGATTTTGCAACCTCAAATGGTGTCCATCCAGGCTGTAAATTATCTCCATTTCTTTTTAATTTCATCAAAGACATACTGATGGAAACAAAGTTCCCGTCGACTGAATTTCGGGCATCGATTTACCAGGAGGTTCACTTGCCGACTTAGAATACGCTGATGACATAGTCCTGTTTAGTGAAGACGCCGATAAAATGCAGAGTGTTTTGGTAGCACTAAGCAGCAATGCCAGGATATTTGAAATGCATTTCTCCCTTTCTAACTGCAAGTTGTTGCTTCAGGACTGGCTTGCGTCAACACCTGAACTAATGATAGGAAGCGAAGTAGTCGAACGCGTTGACAACTTCACTTATCTTGGAAGTCTGACCAGCCCTAATGTGTTAGCGTCTGACGAAATCACTGCACGGATTCAGAAAGCTGATTTAGCTTTTACCAACTTACGTCACCTATGGCGAAGACGAGATGTCCGTGGATCAATTAATGAATGAGTATACTATGCGGCAGTTCGTTCTGTCCTTATTTAAGGTCGCGAGACGTGGCCATTAAGAGTAGAAGATACTCGTAAGCTACTAATATTTGAACACAGATGTCTTAGAAATATTGCTCACATCTGCTGGGATTACTGGGTAAGTAATAGTGAGGTTAGACGCAGGGTATTAGGGAATGATGGTAAATCAGTTGATGAGGTTGTGAATCTTCATCAACTGAGATGATTGGGCCACGTGTTACGTATGCCTGGACACTGGTTACCACGACACGCAATGTTGACTAGTGTTGGGGATGGTTGAAAGGACGTTAGGAGTGGCCAAACCAAAACGTGGCATCAGTGCTTGAAGTCACTAACTTCTGGTCTGAGTCATGTTGGTAGATGCAGATTACTTGTTTGGTGGCCGCGCGACTATCGTAACCAGTGGTTGGAGCTTCTGGGTGACATGGCTGAGAATCGATCCCAATGGCGTAGGTGTATAAAATCTCTGTCTGCCTTTAAACCATGAGATTAGAATTACTTTATACCTTTCTTTCTATGAACTAATTTTTCTCCTGTATTATGTCCTTATACACAATTTTTAATATATTACTTTCATTGAAGTGACGACTTTTATGAATTGGGTGATCTTGTTGTGCTAATGAGGTATGGCAACTTGGACCGATGCATATATGTACCTGGTCCTATATTGTAGCTGACTGACTGATTATTAATTCCCACTCACTGCGATTATATTTGGTATGACAACGTTACCGATATTAATTTTTGATAGGTCGCATATTGTTTTGTATCTGATTTAAAATAAAATTGAGATGTCTGTATACAGCTATAAAAATTAGTATCCTTTGAGTGTTAATTATGAGCCTACGCTTGTTTTGTGCAGGCAATTCTAATCAGGCGTTCAATTTTTGGATCTGATCCTGGAGGTGCAACTCTTGGGAAGTGGTTAATGAATCTTAAGGTTGTTTCGTGTGAAGAAATTATACCTTTTCCAGATGTCGTTGAAGTCGTTCCAGGAGCTGATCTGGGGATTATTCGGTGAGTTTTGTTTGTTTTATTTTGACAGTAGTTAGCTGTATTTACTGTTGGCAATAACAGATACGGAGCTAGGGGTAAGGAAATCAGAATATATCATCAAATCACTAAGTGATAGACTGCTGTGTCGGTTAACGCTCATCAATGTGCTGGGGTCCGGTCAATACTTGTAATCAATGGTTGGAATCGTTGAATATTATTGCCCAAAACCTGTTACAGTGATCCATATGTATTTATTTCCGATGTCCTGGGTCTTAAGTGAAAATTCATCTCTAATTCTTTATTCTTCGATCTCTATCGTTCTTTCCGGACTATATTTATCAATTTTAGGTCTCTCTTGTGGTTGAGATCAACTTGTTCTTTTTTATTCTTGGTAATTTCCTCTCGTCATACTGATGTCAGATGTGGGAAATAAAAAGACTTTGGTTTGAGCAACACCCTAAATGTGGTAACCAATGGTACTGACAGGTCTCCCAAACGAAAGTAGATGGAGCAAAGTTAGAACATGAGATTTAGTGACTGAAAGTCGAACACCCGGACCACTGAGGCACATCAAACTGGACTGATGAAAATTCTCTCCAGTTTCTACATTGGTACTAATTGAATGGTTGAGTAGCGTCTTTCTAGACTGTAGCATCATTAGAATATACGATTCTCAGCCTAAAATAGTGAACAACTATCTAGGAATTGGGATTTATTTACACAAAAATTGCGCGATAAACTGACTACGCATTTGGTTATCGAAAACAGTTTATTTTCAACTTGAATTTACTCGATAGTCTTTAGTCTGTTCTTGATATCAAGTTTGATGTTGAACGTTGTTACCGATTTTAAGTTCAACACCTAAAATTTTCACTTTATATATATATATATATATATATATATATATATATATATGTAGAGAGAGAGAGAGAGTTAGGGTTTCATCGTTAGGTTTATGTACACAAGTCTTGTTTTGTCAGTATGTTGTTGAGGTGAAGTTGTAAGTAAATATAATCACTTTTCTCAAATGGATTAATACTAACAAGTCATTTCCAAAGGGTTCGACTGTATGTAGCTGTTCATATTTAAACTGATACTGAAATCACATCCCTTTGGGGCTATACACAACACAGTATATTTTCTGAGAGACGTAGTATGGCTCAAAGCTAAGTAACGAAGAAATAGTAGTACACAGAAATTAGTAAATACCGAGAACCACAATCTTTTATGTTGTTTGTTGAAAAATCTATAAACTGAAGAAAATTAAAGTAATAATAAGGATTTGAAGTTTAATCCAAATTAGATAATGCCTAATCTACATTTTACAATATAGTTTTTAATATTGAATCTTGGTGGTGATTCAGTATGAAATTCTCTAATAGTATTTCCTTAAAAACAAATTTATTCTATTTATTTTAATAGAGCACTTGTACGTTCGCTGTTGAAAAGTACAAGCTTTCTCACGTTCTTCTCATTCGTTTGTATGATGGTATTTCAATATCATCGATGTACATATGATATTATTGCTGGAACTTTAGTTGTACAACCTATTACACCAACAACTAATCATCAATCAAACAGTAATAATGAACAAAGACAACAACCCCAACAACAGTGATTGGGCATAACAATGAATTTCCATGTTAAACTTGTTTAAATGCAAGTATTCATTGTAACATAAATATTTTTTGAGGTCAAATTAAAAATAAATGCAATTCTGTTCGTGTGCTCCACTTTAAACCATATAATTTTGATGGGAAGGTTTGTGTATTTCTGCTACCCGTTTTCCAAAAACTGAAATACATAGCATAACTTGGAGGCTAAAATAATTCTATCTCCAGTGATTCAAGTTTGCCTAAAAAGCCGCTGCTCTTGATCAAACAAACCTACCTCTTGTCTAAGTGGAAAGATTCTAATATAAATTCAGTGTAATAATTAAAAATCATATGCTTTAATCTAATAATCGTAATTCTAATTCTGAATGGAAACATGAAAATGATAATATAACAGTGTCAACCAGAACTAATGTGGAAGTTTTGTATATTGAACTACCTGATGGACATTCAACAAAGACTAGAATCAACGACGTAAACATGTGATAGTTAGAATTACCTCCAGTTATCTGAAGATATGTTATTTATATGGTGCAGATTATTATATCCAGAGTCTATAAGTGTTATAAATCAGATAATATATTTAATAAATAATCCATTCAATTTCTATACCAAGTACGCGTTTATGTACTTTCCTTTTGCTATTCTTTTTTTATAAGATATTTATATCATTCTATTATGTTATTGTAGTAGATCTGGGTTCGAATTTGTAATGCACTGGTTGAATGTCAAATATCTTAACCACTAACCTATCGTTTTAATAACTGCTTTATAACCCGTGACTTTTTACAGATATCTAACTTATGGATAACACAACCCTACTTTATTAAATTTTGTAAAGTAGTTATAGGTGAAGTGAAACTCGTTTAAAGTTAAAATAAATGATATTTGCCACAATTTTTGGTGTGTGCCACTAAACAACATTAAATTTTGTAATATTTCGTAATTTGCGCAGGGACGTCAAAAATGAGAAATTCAGTGGTGATTCTCCAACAAATCTATTTACAGGGTTTACGTTTTTATATAAGTATGAAATATTTAAGGGTACAAAACACCTTTAAGCTATTTCAGTAATCATTATTCATAACATTAGTAACACGGATAATTTATAAAATATAAAAAGTGAAAACTGATTTCCCAGGGTCTTTAAATACTTATAAAATAGAGTAGTCGGCAATCGATTAAAGACATAGTATTAAACTAGTAAATCCTAGGAGTAAACTCACACAATTCGTGGTTCAAAATAATGTTTAGACGTAGATAGTTAGAGTAAAATATTGAGTCGAAAAAATTACTAATGTTAACTAGTAAAGTTTTACTGTACCTAGAAAATTAAGTTAAACAGTATACAGAAAGACTCAGTTATCAGTCACCTTAATATGTTGCTAGACGTTTAATCATCAGTATGTTAACTTCGATTAATACAAAACCTTGGTAATATACCCAGAAAACGCAACGGGAGTCGTTTTGCTTGTCTGTTCTAGTATGTAGAAATATAATGACACTTGGGGGTGACGTGTGCAGAGCATTTTCAGTCGTTCAGAAATCAAATTGATTTATTTTGTTTCTTTTTTTATGAGCAAATTTATTTCTCCTGTTTGCTGATAAGTAGTCTTAAAACTAGCGTCTTTGTCATTATATTTTATTCTTGTTTTAGAATCTTGTGTTCCCTCCATACATCTACCTAATGTGTAGAAAGTTAATATTGATGTAATACCACAAGCTGTATACTATATCTTCACAGTATTGTAGAAATTTGTTTACTTTTATTCAAATCTTTTGTAAAATTTGGAAACTGAATTCATCTTTTCAATGAAAAGTTTAGTCTTATTTTTCGTAGATGTTGTATCATTCAAAGTTTATGCTTGATTCGAAATGCTTTTTTTGTAATTTTAGAAATTGGATCCAAATAATATTTATTATTTATTTATTTGAACATATAAATATTGGTACAAGGTGGCACCAAATATGTATGCGCCACACAAAACAATGAGAATGGGAAGAGAAAAAGAAGGTAAGGAGCGTAAAAGAAAAAAAGAACAATAACGACCACAGATTAGTGTAAGGTAGTGTAATAATAATAAAAATGGGGGAACGGAAAGGTACAATCAGAAGAAATCTTTCAGTTAAGTAAGATACAACCACTTTTTACGAAGAAAGTAAAAGAAGGGTACAACTGGATCGCCACTGGCTTCTATTCTGAGCCATATCTGATAACGTCTCTAGCCACTGTGTTGCACCATCTCCAGGACCTCAGCCAGGGGGTCGTGAAAGACCAACAGGAGCCAACCCTTTGCAGCTTTCTTTCATACCACGACACCATGTCATGCACTGACCACCTCTCCACTTTTTCCAACCAGTCCCAGAGTCGGCAAATAATGCACGACGTGGAATTCTCTGGGGCGACATTCGTAGAACATGCCCAAGCCACCGAAGTCGGTGTTTCAGGATGGTGACATCGATTGCATTATCATCTCTGTGCCCGAGCACACGATGCCGAACCTCTGCATTACTGACATGGTGTTGCCACTGAATGTCAGCAATCCTTCGGAGACAACGATGATCGAACACAGAGAGTCGTCTAACGTCCTCAACTCGGAGAGGCCAGGTCTCACAAGCATAGAGCGAAACTGCTCTGACCGACGCGTTGTAGATCCGACCTTTTACAGCCAGACTGTTAGGATATTCAGAAAAATATCCCAAAAATTATCCTGTTAAGTCTAATGCTATCCTTGGACTTGAAATGGCATCATTTTCCTACTGGTCAGTTTTTATTTCACGTGTTGTTTCCCTACTGGTCAATATTTATTTAACGTGTCATTTTCCTGTTGGCCAAATATTGTACAAATGTTATTTTCTATTTTATGGTACGTTGTGGTCTGTCTGGTTGATATATAAACGGAGTATGTTTGAAATAAATGATTCATATCGCAGAGGCTGAGACTAATGTTCTAGATTTATCTGGCTGGGCTAGGTGGAAAGCAGGACCAATCATAACTCCAGGCTGCTCATACGCTTCATTGATCCGGTCGATAAGTCACTGCTCTCTAATCGGCGGTCACAAGTTATAATACAGACTGACATCACAAAGGCGTCAAAAATGGCCCAGATCGACATAAGCCGCTCTGGCTTTCACTATGCGTGCATTGATCTCATCACTCACGCCACCACTAGCACCTGTGCAGCTACCCAGATACACGAACTTCTCGACTACTTCTATGTGATCACCATCCAGGGTGAGTACAGGATTAGAATCCTGCCAATCTTGTAGAAGTACTTTGCTTTTCGAAGGTGCAAAGCACATACCATACCTACGGACACTGATTGCAACTGATTAAGTGCGGACTGCATGCCTTGGGCATTATCGCACAGTAAGACAATATCGTCCGCATACTTAAGGTCGAGAAGTCTTTCTCCAGGCAACAGATCCACACCACCATTACTTACATTCATCAGAGCTGTTTCCAGAATGTCGTCGATGGCAAAGTTGCAGAGGAATGGTGAGATTGGGCAACCCTGCCTAACCCCACTGCTCGAATGGAACAATGGAGAAAGGTGGTTGTATGCCCTCACTCTGCCTGAGGTGTTTGTATATAGGGGTTTTAGGATGTTAATAAACTTCTCAGGCACACCCTTCTTCAATAGACAATCCCAGAGAACAGTCCTGTCCAACGAATCGAAGGCAGCCCTGACGTCAAGAAACACTACGATTGTTGGCCTTTGATAAGTATGGCGGTGTTCTAACATTTGGCCAGAACGAAAACTAGCCTGCTCCTCGCGAGTCAATCTTTCTCGGGTTTTGAACAACCTACGAAGTATGACGGAAGCCAATAGCTTGGACGCAATCGGAAGTAGACTTATCCCCCGATAGTTGTTACAGGAACGACGTGAACCCTTTTTAAAGATAGGGACAACTATCGACTCATTCCATGACGTTGGTACACTCTCTAGTTCCCAAACCTTTGTAAACAAAGTCGTCAATTCCTTAGTCAAAAAGTCACCACCATCTTTAAAAAGAGCCGGAGGTAAGTCATCTGGGCCAGGTGATTTGTAACGCTTCAAGAGTTGGAGTTCCTTGCGGACTTCCTCCTCGTTTGGTGGATCAGTCGTCACCGGTCATGGAGGGCTGGACAGTCTGACCGATGTTGCCGGAGCAGCAGGCCAGCTGAACTGCCCTTCGAAGAATTCCGCCCATCGTATAAGACGTCGATGGATGTTGGTTTTTGGCATCCCGTCATCCTCGTAGATTGTTTCGCTCACACCAGACTTCTTTCTGCCAGTGGCTCGGGTGAGCTAGAAGAGCTCCCGATAGTTACCAGATGCAGCTGCTGCTTCCAGATCATTAGCACGCTTCGACCACCAGGTTTCTCGGTCCTTACGCAAGCTTTGCCCAATTTCCTTACGTAACATCCTTCGTTTGTGGTCAAACTCACGGTCACCCGGAGTAGACCGACGGGCTTCGATGAGTTGTAAGTAGCCTGAAGAAACCCAGTGCTTATAAGCGGGATGTCTCGCGAAGCCGCAAGCGACTTTACTCGCCATTTTCATGGCGTCATGCAATTGCAACCAATGCTCATCTATACTTTTCGGTGGAATGGTAGCTAGCCTAGAAGCTAGTTCGGTTCGATACTTACTAGCAACAGAAGTTGCAACCAGCTTGCTAACATCAATCCGTTAGTGGCGGTCACTTCGTTGGCCACTGAAAAGTAAGGTAAGATTGGCGCAGACCAGGGCATGATCAGAGTCCAGATAGGTACTCCAAAAGGAGCGGGAGTCTTGTACACAACCACGCCAGCGGTAGCTGATCGCGATGTGATCCATTTGAATCCAGGCTTGAGATGCAGAGGGAGGACGCCAGGTGGCACATCGGCGATGACTGTGCCGAAAGTTAGTGCTAGCCAGAAACAGGTTGTGGTCTGTGCAAAGTTGCAGTAGACGGTCCCCGTTATCTGACCTGCGACCAACGAGTCCCCATCGGCCACCTAAACGACTCTCTTCTGCGCCTAGACGCCCGACCTGAGCATTCAAGTCTCCGGCTAATACTACAATATCTGTCGAGTGCACTTTCTAGAGAATAATAGAGAACTGGTGGTAAAACTCATTCTTGATTGCATCCGGGCTGCAATCTGTCGGGGCATAGACGGAGATGACGAAAAGACATCGTTTCTCACGCCGATTTCATCTCACTTTGTTGGAACTTTCTAATCTAACAGCACATAACCGACTGTTAATGGGGATCCAATCAATTAGTGCTGCATAAGTGTGCGAGCGTTGAAGGAAGCCAGTTTGAATGGTGCACGTGGTTTCAGAAAAACTGCTTCAGTACTCATGATCGGTGGTAACATACAATTTTCAACCGGATAGTGACTCGAGAACGTTTAGATACAGTCGAACTTCCACCATAGACGAGCTGCTGTATAAGTATAACCAGATGGAATAAAAGAGGGCGAATAATGACGTAGTAAATAATAATAATAATGCGAATCACTTGATTGTTATTTGAAGCGAGAGGAATATTCTTCATAAGTAGACAGTTTATCATGTTTTTGTGTGCGGGCTGAGATACTGCCCAGGTGTCCAAACCGAAGCAGGTGGTTATCTTAGGAGGCCACACCCCGAGCCTTTGACCTAAAGGTCTGACCCACAAGGCAGTGGACCATCGTAAGGAGATGCAGTCCCACGGTAGCCGTTAACCGAAAGTTGGTTCATACACCATTTGTTCCCTCAGGATACTGGGGCTCGTGTGCACCATTGATTTGGTTTGGGATCTGGTTGAATCGCCGGACATTCGCTTTTCGTCCTCTCAATTTCGTAAACATCACCCCCGCCACGAGAAGGCAGTGGGTAGGAATTCCCTGGCAGAGACTATGTACGCGTGGCCATGTGAGAGTATTTCGAGAGGGAGAGCAGACTCTCCCCACTCTCAGCCGTACCAGGGGGTAAGTTATATTAAAGATACATAAATGTTGAACACACTTCTCGACTAATTCATACAGTTTCGTGTGGTACAGTCGTAACTAAGATATCGAAGACAGTTCTAATAAGTTGACTTTCAATGAGGATGACAAGTGGTTCATAACAGTAGCTATTGTCTTATATACCATAAACATCTTAATGTGTATAATTTAAACTCATTATGGTTAGTATTTACAGTTAAAGTATACTAATATTGACGACATTGGGCGACTTATCAAGTAATCAGGAACACTACCTTATTATAAAATAAATAAAAATGAAAAGCAATAAAATTACAGCCTATTAGTAGTTTTGGTATGATTTGTTATCCTTTACATGTTCAATTGTTTGTCTTGAAAAATGGGTAACTCGAGCTAGTGTTGTGAATCAGGCTTATAACCCAATGGGGTTTTCGTTACTAACTGACATCAGCTATAATCCGGTAATGCTTTATCACTTTTGTTTAAAAATTAATGTTACGATTTAATTTCAGGAGTTAAAGTAGATGGATCATGTCTAAGTACACAATCATTTAAGTATACACAAAATGATATCAAGTAATATTACTTGCCCGAGCTCCCAATTTTGGGGTGTTTGTGACATTTCCCCAGACCTGGGGAAATCCCCAAAATTACCACAAACGTCCTCGAAATTTCCCCAAACTTCACCAAACGTCCCCGAAATTTCCCCAATCTTTCCCAAAATTTCCGCAAACTTCCCGAATATTGGAAGCTCGAGATATCACCTGAGCTTTCAATTTCGGGGTAGTTTAGGGAAACTGTCGAAGTCAAATGACCTTCATTAATGTTTGGGGAAATGTTTTGGGGAAGTCCCCCAAGTCAAATGACCTTGACCAAGGTTAAAGTGAAATTTTTGGGGTTTTGTGCCATTTCCCTAAAGTTTACTATAGCGGCTTCCCCAAAATACGTCAAATTTTCCCCGAAATTGGGAGCTTGAGGTCATGTGTTAAATATTTAGCACAGTCAAGATCGGGAGCAGGCATTTCTTGTGATCTAGCCGATGCGCCTTGCAATATCGACTGGTTGCATAACAGATTTTTTAATTCGGTTTCTAGCAACTAATGAATAATCGTCACTTAGCCCATAACAACATCCAATCTGTTTAGTACTGCGCTTTTAATTTTGCGCAAATATGTATGCGGCGTAATCTTAATTCTGATTGGTCCACGTAAGGCCGTCAGTATAGTATACTTTTGCAGTATTGCTTTCATTATTAAGCGCACTCAGCCTGCTTATACTGACAAGTTCTTGTAGCCCATTCCAACAACATATCTCTGTGCTAGATACTTAATAGTAGCATTCAAACTGAGAGTCAATATCATGAAGAGATTATTTAGTTCGTAATAAAACTTGTCTCGACAGTAACCCCGTGAATCATTATCAAACATTGTGGGAAGGTTTCTCTTCAGTTCTTGATTAATTCTTAGTTTGGTTCAACATTCTTCGCTCTGTAGCGCTGAACGATCGGTGGTGAGGACTTGGTTGACTAGGCTATGGGTTGTAGAGTGAGGCCGATGTTGTGCATCAGCGTTACTTTGTTGATGGACACATTTTCATCATATTGCTATCTTAAATACAAGTTCCTGAGATGAAAGGTACAACTGTCTAACTCTCCAATGTATAAAGTATATGGATTAAAATATGGGTCATATATCAGGTACTAACTTAGTCACGTCTCACAGATGGTACATGACGAACATACCACAAATCATGAAACTTTCGAACACTTCTCATAAGCAACGGCCATGTTCTTAAAATTGGATTATAAAGCTAGAAGCGTTTAATCGACTCTGATAAAATGCCGGTAAATATAATAAAATCCAGGAGTTAGAACTAATTTATTAGTGAAACATGGATAAGAATACATTTAATTAAGATTCGGTAAGTAATTTGCTAAGGCAATGAGTAATGGCTCCGTATTGTGTGTGAAACGAAGGTTTGGTTTATGTTTCCAGGTAAAACCATGCAGACGTATCAAGCTAGTATATAAGCGGAATTTTATGACGACCAAATGTTCCATAATTCTGTTTCAATCAGTCATCAACAACGTAGAACTTCGTACGTACGTACATCAGTTTGAGTTGCCATACCACATTTGCACAGAGATACAATTGTTAATTCAAATCCCGTAGTGGTAGAGGTAGTAAAAATATAAGCAGTGATCAGAAAGATTAAGGTTTGAAGATGTTATTCAAGGATTATAATCCAGTGAAATAAATTTGGAAAGAGGAAAAAAGTGACATGAAGAATTCAGAAGATTAGAATTTGGGAGAACACAAAGAGTAGATGCACCTGCGCCATTGCAAACGATTTTGAGCCATGTCATTCAGGGTCTCTAACCATCGGTTGCTATCGTTTCGCAGATCCCAACCAGGTAGTCTACACCTACAAACATGAATCAGTCCACTTGTCACTGACTTCATGGACTTGGGCCATGTTTTGGTCTGACCGCCCCTAGCTTTCATCCAACCTACTCCTATACCACTGGACATCGCACATCGAGGCAGTCGGTGGCTGGACATATGTAACACGTGTCCCAGCCATCTCAACTGGTGTAGTTTCACTACTCCACTACTTGATTTGTTTAATAAGTTAGCATGGAATCTGACAAGCAAGCTAACGTTCTGAAAAGCCAACTGGAGTTGCTAAATATTCATCGTATGACACGTCACGATAAGAACGTTTTCGGTATAGTGAATATACCAGTATTCATTTACCCATATTTCCCGTTAATGTATTGCTTTTTAACCTTACATATGAGCTGATAAGTTCAGATAAAGATACATTTATAGAAGTTGTATGCAATCAATATTAAACACGATCAAGCTTATTGTACAAAGGTTATTCTAATCTTGCTGTTCTAGTTAGTACGTGTCAAAATAAAAAATGAGCGTTGTTTTACGACTTGTAAGCGTAAATATTTACGTGTATCTTGATTCCATATTGGTCTTTATTGTATTAGTGTGGCGTGATCCGTATTTTGCGGATTAAACTATACATTTCTTTGATTTTTCTGACAGCTGCTTTTTTGAAATATATTAAGGTAGTTGCTGAACAAACAACTTTTCGAATTGGGTGCTCCAATAATTCGTGTTATGAGGGATATAATTTATCACAGGTTAGGTTGTGCTTGTTCCTTTCGAGTCATTCATAATTTAACTTAGTTCTATATAAATATGAAGTGAATTATCCCATTAATTAAAGGCGTTTTGTGGAGATTGATTTAGTTTTTTAGTTGTACTTATCAAAGATTGATCGTCGTTGAGTTACCATCGTAAACTAGGGACCCTTTTGTGACGAATACAACCTTCAAATTGAACCGATTTCTACTAAACCACAATAATTAGATCTTCCAATGTATTTGAAGATGTCCCTGAATTTCCAGTGAGAAGCTGTGGCTGATGTAATCCAAACATGTTTGAAGTGAAACACTTGTCGCTGGTGAAAGTAGAGGGTCGTCATGTTATATCACGAATCGATTAACGTTGTACCATTGAACGCTGATCCTTTGGTTCTAATGGCTAAGTGTTCGTTGTGATAACTAAATGTTTTAGGTTCAATCGCTGATGAGGTCAGAGGTATTTACCATTGAGGAGTCCAGCACTAGAACTATAGATAACTGAAGCCTTTTATGCAAATCTTCATAACTTAAGCAAATATTCGACTGAAATTCTATCAGCTTTGGTTCGCATACTGAGCGGATCACCTCCATATAGCTATCACAACATATTGATATGGAATGCGAGTAGCGGTGGGACCCAGGACGCGCATTTCGTCTTTGTTGTGACTATATGTCCGGCTTTTTATCACGTGATTTATCCACCAATCAAAGTACGGCTTATACAATCTTAGCGCTGTGCCAAACCAATGACGTTCGACCGGTATGAGCAGCCTAGCGTCCTTATTGGTCCTATGTCCGCCTAGTCCGTCCACTTGAGTCCAGAACACCAATACCAGCTTCCACTATGCGAATCCAATCATTTATTTCAGACATACTGTGTTTATATATCAAACAAACAGACCGCAACGCACCATAAAATAGGAAATAACATTTGTATACAATAAAGTCAAAACGTGGCTGTGAACATGGAAGGCAGTAGTCAATAAACTGAACATAGCTTAAGAACCGTAAATCGTACAATAATAAATTATAAGTCAAAATAAAGCTTATAATAAGAGGAATATAAATATACATAATCTAATTATTGAATAGTTATATCATAAGAATGTATAGATAATATTAACCAATTAATATGTCTCAGAAGTTACTTGTGATTTAATCTTCGCTCGGATATAGCAATCTTATTTGTGATTGGTCAGCTAGATATATCTGCACCTCAGAGTTCATGTTAACTACAGGACATGGTCCCAGTATTGTTCACTTCAGACGCCAACGCTTGGGCATCTTAAGCAACAGTTCTGGGACCGTGTTCTAAAGTTAGCATCAACTCTGAGGTGCAGATATATCTAGCTGACCAATCACAAGTAAAATGAAATACGCGTTTTGGATCCCACTGCAACCTGCATTCTATATTATTATGAAGAAATATATCACTCATATGGGTTCTCATGTTATTTCCATCTAATTGTCTATGTTTAATATTGATATGAAGTCATTTTCACTTATTGGATCTTGCATAACTTGGAAGATTATCCCATCTTTGGTTTTGACAAACAAGGGAACTTTTAAACATCTCATTTTAGTGTCTAAAAGCTTAAATAACTACAAATCCGTTAGCTGTTACTGACATTAAATAAACATACAAATTTAATTATAAAAATATGAATTTATTTAGATAATAATATAATCATGCAAGAATAGTTTCTCAACCCTTTGAGAACCTTAAAAAGTCTTGATGATTTTTCTCCGTAAACATCTCGAAATAATTACAAGTCAAGAAGCCCACAGCTATGACCTAAGTAAAGCAACTGTACAGTTGTTTCGTTGTTGTCAGCATTATTCCCAAGGTTCAATGATTGCCTATGGAAGGGCGGTTTGTAATATTAACTACTTTTGAATTATTACATTTAATTGGTTACCATTTCGACTATTACCATTATTAAACTGAGTTTTTTCCAGATTAATAATTCTACACTTTTAAATGTTAAAAACGGGGAATTTTTGATTATTTCACTATGATTTTAACTGAACAACGAGTAACCAATCGGTGCACTCTCAATACAATTTGTAGGGGATTAATTGAGTATTGGGATCACCAAGTAAATATCAGCTCTTTGAAAGCACACATACGCCTTGCTGATAAGCGTTCAACATTACGAAGTCTAGACCAGAGACTTTTTCATATTGATTGACTGGAAACAGTGATTCAATCACAATCAACATAGATCCTAAAACTGAATGGTGCTGACCGCTCTTTGTCTGAATAATTACGTAATTATTGATTAATGAACTATGTTTCTGCAAAAATCTATGTTTATATATATATTCTTTTATCCGCTTCAATACATCCTATACAATAAGTTTGAATCAAACAAAAATGGAAACATACTCAAAACACAAAAGATGGACAAACAAAATTAATGGGAAGAAAATCACTAAAAATTCACAAATGATAATGATAAAGTAGTTAATTACAATAAAAATTGTCTGATCATGGATAATTATATAGCGTTTAGAGATGTGGAATATTTTCATTGCATAATCATATCTATGAACAATAAATTCATAGTTGTAGTAGTTGGTGATCAAAAAACAAAAATCTGATTTCTTGGACGTTTTGAGAGATCGTCGTCCATGTACATTATTAACTAAAATTACGAGAAAAAAACAGCAAGACAGTTTTAGTAATTAAATATATTGAGCAGAACAGCAGTATTATGTTTTTATCAAGAGAAGTCATCTGATCGCTCTGTAGGATTTAATTTATCTTACAGATGTAATTCTAAAACATTTCCTAGACTGGCGAGCACAGAGTCTTAGCTTAGCCAAAGTCAGAACAAGTAAGCTATTAGGCTTGAAAAACTATCTATTTTGAACAGTAACTATAGCATAACAAAAATGAGTCAACGAACTTAATATCGTTCATAATAAACAAAATGATGTTCAGTGAATACGCAAAGCATAGTCATACAAGGTCAAGGAAAATTAATGTGATGGTGGGCGTTTCATGTTATCATTGGTGGGTTCGCTTATCCATCACACTACACGCTCCGAGCAATAATACTGGGATCTTTGGGATCCGATTTTTTTCAATCTGAGTGTAACACGTTGCTTTAGGATAGGTCTGTGTCAATGTCTAAACTAATGATAAAAAGTGAAGCACGTTTATCACTTCACTTGTTTTGGAAGGCTTAGCACTCCGAGTGAGGTGGTGTCTGACGAAATCTCAGCACCAATTCATAATTTTCAGTTAGCTTTACCTAACTTACATCACATGTGGTATAGGTGAGATGTCCATCTAACAAACAAAGGTAGACTACACCGTGTAGCAGTCTACTGTGTACAATTACATGACTATGAAACGTAGTTTATGGAAAACAGGAAACGTGTTTAATCTGGAGGTGTTTGGTATGTGTCCCCGAAGCGTTGCATACGGTACTAAAATAGGTGGCAAACCGGATAATGTGGTTACGAATCTTCATCCATTGAGGTGGTTAGGGAACGTGCTAGGTCTGCTTAACCGTCTATTTAGACGTGCGATATTATCTGCAGTATGAGTAGACTAGAAGAAATCTAAGGGAAGTCAAGCTAAAATGTAGTCCAGCCCATGATTTTATTGACAGTTGTTCTGAGCCATGTTGGTAGATGCAGACTATATGCTTGAGGTTTAAGTGATAACTGGTATCAATCGTTGGACAATTGGGTGATATGGCTCACAATCGTTCACAATATTGAGGATGTATTAACTCGTTTTCTTCCTTTCGATATTTAATTCCAGTATTCCTTCATATATACCTACTTTTACACTCAGTTTTTTAAAACCATATTATTAATGTTTATGTCTTTCTAATTCCGATTGCTACTACATCATCATCTTGTCATCTCAATATGATATGGAAACTAGGATCACAACATAACAATATCAGGCTCTCTAAGGTGGTTGAAGGTAGTTTATATGATACCCTGCTTAACTTAGGTTTCGTGCTATTTGGCAGTCATCAGCAAGGTATACATACATGTAATCTTATTCCGTAACAACAATTAATTTTAAGTTTTCATTTGTATTATTTTACTACCTTTTTTCAATGTTGAAACAAATAATGCCTAGAAAATTAGTACAATATATTTTTGCTAAATATCAAACTATGTACTAAATTGATTTGACTCATTATATTAAATAAATATTTATTTAGTATAAAAACTAAGTTAGTGAGAAAATACTTAAAGGAAAAAGACTAAAGAGTACGAAAAACATCAGATATTGGTCTAAAGAATTTACCATAAATGAGAAGAACATAGATATTGAAGATAAAAAGTGCCAAACATCATGTGCATCATAGAAATCCAATAAAACACAAGGTTGATTAAGTGCACGAGAACGAGCAGGAGTTACCTGAAACCAAGTACGTTACAGTTTTGCTTAGTTGTTGTAAAAAAAACACATTTCAGTTATGAAAAAAGTGTCTGTTAACATTAGATAACAATGACATAGTAATATTATCCGTTTGTACATGTTTAAACTAACTAAACATTGAAATGAGCTCGTTTGGCAGATTAAGTGTTACTTTAAACTTTAACAGTTTATCAATATCCCATATTGGTAACCTTCACGTATGTATTATTACGTATTTATGTCTGAAATAAATTATTCTCACTATTTTGTTTCACCTTCTGAAGATCATACACAGATGGGAATCGTCGTGATAATGGTTATCCGGCTAATTTGCATACGAAGTACTAGAATAGACGCACAGATGTCCTCTATAATGAGAGTTGTATTTAGTACACGTCTTCTGTTTTGCTAGATATTTTATGAAATTTAAGCGTCATAAAAGGTTTTTAAAACAAAACTGAACATGTTATTTGTAGCTCCATAAGAATATCAAGAAAATAACACTACTGTCTGCTAACTTAAAAAAAACACTACTGTTGAAGGTGGAAAACAAATAAAGGTCACAGACATTTTTAAGCAATCAAACTTTCAAATAATCACTTGTTTCTGATAAAACCATTCTATTGAGTAATGAAATATTTAGTAAAGTTGAAAGATTGGTAACGCAGAACTATTGAGTTAACCATGATAGGTTCTTCTCCTTAGTGACTATGATTCTAGACGAACTAAAATCAATTTGATAAAGACTTAATGGTGATCAGGCTAAACGTATTAAGTTAGTTATCTAATCTGTATTAAATTATATGTGACCGAAGTCTTCGAGATGTAATGGATTAATTGTCGATGATATCCATTTGAAACTGACCATAGTAATTTAGAAATATTCTCTACTGAGGATATCTTACATCTTTACCATTTGATTAATTTTTTAACGCTCCGTTATCCGTACCTCTTGTTATCTTTAATACAATCTAAAGTTCTGTAATGAAATACAAAAAGAAACTTGAAGCTATTTAGTTCTGTGTAAAATTTGTAAGTTACTACAACAGTTTAGGTCATTTAGATTCAGTTGAAATCTTGATTATAATATTAGCATGAAAGCTCTTAATACTAGTGACAAGTCTGAAAGCTATGTGTCGTAATTTATTTTTTCAAGTGAGCAACTAATCTAATATTTTATAGTATCTAAAATAAACAACAATAAAGATTTTCTACCAACATCGATAATTCTTTTGAATCTTCTCATTGATGTTTAGGACTGCAGTTCATCAGTCCGTTTTCAGCATATATGCGGACTGGATTGTCTCAACATTCCCATTAAGTCACAAGGTTCCAATAAACATAGGTATACACACCCTTGGACACTTTTGTACAAAACAGCAAAAGCCGAGTTAACATCAATACTATGACCTGTTTCAACTATGTTTAGCAATAGAGGACAATGGAAGTTTATCATCTACTCTTAATGAGTCGCTTGATTTCATTTGTTTTCGCATTCGTTCACGTAAGTGTTCAGACATCCTAATTTGCAAATTTTCGTAGCTGAGTCCAAGAGTCGATCTAAGCTGAACCACCATTGAAAACCTAGAAGCATTAGACGGCCATTTCGTCCTAGTATGGGACTTCTCAGAAGTGCACATTCACGATTCTAGTCAGAAGCCGTGATCAGTGTCGGGTGTGAGACAGTTATCCACTTCAGACAATGGATGGAGGGTTGTGTAAGATCATGGATCAACTGAAGTTAGACATTATCACTATTGGATCCCGGTTCAGTGGTCTAGAGGTAGAGAGTCCACGCGCAAGACTGAAGGTCCCGGATTTGAGTCTTGCGTGCGGGGTCGTGGATGCGTACTGCCCAGGAGTCCCATACTAGGACGAAATGACCATCCGGTGCTTTTGGACTTGTTAGAGCTGAGATAAAAGTGCTTAACAGAAGTATTTTACTATATTTTGAAGCAAATAAGACTTATACATTTAAAAAAAGTCATTAGTAGTAATTAAGAAAACGTTAATTTACTTAAAGAGATTAACAACACGAATGTAATAAAATTTCGCTGATTCATCATTTCTTCAGAATATTTGTTAATAATCTAGTCTAAACTTACACTATTTTCCATAAAGATCTTTTGTTATATATTAAACGGGCTGTTACGGAATACACATTTAAAAGTATTCAAATGAGTATCCATAATGTAATTTAATCAAATTCTATTGTATTTCAATCATTTAACAAATAACATATAGGACATCTGAAATCGTTGTTTTTCTATCACTGAATTATCTAATTGGTCAACTTCTTTCTCCATATCTTCGCTTCTCTCTGAATGTGTGTTTGCTTATTGTGCATGGAAAAACTATAAACAATGATCAAAATCAATTCGCTCCAAGGTCAATAACAATATTGATTCTCAGTTTCATTGACTGGAGAAAATGATGCCTTATTTAAATAAATCTTTTTAACTAATGATTTTCACTAAATTATTTGATTGATGAATATTTGACAATGGTATGGAACGTGTATGAGTTTCACTGTATTTGTATTTGTATCATTCAATATGAAATATTTTGGTTCAATGGCACATAGCTTGTGATTATGTTAGAAAAAATAAAAGCTTTTTCATTGTTTTGAAACGTCATTTCTGAACAGTTCTCTTCAACTGTGGTTATATCTATACAGAGTGTAATACGTCACCGACACGTAAGTTTGTTTACGTTTCATTGTGTTAAATACTCCGATTAGTTTATTTTACAGACAGTTTGATTTGAGCGGTATTAATTTATCTATTCTTTGTATTATTGTTATGTCTGTCTGAACATGTATGCTGTTACTCTTGTTACAGCATACAAATATATCCCTTTTACTAGCTTAAATCTCTCGGTGACTCATTCGTTTATATATATATATATATATGAGGATGGCCCCCGAGTTTACTCAAGGAAAGTCAGAAAGAGCCAAAGAAATTCGATCCAATTATCTTTTAGAAGGACATTCTAGAGTCTCGACGTGTAGCTTCCCTATTAGACAAATGCCAGAAACTACTGTATTCAGATTCGATGACTATGATGGTGATTTCCGTTTTATTAAAAACTGTAACTACTTGAGAATTTTGTACCACGTTTGACACTGTTTACAATAACATTCCCTCTCACTCGTCTTCTGTGTCCTAACATGCGACTTGGAGGGTTCTAGCGTTCGAGTGCTCAAGTAGTACGCGGTAGAGCAAGAATTTAAGCTCTAGATATAACAATATATATACTTGAATCTTATTGATACATTCAACTCTTAGATCCCTGTGTTCACTCACATTCACTGGCATTTTGCGTTTCTTCTGGAATTCGCTCTGTGTGCATGTGGCTTGGTGATCTGCGCTGTACAATGATAAACTGTAGTCGACGTGCTTAAGGAGTTACTTTTTTCTTACCTGAATTTCTAATAGAATATCCATATAAACAGTTAAAGTCCTTATTAGGATTGTATTCAATATATGAAAAATAAAAAAATTACTAATTCACTTACTTCCCATGTGGTTGTTCGATTAAAATAAAAATAAATTGCACAACCCCAAGATACACAAGTTAGTAAAATATATACTAATGATAACATTTGAAAGCGTTCACGATGTCTTAACTTGAAAAGGGGAAAAAAAGAAATTCAGTGAAAACTAAAATACAGCCATTGAAATTTATAATCTAATTGAAAATAATGAATATAGTTAACAGAAAAGAAACATATTGAGATGTAAATGGTGATTATTCCCATAGATTAATTGATTTCGCTATAAATCATAATTCAGAGTACAAATTGGAGTTAGTTTTTTTCTTGTTGTTAAATAAGATGAGCTTACAAAGCAACTAGGATGCATTAAATGCTTCAAAGATATCAAACTATAATACAAGGTTTGTTTATGGGAATGATAGGTGAAGTTAAGAAAAAACAGGGTTTGATATTTAAGTTTCTTCTGGATTAGTTAGTTGTCTGATGCTTAACTTTAACTGGACTAAGAGGTCTACATAGTTACCGAGTCTCAATTGAACATTAATCACAATGTATTCTACCATCTATATTATTACACTCTTCTTATTTCAATTAGAATGAAACTAGATTAAATAAAGAAAGGGAGGCTTAGCTGAATGTTTACTTAACCGCTTATGGTAGGTTTTAGTTACTGTGATGATTCGATCAAGCAAATTTAAGTAATATCATTTAAAACGTATCCACTGAAGACAATGGTGTACGGTGGATTGGTTGAAGTTAGACATCAACACCGTTGGATGCCGGCTCAGTGGTATAATGACTCAGCGCTCGCACGCGAGACTGATAGGTCCTGGGTTCGAATCTCGCGGGGGGCGGGATCGTGGATGTGCAATGCTGAGGAGTCCCATATTAGGACGAAACGGCCGTCCAGTGCTTTCAGGTTTACCATGGCGGTCTAACTTCAATTGACTCATGATTTCAACTATTGAAATTATCCAGTAATAAACAAGAAGTAGGGCTAGTATAATAGAAACCATTATTCTGAGTAATAGGGTAATTTATACATATGGAATTTTCAAGGCCAAAGAAAAAGAGGAGAAGCAAATAACACATTACATCGAGAAATAGAGACAGACATGAGAAAAATGAACGAAAATTGGACAGAACTGGAAAGGAAGGCCCAGGACAGAGTGGGTTGTAGAATGCTGGTCGGCGGCCTATGCTCTGTTAGGAGTAACAGGAGTAAGCAGAAAGTAAGTAAAGGGTAATTTGTAAACAACGCAATCCGTCACTAAAACAACATCAATGACTCTAGATTCGAAATGAATGAGAATTCTAAAAAAATATTATAAATAGCGAAACTATTATGGTATCTAATAAACATTAAGTGACTCGAGATTTGACTCAAATTTGAACAAATGAGTGAATATACCATGAAAAACAAATCTTCCGTTTAATACCATATGTTGCACTTGGACTTAATTCGTTTGAACGACGGAGGGAATAAGAAGCCATGTATAAATTAAGTTGGATTGGTTTATTTCATGCAGACAGACATTAGGATGAGAAACAGGAAAACTAAGCGAAGCAAGAGGAGAAGGCGAACGTTTCAACTCAATTTGATAAGTGACTTTTTAGCACAACAAACCAAAGACAAACATTTTTCTAAACTTCGCGGACAACCGTGATTATGGGATAATGACAAGAAAGAGCTGATTTAGTTAACTATTACTTATAGGAATAAATAATTTGAAAAATGACAGATATATGTCAGTCCCAGTCTCTACACTATACATAAAATTGAAGATTTGGTGTAAACACATCCTAATAATTGTCAAGTACAGTATACAGTTTCAAATGTTGGATTGTCATAACAAAATGGCATCTCATCATTCAGTGGTCGTTGACCTGACCTTCCATTTTTCTGGCTAGCATTTTTTTTAGCGAGTTAGTTTTCTACGGGATGGGGTCGCTAACCCCATACCCAACCCTCCTCCTTTATCCGGGTTTGGGACCGGCAGTAGCCCCCGGAAAGACTCCAGGCGGAGTTGTTGACCTGACCTAGTAAACACGAAATAAACATCAGATTAGAACACAGCGCTGTCATCACAGAAACACGCACTGAATCACTAAATAAAATTAGATTTACCGACGTGTGCAAACGATCAATAATAATATCGGTAACAATCAGATTTCCACTAAATGTATTAGTTAACATCATATCAGTAACATCAACGATGGACATGTGAAGAAAGCCGAAAACTGATTTAGATGGAATAATATCTGAAGTATTGAAATATAGAAAATGTTTATGAAATGACCAGAGTAGATTTCCGATCTTTTTATCTGAATTCAATGGATCCACAGAAACAAATTTGAAATTGTATTAGTACAACTGTGCTGAACAAGATTACTAATGGGAACAACCCAATATATTTAAATATAAATTTACAGAATCTCTTAGTACAATCTGAAAACAATACAGTAAATACTTCATTTGCGAAATGTCCATCAATTGTCTTAGACTTCGTTTTTTCTTCATTTCCATATCAATCACTCTCTGTTTTCGTTCTCTTCTCTTCAATCTTCTGCCTTCAGGCATTCCACTTTCCATTGGTGATACATACTACTTATATCTTGTTGTAACGGGTGGACTGCAGGTTAAATGCGCGTGCGTATTTATCGATCGAATCAGTGACACGTAAGGACGACCTAGAGTCACGATTGGTCCCACTTCCCTGTCTAGCCCAGCCAGTTGAGTCTAGAACGCAAGTCACCGCCTCTGAGTTATGAATCATTATATTTCAGACATACTCTATTTATATACTAACCAAAATAGAAAACAACATCTGTACAATATTTAAAGAGTGAAATAAATAATGGCCAATAGGAAATGCCCATTTAGAGTCCAAGGACATCATTCGACTTAACATGATAATGATTGGCACATTATTCCTCAGCATCCATAACATATCTGTCGGCATCAGTAGCACACACTACGCAACTATAGATTAAAATCTACGTTGATTCACCTTTGATTATTTTTTTAATAAGCACAACTACCTTCATGTACTAGCGTAAAATTTCTGTGTATTTGACATTGTCTGAAAGAAAACAACAACTGTATCACCCATGTACAGTAAATACCCATGAGATCATATTGTGGTGTATGCTACTTATGTCTGTCGAAATAAGTAGTATGTGACACCAACCGGAAGTGAAAAACCTGGTAGCAGAAAGCTAAGAAGATCGAGCTGAAGCGAATAAAAAAAAGCAGTTGTGAACTGGGAGAATCATACAGAGTGTGAAGGCCAAATGATGGGCATTTGCAAATGAAATACTCAGTGTATGGTTCTCATATTTTACCAAGACATTCTGTAATTTCGTAATAAATATACATTGGTTGTCCCCACTCGTGTTTTCGTTCACAACAATATGACTGATAAAACATGCGCGTGTATATATAATTTGCAATCATATATGCAAAATATGATTCGGTAACAAGATGGTATAAAATTAATTAATATGTAAAATAATGATCTATGGACTAGGAAGTAGTGAGAAAAAAGCAATCAAGCAGTGATCACATAAATGTAACAATATACTTGGAAAATCTAAATTTGAGTAGATTCAAAGTACTTTAAACACAAAACAAAATTTTAAAAAAAGATGGTCAATTTTTTATTTGTCAAATCCAAGGTAACAGAGCAACCTGTTACACTTGTAAGTGTATAACTATGAAATATGTAATCGATGTGTTTGTAATTGTTTATCTGAGATACGGACCGGAAATTAAGAAAATGTGATGGTTTTTGTTCGATATCTAGTTTTACGACATGGAGTTGGATAGCTGAATGTAGACTAATTCATTGATTTAGAAAATTCTGTTAGCTTTAGTGGTTCGATCACCTAGGAATAACAAAAGACTTATTCGACATTTTCTGAATTACGTTAGTTATGGTAGGGGTGAATGTTTGACTAAAAATCAAGATGAGTGTATCATATAGCAATTTCTAATGTGTTACTGAACAATTAAAACATTGAAGTCAAAGAATAAAAACATGTGAACATCATAGGAATTCGATAATGATATTTATTGAAGCATGGCTCGTAAAAGATTGGATGACTGAGATATACTCAACATACAAAAAAGAAACCTAAACACATTAGAATAAATTCGCGAGATATTTTTCGAGCACAATGATAGAGTATGTTAACATACTTCTTGACACTAGTAAATCTGTTATTAATTAAATGCTAAATACTGTCAAAATTAACAGTAAAAGACGTCAAACGAGCACTTCTTAAAGGTACATCACACTCAGTTAGTCACAACGTAGAACTTTTATGTATATAGATCGGTTCAAGTTCGCCACTATTCTAAGGTATATTTCACGAGGTATATTTCGCGAGCAGGATCGTGGATTCGCACTGCTGAGGAGTCCCACAATAGGACGAAACGGCTGTCCAGTACGTCCACCTTTTCAAAGGTGGTCTAACATCAATGGGTTCATGATCTCAATTAAAAACTTAATAATCTCCACGACCCTATACTGATATATTTTATCATCTTTGATTCTTAAACAAAACAGTATACAACACAGTCAATATGTGATGAAAAATAAACTTAAATTTTGCTTGAAAAAACTGCCCTTTTTGAAAATTTAATTACACAATTAATTGCTTACTTTCATAATTGCATAGAAAAATGTGTACATCAATAAATTGATCATAAATATTGATAATAAAAAAGTAGAAAAATCTCTTGGTCGTTTGACTATGCCATAACCGGCTCTGTAAACAGAAAACATATGGTATGGTACATATTACTAATTACATATAAAACTTGGCATGACAAAGATACACACGTACAATTAACCACAGAGAACCGATACTGAATGTTTCAAAGTTAATTAATCATGTACCAGCAAATCTTTTCATTAGAATTCAAGCTCATCTTTTACACATCAAAGTCTATAGTGACTTAGTCAGTCACCTACAACGCAGGACCAGGCACATATATGCATCGGTCCAAGTTGCCATACCTCATTAACACAACAAGGTGAACACCGGATTCATAAAAGTAGTCAATTTAGAGGTGGTAATATATAAAAGAAAGATTTCATATAAGGATATAGTACAGGAAAAAAGAATTAATTCGTAGTAAGAAAGATATGAAGCGATTTTAATCTCTTAGTTTAAGGGAAGACAAAGAGTGTATACACCTACGCCATTGTGATCGATTCTGAGCCATGTCACCAAGAGTCTAACCATAGTGATTCAAGTAAAAACAAAAACCCTAGTCTTAACAATTCTAAAGAAATTTCTAATATACCTTCATATTCTTATTGATTAAGAGAGATTAAGTAAATAAACTTATCAAATTTTCATTTCTATAAATCTTTTCTTTACTATTTGTGTTTGTGATAGGTAGGTGATGATAGTTAGTAATGTGGTGTCAAAACAAAAGTTGATGAGTCAGTGTTTGTAGCTACGATATCCAGTGTATTAATCGACAAGGCACCTTTCTAATATCCATTTATATTATCATAAATGAAATAGGGTAATTCTATCGTTTTTAGTGACCTATAGTGGGTGCTTTTATTATTTAATGCTCACTAAATCATGTAATCAGAGCATCTGCTAATTTAAGATCCAATTCAGAGCAACTAGTTTTATTAACTTTACGAAACAATATAATTAAGCAGCTGACTAAAAGTGGATCTAAAATATCTGAGTTCAAACAAAGACGTGGAATCACTATGAAGTTATTGATTGTTAATCCGAGGAGTGTTGGTAAATGTAGACAATATGCTTGAGGTTCGAGTGATAACCGCGATCAATCGTTGGACGACTGGGTGATATGGCTCACAATCGTTCACAATGCTGAAGATGTATTCACCTGTTGTCTTCCTTTCGATATTTAGTTCCATTATTCCTGTATATATACCTACCTTTACACTCAGTATTTCAAACCACATTTTCAGTGCTGAGTCTTTCTGACTTTCCTTGCTACTACATTATTTCCTTCTCACTTGTTATTGATCTTATCGCCATGTTAGTTTGGTATGGAAACTAGGGTTAACACATAATAATTCCTGGGTCTATATTGATAATGACTGACCAAGATATTTAAAAAGACATTTAAAGAATCCAGATATTAATGTGTCCATTATAGGATCCCTCTACTTATCTTTTCAGTGTCCTTCGAAAAATGTACACTATCTCTACTACATAATTCATCTAGCTATTGGTCTATATCATCAAATATCGGTACATTAATCATATTTATTTTAACGGCTGCTCGGTTTATAATTACCGAATGATCAAACTGTTTTTCCAAGGTGTTATACATGCTATTTAAATTGTTTACAGAGTAACATAATCAATTACCTATATGATTCAATCTTACTTACTTACTTACTTACACCTGTTACTTCTCGTGAAGGAGCATAGGTCGCTCACCAGCATTCTCCATCCAACCCTGTCCTGGGCAATACTTTCCAGCTCCTTCCAGTTGTAATTCATCGTTTTCATATCTGCTTCTATTATCCGACGTAATGTGTTCTTTGGCCTTCCTCTTTTCCGCTTCCCTTCAGGATTCCAAGTTAGGGCTTGCCTCGTGATGCAGTTTGACGATTTGCGTAATGTATGTCCTATCCATTTCCATCGTCTTTTCCTAATTTCCTCTTCAGCTGGAGGTTGGTTTGTTCTCTCCCACAGAAGGCTATTGCTGATGGTATCCGGCCAATGGATGTTGAGTATCTTGCGTAGACAGCTATTTATAAATACTTGTACTTTCTTGATTGTGGTTGTTGTAGTTCTCCAAGTTTCAGCTCCATACAGTAGAACTGCCTTGACGTTCGTATTGAAGATTCTCACTTTGATATTGGTTGAAAGTTGTTTTGAGTTCCATATGTTCTTCAAATGTAGGAATGCGGCCCTTGCTTTGCCAATCCTCGCCTTTACGTCTGCATCTGAACCTCCATGTCTATCGACGATGCTTCCCAGATATGTGAAGGATTCTACATCTTCCAGAGTTTCGCCATCAAGAGTGATTGGATTGCTGTTCTCCGCTTTGAATTTGAGGACCTTAGTTTTCCCTTTGTGTATGCTGAGGCCTACTGATGCAGAGACTGCTGCTACACTGGCTGTCTTCATCTGCATCTGTTCGTGTGTACGTGATAGGAGGGCTAGGTCATCTGCGAAGTCCAGATCGTCTAATTGGTTCTGAGCTGTCCATTGTATTCCGTGTTTTCCTTCAGATGTTGAGGTCTTCATAATCCAGTCGACCACCAGAAGAAAGAGGAAGGGAGAGAGTAAACAGCCTTGTCTGACTCCGGTCCTTACTTGGAATGCATCTGTCAGCTGTCCTCCATGCACTACTTTGCACTGTAGTCCGTCGTATGAGTTCCGGATAATATTGACAATCTTCTCAGGAACTCCGTAATGTCGAAGAAGTTTCCATAATGTCCTCCTATCTACACTGTCGAATGCCTTTTCATAATCAATGAAGTTGATGTACAGTGACGAGTTCCACTCAACTGATTGTTCGACGATGATCCGTAGTGTTGCAATTTGGTCTGTGCACGACCGATCCTTTCGGAATCCAGCTTGTTGATCTCGAAGTTGGGCATCTACTGCATCCTTCATCCGGTTCAGCAACACTCTGTTGAAGACTTTCCCTGGTATTGACAGTAGTGTGATGCCTCTGTAGTTTTCACATTTGCTCAGATCTCCTTTCTTTGGAATCTTGATGAGGTGTCCTTCTTTCCAGTCCATTGGCACTTGTTCCTCCTCCCAAATCTTTTTGAATAGAGGGTAAAGCATGCTTGTGGTTACTTCGACGTCTGATTTCAGTGCTTCAGCTGGTATGTTGTCGGGTCCTGCTGCTTTCCCGTTCTTGATTTGTCTGACGGCCATTCTAATTTCTTCCGTCGTTGGTGGGTTGACATCTATAGGAAGATCTGTGTGTGCTGCTTCGATGTTCGGTGGATTCATTGGAGCCGGCCTATTCAGGAGTTCCTCGAAGTATTCTACCCATCTGTTTCGCTGTTGTTGAATTTCAGTGATTGGCTTGCCTTCTTTGTCTTTGACCGGCCTCTCTGGTTTACTGTATTTCCCTGATAGTTTCTTCGTTGTATCGTAAAGCTGTTTCATATTTCCTTCTCTAGCAGCTTTTTCTGCCGTCGTTGCTAATTCTTCCACGTATTTCTTCCTGTCGGCTCTAATGCTCCTCTTCACTTGCTTGTTTGCTTCTATGTATTCAGCTTGTGCTTGGACTTTCTCTGCTCGTGTTCGGCTGTTGTTAATTGCTGTCTTCTTGTTCTTCCTTTCTTTGATCTTGTCCAGTGTTTCTATAGAGATCCATTCCTTATGATGGTGTTTCTTTAGGCCCAGAACCTCTTGACACGTTGAAGTCAATGTTTCTTTGATGCCTTTCCAGTTGTCCTCCATGGTAGTTTCTTCTTCCTTCAGTAGATCTTGAAAGGCTTGGAACCTGTTGTTGAGAGCTATCTTGAATTCATTGAGTTTGTCAGTATCTCGAAGGAAGGCTGTATTGAACCTTTGTAGTGCTGTTTGTCCACTTGTCCAGTTCTTTTTTAGCTTCAGTTTTAAATTGGCTACAACTACATAATGACAATGACCATTTATTGAATACTTATCTTGTAGTGGTTATTAACTTTATAATCCGATTGATGTTTAGAACTCCAATTGATCAGTCTCTTATCGGGAAACAGCTAATGCAAAAATGAATTAAACTTCATTCCATTACACAAGCACGTGGCTATCTGGACTCAGTAGCAAAGTGGATGTTTGAGGTGAACGGTACTACGTTCGAGTCCCGGAGTGAACATCAACTTTGGTATGCAGGTACACCCCAGCTGACGAGTCCAAAATAGGACGAGACGCGCGCCTTGGATTCCACTGCTAGCCACTATTTATTTCTGCTTATAATGATTTTTGACTTAAGGTAATAACGAGGCAATACGCACAGGATACACATATGCCGATAAGAAACTGATCATTTGCAGTCATAGACATCAATGGAAAGATTCAAACAACCAATACAAAAATGAATGGTAGACATTTTTTCAGTTGTGTCACATGAGAAGTAACAGTTGGAAGCACAATTTATATTTCGTCATTTGAATATGATTCTATATGATTGAGTTTTATTGTTATTATCGCCTCTCTGTTATTGTTTTCACTGGAACTCAATACAAAGAAAAGATAGACATTAGCCATTTTCGAGGCACTGATACACATTCACATTAAATTGATCTATACCATTTTTTAAACATAAACAACATATAAGATGATGTGTTGAATCAACAAATACAAAGTAAATAAGTTAGAATAAAATAGAAAAACTGTTTCATGTTTTTCTACTAATATGGAGTCATATAATAAATTGATTAAATAAAAATATGAGTTTGGTATACCATAAGGAGTGTATATCGCAACTGAAGTTGAACGTGAAACAAATGCTTCTAATCATCAAATATTATGAAATTCAATAAATTGGTGAGTGTAAAATGAAATACAAACACGTTTTTCTTAAAAACTTACAAGGTGAAATTAACTAGATTAGCAATAAGTAAAAGAAGCATACGCTCTAAATAAGTTGGACGAAGACAACCAATTCCATCTGTACGAATTAAATAATAAATACGTCTTGGAAGGCATAAATCTTGAAAAAAGAAACAGAGAAGAGAAATGTGGTTTAAAGAAGTACATAATGACGAATAACAACGTTATAAAATCAAAAATAATATCAGTTAGGGCAAACACACTGTCGTCTATTGGTACAACTTCCCTAGTTAAGTAACATAAAAGTTTGTACACAAAAACTAAGTATAAAATGATGCATAAATTTTTTAAAGTTAGATTATAATGGGAAATTTTTTACAACTAGTGACTTCTTAAGTTTAATTAGAGATGGATGGGGGCTAGCACTGGAATCCAGGACGCGTTATTAGTCGTCGTTGGGACTCAGCAGTTGAATGTACCTGCGTCCTAGAGTTCATTTTCACTCTGGAAAAATCCAAACAGCCAATATGTATGAATTAAAATTCACTCCATCACACAAGTCAGTGGTTTTTTATTTGATAGGCCATACTAATGTTAAATGAACACTTCGTATAGATAAATGTCAAGTTTAATCTCTTTAAAAAAATATGAGTTAGCCGACTAAAAAAAATCAAACTGGTAACAATCAAAATAACTCACAATAAAAAAAATGCAATATGTATGTGGTTGGGAAGAGTAGTACATTCTCAAAATCTATCTCAACGTGTTATGACGGGGCAGGTATTAAGGACATTATAACTTTGGTGACTATTTAAAGGACTTATTATCATTTACATTTTTATTGTATAATTAGTAGGTAACTGTACTATTGTATTTCTATATTCTCCCTATTGTAAGCTTCCACTAGATTTAATGACTATAGTTATACGATTTATTATTTGCTGTTTGAAGAAATTATGAGATCCCCTAAATATCAGTCAATGGAACACAACGAAAAAACAGCTCAACTATTTCCAATGCATCCCAGACTCCTTAACCAAAAGGAGAAGTGGGAAATACAATCTGAACGTATAAATGGGCTCTTTTGGCACGAAAACTAGAAATTCGAGTTTCCAAAACAAAATTACAAAAATAAGATATTTAACAAGTGATTTCTGGGGATCTAGCACCCCCAACATTATTCCTTAATTATTGCTGATTAATTATGTACCATTCTCCCCGTACTCTGTCACTTACGGGATGGTTGTATGTAGAAGTATGATTTCATATGTGGCGCGTGTTGTGGTATGACAATTCATGTACGTAAACTAATGTGTTTGAGATATATTTTCCGGGTGCCTGAAATATTCAAAAAAAGTATGACTACTCTGTTCTCTTGTTGAATCGAAGAGTGGAAATCAATGAACCAGCAAATTAGGATTATTCTCGGTTCAATTCAAAGTTTAAACTTGCCAGTCGAAGCATGTTATTAGTCAGAGCTTAGGGTCAAAATAGTACGAACCGAAATAAAGTACGTGGGAGTATAAAAATAGTGGCTAGATTTCTGATTGGCAAATTTAGAAAGTGGTATCGATCAACGTCTCAAACATAACACAATGGGTGATGTATAATTATATAGGATTAATTTCAAAGAAAGCTAGAGGCACCCAACCATGACAGCATCAGTCCATGAAGTCAGTGACTGTCGAACTAAGCCGCCTTGGTAGATGTAGACTAGCTGGTTGAGCCTAGAACGTTTATTTTGACCAATGATTGAAGATGTTCCAGGATATGACCCAGAATATATATAAAATTAAGACTAAATATTCAACTCACCAATATTCCACTGACCCATATAATAAATCTCAACAGTTAATATAACGCTCATAATTAGAAAGAAGATAGTGAATATAATCCAAAAAATCTGATTCCCATATAACTAAAAGAATTACAAAAGTAAAGAAACAAGAAAAACTAATCTAAAATTTGCAAGTATAATTTTCCCTCATGCACGTACACATACACAAGCACCGATTAAGACTAAATGCTTGACATTACAATGTATTAGATATAGTCAGCAAGAAAACAATAACCTAAGATAAGTATGATAATAATAAATTTACAAGACTGATGTTATTCTGACTGACTGAGAGGTGGTTTCAGGATTCAGGTACTGTAAAAAAAGAAACCATGATACAACTTTAAGACTTAGGTTATATTGTGATTATTATTATTATATTCCATAGGAAGCCATGTTAGGATGATCTTGTTTCGTATTTTTATGTTCAAAGCCATTTCAAGTGTTTAATTTGAGATTCGATGTAGGCAACTTTAATTACAAACTCAATATCAGCTGAAGAACTATTGAAGATTAGATAGCAATTATGGGTTGGATTTAGAACATCACCCCCAGGATTAAACCTACATCCATGTTTTGGAGTGGGGAAAATGTCACTTAGTTAGAGTTCAAATCTAATGATTCATGTTTTCCAGTGTTAGTCTATTCAAGATAAAGTATTATTCTCATTTATGATGTAAATGATGAGTTACTATTCTATTGACCCTATGTCACAATCCTTATGCAACAGATTTCTACTACCACGCTAAGAAACCAGATATCAAGTTAGTTACCAGCAAACGACCGTTAATAGTATGTCAAGGTGCTGTTATGGAGTCTTAGGGAATTGTCACGAGGAGGAGTACGTTTGGGCCATTGGAATTATTAACGGAATACTAATGGATAAATGACAGTGATAAGGTGTGGCCTACTCATAACTGCAAAGGAGATCGACTAATTGGTGCAAGGATCCGTTACTTTACTACCATTGTACTATTTGTTCGATCAATTCCAACAATGATGACCGGCTCACTTTCACATATATCATATGGCCAGATTTTACACTTATAAATAGAGATTGATTTCAACTACAATTGATGAGACTTGAATTCTGAAGTTCTTCAAATAATAATTTTCTGATTGCTTCCTAGCTCATTACAACTTTGACAGAGAATTAAAAAGGGTTAGAGATATAGAAGATTTCCCTCGAAGGTTAGACTATGTACAGAAAACAAGATTACTTACAGGAGTACGGGTGACCTTGAGATTTTAGAAGCTCTGGGGTAAGATCATAGGCTTGTTAGTGAATGCAATATTAAATAGATTAGAATAAGAGATAAAAGTAGTTATTTTCCAGTCATTTTGGAATTTTATAAAAACCGCCGATTAATCAAAACATTTTTCTTAGTCATCTGGAGACATTTTTTCTAGAAACTGCCAATAATTCCCCATTTTATTTATTTGAACATAAATATTGGTACAAAAGGGCACTGAATACATATGCGTCACACAAATCACTTGGTTTGTGTGTGGGCTGTGATACTGCCTGGGAGCCCAAACCGAAGCAGTAAGTGTTTGATTTTACGTCTGATGTTTTTTTAGATCTTCCTTTCTTTTAATACCACGACAAGATCTCCTCCTTAACAGGGACGAGAGAGAACTATCCATAAAGGACGGACTGACATGTGACTAAGTGAAAGACAATTTCCAAAGGAGTTCTAGAGGGCAAGTAAAAGAACATTTAAAATATAGATTACAGCCTATACCAAAAATTATAAATACGTCTGTTGTTAGCAATCACTCCAGTAGACGCTTCCCCAGTTTTCTTCTGCTTTTTGATTTGTAACTTGAGGGTTCTACATAATCAAGTGCCGAAGCCGTATGTCGTATTAGTGATAATCAAGTAGCAGACTTATCAGACATTCAGTGATGAATTTTTATTAGTCTTTATTAGTATTATTATTAGTAGTATTTAAAGTGAATAGTGCTTGGTTCGAGTCCAACTGTGAACATCAATACTCGGATGCAAGTACATTCGATTGACGAGTCCGAAATGAGGCGAAATAAGTATCATATATTCGATTGCTATATACGACTAATCTATGCTATAAAAAAGTAGTTATTGATCAGATTATTTATTGTTGTCTATAGTATATAGTAACACATTTTTGAGATTTAACATGTACTTGTTAAGAAATGAAACGAAATACTTTGATCTTTAATTTAAATTAGAATAGTTTAGTTTATAAGAGAAAGACCAAAGAACATATTACACTGAGAAATGGAAACAGACATGAGAAGAATGGACAACAGTTGGATAGAACTAGAAAGAAAGGCCCAGGACAGAGTGGGTAAGTAAAGTAAAGTAAGTAAGTAATAAACATGTAATTCAAAATTAGCTATTAAATTGTTAAATTTAGTTGTAATTTATTGAACATTTAACAGAATATGAATTTAATCAACTTTAATCTCAAATTTAATTTAATACAGATTTATTTTATTAAATAAAATTTAGCTGATTTATTCATAGTAGATTGATACAATTTGATAATTATGATAAAATACCTTCTAGCTATGACTTTACTTGAACAATATAATTATAGACAATTGTGATGAGACTATAATTTATGGACAACCTTTCAGAGATGATCCTTAAATGACTATGATAGTGTTTACTTTTAAGATTAAATGAAAATTATATATTAGTGTGAGAATATAGAATTAAGAATTTGAGTTTCATATTAGGGTTAGGAAATTGAATAAAGGTTTTCATCATGAGCTGATATCAGTTCTTACAGCAAAATTCTATTTAACTAATTGGATGAATGAATTTCGAGCTAAAATTCAAGACATGCAATCTTGAATTTGATTGGCTCGTTCATCTGTTATCCTCATCACAGTCAGTCAGTAACAACGTAGAACTTCGTACGTACGTACATTAGCTCGAGTTGCCACACCACATTAGCACAAAGATGCAGTGGTCGATTCAAATCCCGTAGTGGTAGATGTAGTAAAATTATAAGCTGTAATCAGAAAAATTAGGGTTTGAAGATGTTATTCAAGGATTATAGTCCAGTGAAATAAATCTGGAAAGAGAAGAAAGAAAGGGACATGAAGAATTCAGAAGATTAGAATTTGAGAGAACACAAAGAGCCATGTCATTCAGGGTCTCTAACCATCGGTTGCTTTCATCTCGCGGTCCCCAACCAGGTAGCCTACACCTACAAACATGAATCAGTCCACTTGTCAGTGACTTCACGGACTTGTGCCATGTTTTGGTCTGACCGCCACTAGCTTTCTTCCAATCTACTCCTATACAACAAAAAATCGCACATCGAGGCAGTCGGTGGCTGGGCATATGTAACACGTGTCCCAGCCATCTCAACTGATGAAGTTTCACCACTTCATTAATTGATTTGCCATCCTTACCTAGTACCCGTTTCCTAACAACTGCGTTACTTACTCGATGGTCCCATGATATACGAGCAATATTTCGAAGACACCTATGATCAAATACTAGTAACCTACGGATGTCCTCTACTACTACCAGCCATGTTTCACTGCCATAAAGTAGGACGGAACGAACTGCTGCGCAGTAAAATCGTCCTTTGGTTGATAGACGGATATCCCGCCTACACCATAAATGACGCAAGTCGGCAAAAGCTAGTCGAGCCTTCTGTATCCGTGCTGAGATTTCCTCACACACCAGACCACAAAGGCTGATGAGACTTCCAAGATAAGTGAAGCGATCGACACGCTCAATTACTTCACTCCCTATCATTAGATCGGGTGTCAATGCAACTCAATCCTGAAGCAACATTTTGCATTTCGAGGAGGAGAATCGCATCCCGAACACGATTGCATTGTTGCTTAGAGTGGTCAGAATACTCTGCATTTTGTCAGCGTCTTCACCAAATAAAACTATGTCATCTGCATATTCTAAGTCAACAAGTGAATCTCCCGGTAGAAGTTCAACATTTGGAAATCTAGACGAGGAGAGTGTTATCTCTAAAAGTACGTCAACGACAAAGTTGAACAAGAATGGAGAGAGTGGACAGCCCTGAAGAACACCACTTGAGGTAATCAATTCTGATGACAGTTCGCCATAAGCTCTCACTCTACCAGTTGTGTTCGAGTAGAGAGCCTTTACAAGGTTAATGTACTTCTTTGGTACTCCTTTCAGTGACAAACACTGCCATAGAACCTGGTCTATACAACCACGTCCAGGTCGAAAACCAGCATGGTTTTCTCTAGTCTCCTCTTCACGAGCTTTAGTTAGGCGTTGAAGTATTATTGAAGCTAATATTTTAGACACTATATTTGTCAAACTGATTCCTCTGTGATTGTCACAAGAGGACTTTTGTCCTTTCTTATAGACTGGCACAATCAGTGATTGAGACCAGTCAGATGGGATTACGTCCAGTTCCCAGATTCTACCTAAGTCCCCAATCAATCTCACTGATAATACTGGACCACCATCCTTAAAAATCTCAGGAGTAAACCTGTCAGGGCCTGCTGCTCTCCCTCGCTTCAGATTTCCTATGGCTTTTTCAACTTCGTAAAGGGACGGAGGACCTACATTAACTTGCCATTCAGGTTGACTAGAGATCGTGGGAAACCGAAGTGTGGCTGGAGGCCAGTTGAACTGATCCCTAAAGTGTTCTGCCTATCGATCCAATCTCCTGGATTGAGAATGAATAATATGTCCATCTTTCTCTGAGATTGTTTCGCTAACAGTCGGGTTTCTCATTCCGGTTTCCTTAACAAGTCTGAACAATTGTCTGTTATTACCTATTGCCGCTGCCTTTTCCATCTCTCTTGCTTTCGCTACCCACCACTGTTCACGATCATTGCGTAGACTTGTCAGCTTGCGCTTAAGCTGACTCCGCTCCTCATTATGTTCGGAGCCAGGTGGAATGAGTTTCCGAGCATCTACCAGTGAGATAGATGCTGCTGAGATCCAGTGTTGCTCCCTAACCTTACGGGTTACCGTACTAGCAGATATCACTGCTGTTTCCACAGATTTTCGGATATCATTCCATGCTGCATCGGGGTGGGCATCACCTACATGGCTGCCTAACTGTTTTCCTAGTTGTTCCTGAAATATACTCTTAGCTTGACTATCATTAAGTAGGCCCCTAAGAGGTTTCCTTGCAGCGTCTTTCCTACGTCCAGTAAGACGCAAGCAAATACGCGCTCGTACTAGAGCATGATCTGAATCTAAGCATGTGCTCCAGAATGAGCGACAGTCTTCTATCGAGCCCCTTCATCGGTGGCTGATAGCGATGTGATCTATTTGGATCCAACGTTGGGACGAATTAGGAGGTCGCCATGTTAAAAGATGTTTTTCCTTATGCTTAAAGTTAGTATTTGCAAGGAACAGGCGGTTATCTGAACATAGCTGCAACAGACAGTCGCCATTATCTGTTCTTTGAGCCACGATGCTATAAGATCCACTCAGGTGTCTTTCCCTATCGCTTAGTTTACCTACTTGAGCATTAAAGTCACCGGCCACCATTACTATATCCGAGAGCCTAGCTTTTCGGAGAAGGTCGGAGCTTTCTGTAAAACTCATCTTTTACATCATCTGAGCTGCAGTCAGTGGGAGAATAGGCAGAGACGACGAAAAGGCAACGACGAGTGTCCCTGTCTTCTCGGATCCTTACTGTTCCGTTTAGTCGGACAGCGCACAAACGACTGTCTACTGGGATCCACTCTAAGAGAGCTAGTTCTGCCCTAGGACTCAATGCTATACCTACGCCGGCGAGGCCACGGGAAGCAGAATCAGGGCTTCCAGATACACGAAGTGTGAATCGAGTCGGTTCTTTATTTTGGCATGGTGAGGTCAAATGAATGATGCTACTCGGATCCTGTGTGCGCGTTTCGGAGACGCAGCACACATCGATGGCGCGGGATTCTAAAGTTTTAGCTAAGGAAGCCTGCTGTCCTATTTGGCAAAGTGTTCGTACGTTAAAAGCTCCTACGTGTAGTTTAGAGCGTGGTTTCAGGAGACCAGGAATGGCGTCCCGCGTACTCGAATCGTTTGCCCTAGCGGTGCGAGGTGATAAAGAGACGTGAGGAGGTTTAGTCATAGAGATAAGAGAGGTATCAGGAGGTGTAGGAAGGATTCGAATGTGACCAACTTGGTCTCGTGTGCTGTTAGGGGTATGAGGGCTGATATCACTCCCCGGCTGCCCACACCGTGGAAGATCCTCATCACAGATACTAACTGAGGAAGTATTGAATTCTATGGAGTAGTAAACATACAGTTTGGTGATAAGATTTAACTGAACATAAGTTTTCATTTCTTTCTATGTATTACGAGCCGGATTGTCATGTGAAGATAAATTTGTACATTCACTTTTTGCCTATTCTTTAGGTTAAAGATTTTTCATATAATCTCTTTGAGAAGTTTCTATTAAAAGTCAATTGGAAAAAGTGTCTTCAACCTACTTATAGCCTCCGAGGACTTTTATGAGGACTTATCAAGGGCCCAAAGAGATTTTTATGTAGGGTGAATATTCCTTGAATTCAATTTAAAACTAAGTAAATAGTTCTTGTGTAGTATTCATATTTTAATTAAATGACAAATAATTTGATAAGTTCTACTTGTAATAGTACCAATTCACCTAAAATACACTTCAAGGTTATGAATCGAAACGAGGACTTGAATATATGGGTCTCAGGAGGCAACAACACATGATTAAGAGCTGCTAACCGAATTAAGTTCATAACGAAGCGAAAAGGACTGGGGTATTTCAAGAGAATCTCTAGCTCGAAAAATACCAGATTTCACTAATAAACTGAGACTCCATTATTAACCACCGAACAAAATTTATCTTTAGGTACAGACGTTTTAGACTCAGGCAGACTAATTGAATTTAATCATTTTCGAGTGACAGAATGTACGTTTCGTCCTATCTGATGCCCGTCAACCCGAATCAAGTACTTTTCATTTCAGGTGTAAACGCCTTATTAACTAGAATAATGGGTTCAAATCCTCCAGCTACAATTCAGAAATTCAATAAACTTGTACTTTAAGGTTATATTGGGATATTCGATCAGGAAACCTACATGACAAAAAATACAGACCGACCTCACGCCAGAATACTAACAGTGGAAAAACATTAAACGTTAGTACCACTTCTAGTAACAATATTGGTCAATATGCTACCCATTAAACAAACTGGAGGCTATTCACATCCAGCAACATAATGGACAACGTATTGGTTTTTAAAGTAGCAAGTAATACGTTCGAGTTTTATTGTGAACATCAACACCAGGATACAGATGATATCATTTCTTATCTGTACGTGTGACCAGCTGATATTTATATTGCCGAATTCCGTGAACCATTTCACTGAAAAAAATATTACAATAATGACCAGAAATAAAACTTACAACACCAAGAACACCGAGGAAAATAACTACAGCCATAACCATATATGCTGAATGCGCTGATGCATTCACATCAGGATGTCTTGTCTGATAAATTTTTAACATTATTAGCATACCGAGTATATACATATAAGCAGTATCTGAAAACACAAATGATAGGATCAAACAATAATGACTCAGTCAAAAAAGACATTTTAAAGGTTATAAACAGAGATATACAGTACACCTATCCACTCGTAAGACTTTGAACAGGAAGTTTTTTATGTCTAGTACGTGAAAATGGCAGCAGACATTTGCTCTTAATAATTAAAAATATATGAGCCATTGTGTGGTTGTTTGGGCATTTTCCAAGAATAATTATTAATGTCATCCTTAAAAATATAAGCTAATTGTAATAGTTGTGAGTAATAAAAAAGACTTCAGTCAATAAACAACATTAAATATTAGAGGCCTGGTATTACATATTTTGTAAATAAGGATTTTTATCTTAAGAAAAAATACGTTGGTAGTTATTTGTTCCACTCAGTAAGGCTCTTGAAAAAACAAAAAGTATGGTACTGAAATCTGATGGCATCCGCGATTGTTAGCATAAGATTCAGGGATACGTGTTTAACAGCTAAAACTGTATTGATTGAAATAATGAACCGATTGATGTTAGACCACCATGATCTCAATCAAAAACTTATTCTCCACAACCCCCTACCGATAAAACTGTATTAACTTATTACCAGTATATATATATATATATATATATATATATATATATATATATATATATATATATATATATATATATATACTAAGTCATAATCTCTATGTACAGAGAAATACGTCAGAGGTCGGTGAGACTATAATTTATGGACGAATCAATCAGATGTAAGATAACAGGTCTTGGGTTTTGGTGAGAAATTCATTTATCCATTTGGCAAAATAACGTTTTGGGTTCTTAATTGATATCAGTTCGTGATGAACACCTTGAATCTAATTCCTAACTCTAACCATCAACTCGAAACCAAAATTCTAATTTCCCACACTGGTTTATAACTGTTATGTTTCGTTATTTGCTTGAATGCTATTACTGATGCGTCTTACTCGAACGAACGAAGGATCAATGATTCAGCGACTCGATAGCTATTCTGGTCCGTTGTCTTCGACTCAGCTAACTCGATCAAGAAGTCTTGGTAAGGCGTAGAAAGTATATTCTACAAGCAACAGCAGATACCAAGTCAGGCAGGCAGGCAGATCAAGCATACAAATCAAGCGTATTTATACAATTATTTACAATCGATAGAAAATTTTTAAACATTAATCAATGAGTTCATTAATTGACCTATTTGCGCATTTAGTTGATAGTTCATCCATTGACTGCTATTCAAACATTTAATCGATTAGTTCACCAATTGACCCCAATAAAAATATCTAACATTTAATCAATAAGATGATCGATAAGATAAATTTTAAAATATGAGTTTGGGGATCTATCGTCCCCAACACTCCTCCCCTTTTTAATAGCGGGCTTTCTTGGGGTCAACCTGCATCCTGATTGTTGCTCGCCGTTCTCGGATAGACCACCGTCTTGGACGTGTTTCAGTTTGTTGTTGAGGTTTTTCTTGTGGTGGGGTTGCCGGTAAGTTGAATGTGTCTAGCAGAATGTCAAGAGGAATATTTGATTCTGTTGATGGGCGGTCTGGGGCTAACCGTTTGCGTAACTGGTTCCGATGGCGTTGCCACCTGTCACTACCTACCTCAACTTCGTACATGACTCGGCCAACTCTTTTGACCACTCGCGCTTCTGTCCATGGACTATGGGTCGGTCTGTAATCACGGGCAAACACCGGACATCCCACTTCGTACGTGGATTGCTTTTCAAACTTTGTCCGTACTGGTGTCGGTGCATTCCTTGGATGCATCAGGCTGTGGATTGTCTTGAGTCTTCTTCCCATTAGGATCTCGGCTGGGGACTTTCGCTCCGGCAACGTTTCATTTGGTGTTGTTCGATACACGTATAAGAAATTTTGCAACGCGTCTGCTGGCGTCCCCTCCCCCTTTGTTTTAGCCAAGGCTCTCTTAAACGTATCCACAAACCTTTCTGCTTGCCCATTCGACTGCGGGTGGTATGGTGGCGAGCGTAAGTGCTTTATGGCTAGTCGTTGACAGAATGACTGAAATTGGCTGGAGGTGAACTGTGACCCGTTGTCAGACACAATAGTATCTGGTATACCATTTCGAGAGAAAATTTCTGTGAGGATCTGTATTGTTTTAGTTGTCGTTGGCGGTATGATAGGGTTGATTTCAGGCCATTTCGAAAAGGCGTCGACAACAACTAGATAGGTGATTCCGTTAATTGGGCCTGCGAAATCGACATGTATCCTGGACCAGGGATACTCAGGCTGTGGCCATGGGACTGGTAGTATTTTCGCGTTACACTTAGCTGCTTGCTGACATTGTGTGCACTTGCTTACTAAATCCACGATATGTTGGTCCATGAGGGGCCAATAAGCATAGCTTCTGGCGATGGATTTCATTCGTTTTATACCAGGATGACCAGTGTGGAGTTGCTTTAGCACCTTTGATCTTAGGGATTCTGGTACCACTACTCTATCTCCAAACATCAAGCATTCGTTTACGACGCATAATGAGTCCCGACGATGGTAAAGCTGTTTCAAGTCACCATCGAGTCCAGTCGGCGGCCAGCCATTTGTGACGTATTTCATCGCTCTCTTTATGATGGAGTCGTTCTTGGATGCAGATTGTATTTCAGCTGCTGAGACTGGCAAAGCGCGAATAGCAGTTGTCAGGTAGCACTGCGCGTAGTCCTCTGTCATCAGGGAGGCGATAACTGTATCTTCGCCGGCCGTATGGTGTTCGCTGATAAGTCGTGACAAGGCGTCAGCCTGACCAAACTGTTGAGTGCGCCGATACTGAATGTCAAAATCATAACCCAGAAGTATCAAAGCCCATCGTTGGAGACGGTTTGCAGAATGGGCTGGAACACCAGATTTCGAACCGAAAATTGTGAGAAGAGGCTTGTGATCAGTGAGAAGAGTAAATCTTCGACCGTACAAGAATTTGTGGAAACGGCGTACTGCAAACACAAGAGCCAGAGCCTCTTTTTCTATTTGACTGTACTTTCTTTCTGCTGAAGTTAATGTGCGAGATGCGTGCATAATAGCTTTCTCTGTTGCGTCCGGGAACTGATGTGAAATGACAGCACCGAGTCCAAAAGCTGAAGCGTCTGCAGCGACAATGATAGGCATGGACGGATCGTAGTGCGTCAATAATAGTTCAGAGCTAATGATGGTTTTCAGCTTGCAAAATGCAGCTTCACATTCTTTTGTCCAATTCCAGCTGGTATTCTTATTCAGAAGATGATTTAGCGGGGCGCGTATGTCATGCATCGACGGAACAAAAGCTGAATAGTAGCTAATTAGTCCCAGGAATGATCGTAGCTCAGAGATATTAGTGGGAGTTGGCATCTGTTTTATAGCTCGGATGTTTTCCGGATCTGGTCTGCGACCTGCGGCATCAAAGATGAATCCCAAATATTTAACTGACTTCAAGAAAAACTGGCATTTTTCTGGGCGTAATCGGAATCCGTTATCGCTAATGCGTTGTAGTACAGCTTTCGTGCGTTCTCTAAGCTGTTCTAACGATGTGGCAACAATTAAGATATCATCAAGATAAGTTGCGACCCCCGGGATACCCGATAGAATGGTATCCATTAATTGCTGAAAAATAGATGGAGCTGTTTTAACACCAAATGGTAGACGATTATACTGGAATAAACCACGATGAGTATTGATAGTTAACAGCTCTCTTGATGCTTCGTCTACTTCCAGTTGCAAATAAGCATCAGCTAGATCCAGCTTAGCGAAAAATCTTCCCCCATTCAGCATGGTAAATAGGTCTGCGGGAACAGGCAAGGGATAATGATGTTGTTCCAGAGCTTCATTGAGACCTGTTGAAAAGTCAGCACATATACGTATCGTGCCGTTGGCCTTCTTAATAACCACGATAGGTGCTGCCCATGCAGAGTAGGAAACGGGAGTGATAACTCCTTGTTGTTGAAGGCGGTTCAATTCTTCATCTACTGTTTGTAATGTTGCATAAGGGACAGGTCTCTTTGGGCGAAAAACAGGCTTAGCCCCAGTTTTCAATCGAAGTGTTGCTTTCATGACAGAGCAGCGACCCAATCCAGGTTGGAAAATGGTTGAAAACTCCGTCATTAGTTCTTTCGAATATGCTTCAGGCTCATGAGGTTGTTTCACCAGATGGCATACGGTGCTTAAAGGAACGTCAGCTAAATGTAGCTGGTCAAACCAGTCTAACCCAAGTAGATTAAGATCAGCTGGTGTGATGTAACATACACCGGTAAACGTTGAATCGTGAAAAGACACTTTACAATCTAGTTGTCCCAACAAACGTAGGTAATTACCGCATGCAGTTCGAGGTTTTTGTGTTGTTGGAACCATGCGTGGTCTTCCCATTCTGATCCAATATTTTTGTGAGAGAATTGTTACATCAGATGCAGTGTCTACTTGCAATCTAGATGGGTGCCCATTAATGTTAACGGTAATAAATTTTCTCTGACTTCGTGATGAGCTTTGACACGAAGATACTAAGCTCAATGAACTGGTGCGGGATCTAGGACAGGTCTTGTTGGTATTTCTTGATTGACTTGGAGTCTTCTTCGTCAGACAAAACCCATCCTTATGGCCAATAACCTTACACTTCTTGCATCGATGTTGATTAAATGGGCAGTTTCGAACGTAGTGCCATGCACCACATTGCCAGCAAGGAGCAGGAGGAGTTGCTTTAGTCTGTCGTCTAGAGCTGGAGTGAGATGGACTGGATGAAGCGGGGACGTGTTTGTTTTTGTGAGGTGTCTGTTGCACCGCTCGTACTTCAAATCGGCTAGAACCACCACTCTGGACCATAGAAGTGTCTCGTTGAAGATTAATGAGACGTTGATATTCATTAGCTATATCACTCAGGGTGAGTTTCGGTTCTTGATCCAAACGACTTAGTAGCCTTGTTCGTAAGTCACTGAACTTTTGGTGCTGTAGGCTGCAAATAAGGATCAGGGCTTTAAACTGATCTTCAGTCAAGGACTTTAACCGGAAGCGTTCGCATTCACGGTTGACGACGCCCACATGCGTAAGAAAATCATCATCTTCGTTCATAGTTAGCTTCAAGCAACGATAACGAGTATTAAACAGTGACGAGTTATCGCCAAAATGTTGGATTAATGTTTGAACTGTGTCTGCAAATGATCGATCACGTGGGTTCAACGGCAAGATCAGATTGCAATACTTGTCCAGCTCATTTGCACCCAGTTTACGAAGTAGCAGCCGCACTTTCCAAGCATCATCTTGATTGGCGAAATCAAATTTAAATAGATCTTCATAACGCCTGAACCACATTTCAAAAGTAACATTAGAATCAGGATCGTAATGAAATTCAGCTATGCTATTTGCGATGCCATCTACTGATGGTGCCGTGGTTGAACTAGACGAGCATGGCTGTAAGGGAGGCGTAACCTTGGTCTCCATTAACATTTGCATCAATTTTAGCTGCTGCTCAAGTAACAGTTCAAGTTTTGCAGGGTCCATAATCGAAAAACCCCCGTCGCCAAATTTGTTATGTTTCGTTATTTGCTTGAATGCTATTACTGATGCGTCTTACTCGAACGAACGAAGGATCAATGATTCAGCGACTCGATAGCTATTCTGGTCCGTTGTCTTCGACTCAGCTAACTCGATCAAGAAGTCTTGGTAAGGCGTAGAAAGTATATTCTACAAGCAACAGCAGATACCAAGTCAGGCAGGCAGGCAGATCAAGCATACAAATCAAGCGTATTTATACAATTATTTACAATCGATAGAAAATTTTTAAACATTAATCAATGAGTTCATTAATTGACCTATTTGCGCATTTAGTTGATAGTTCATCCATTGACTGCTATTCAAACATTTAATCGATTAGTTCACCAATTGACCCCAATAAAAATATCTAACATTTAATCAATAAGATGATCGATAAGATAAATTTTAAAATATGAGTTTGGGGATCTATCGTCCCCAACAATAACCCTCATTTAGTCATAGTTAGAAGGTGGACACTTCAGTATCGCTCTAAGGTTGTCCATAAATTATAGTCTTGTCAGTAGGTCTACTATAAAAATGAGAGATTTGTAAAATAAGAAAAAAAGATGATTTACAAAATAGGATAACTATATATTAATATTTTGGTTGGCTTACCAAATTGGAAATTAGAAAAATTCGGGCACATATGATAACATGCACTCATTAGACCTTCCATAGTTAATGCTAAACCCATTGCATAAAATAAACCATAATGCTGCGGTATACCCAATACCTAATGAAATTTTATTTTAATAAGTAAGAAAAAATAAAAGAACTAATAAAATATAGAATCAAATAAGATATTGTACATTATAGTGTTATTGAAAGAATACATTTATTGAAATGCTTTATGATCGATGAATTACCAAACAACTGTTAAGAGGAAGTTGTGAAAATTATTGTAGTATATCTAAAACGCCTAAGAAGTATCTCCCCATCCGTTTGTAAGAAATTAAACTTAGTTTGCAATTCAGCCGAAGACTTTAATAACAAACTGTCTCTGTTGCAATTAAACTTGAATTAATTAAGATTTGAAATGAGTGAAAGTGAACAATAATATATTTACTGCAGATTGAGATGTACTTGTTGAAAAGGATGATCCATCAGAACTATAGATACAAGTTTACGCTGAATGTTAACACTATTAAAATTCAATGAATTACGAAATAATCTACATAATGTCTAAGGTGGCTATTTTCGTGACACGATGTAAGTTGCGTTATCTTAAATATTAATATTTCTGTACCTAAACTGTAAGTAAATTCAATAAACTAAGATATAAATAGGGCTGAATTACCATTATCGGGGACTTGTGTCCCAATGTAGTGAGATGTCCTATTGGAAATAACACCTTATTTATGTGACTTTTCCGAGATTGATCTCTTTCCTAGAAACTCACTAATCAATACAGAGTACTCAAGCAACATAATTCTATTTGGTGAAAACTGCCTTGAGTAACAATGCAAACATGTTTGGGATAAATTTCACTTCCTGTAAATGCAAAATTTTGTTCCAGGACTGGTTTGTGTCAGCACAAGAACTAATGATAAGGAGTGAAGTAGTTGGATGCGTTCGTCATCACTTATTTTGCAAGTCTTAGTGGGACGGTGTCAAACGAGATCTCGGCACCAATTCAAAAATCCCCGTTAGTTTTTGTCAACTTGTATCACTTGTGGCACAGTCGAGATACCCATCTAACAAACAAAGGAAAAGTATACCATGTAGAAATATACTCTGTATTATTACATGGCTATGAAACATAGTCAGCGAAATTAAAAGACATGTGTAGGTTGTGTGTGTCCTAACAGAATTGCTTTCTCAATTGAGGTGGCTGTGATACGTATTGAATACGCCCAACAACTGACTAATTCGACATATAATACTCGCTAGAGTATGAGTAAGCTGGAAGAAAGCTAAAAATGGCTAAATTAAAACGTGACATCGCTCCATGAGATCATCGACTATTGTAGTGACCCACATTGGTAGATGCAGGCTATTTGCATCACATAAGATAGAAAAACGTCAGGTTACATAGCTTATAAGGGACTACAATGATGCAGATCCACTAACTCTTTATCTTGTTTCTAGACTTTAGGTCCCAGTATTCTTAAATGTTAAATGTTTTAATAAATTACACAATCAACCTTTCAGAAGCAATACAGCTGAGGATATTCTCTAAATTATGCATTACTATAAGTCTTGTATCTCAAACCCGCTTAAACTGTTTCTGGTTTAAAAAAGATTTATTGGTTGACAAATAACTGATGGATATACTTACGAAGAATATTTAACAATAAAATAATGAACACAAGGCTATTTAAGAGATATTTTTCACAAATAAACACAAAAGCGAACACACTATGATTACCTGGGAGTTTGGGTTTAAATTTTTGGATCGCCTATGAAGAATATCACTATAAGATGGATAGAAGAAGTAGGTGTACAGAATATATAATTATATATAATAAGCGTATATATAAAGAATAATGACTATAGGACTTAATTATGTATATCTAAATCTTATATTCAACGGTATGAAATGACTTGAGAATAGTCGAATAATAAATCGTCTCATCAAAAACTAATAACTATTTCAGGTGGAATTTTGAAGATTACAGGAGAGAGAGAGAGAGAGTACAGACAATTTAGACTAATCTTTTACTACAACACATAATCATACACATTTGACTTGATAATACATATTACATGATTCGCCAATATGTTTTTAAAGCATAACTTTTAATGAGTGAATTCTTCATAACCAATTCAATCAAAACAGTTGATTAGATGAATCATAATGGATTTTTTCTCTTAAAAGTTTATATGAGTGTTGACTGATACTATCTGTGTGTAAATTGATTGTTTAAATAAGTATGACCACGTTTTACGTATGAACAACATGTTTAATTCAGATAATCAACGTACTTAATCAAAACAAAAATTTCATAGCCTAAATACAAGTTTATTATAAATATGAAATGAAAACTGGTTAGAGAGATGGATTGTTTACTCGATTATGTTAGAATTGAATTAGCGTAAACATTTGGTTCTTGTAGCAAATGAACTTTCTCACCAATGTAAAAATATATTGTACAATAAGACAAAAACTATTATAAACTGCCTATTGATAAACTAAGCCACTTTTAACGGCAGCGCAAGTATAACCACACTCCACCTTATATATATATATATATACCTCGGAGGTGGAGAGGTAGAAATTAGTGTAACTTCTGAGATATATTGCGACTTCTGACTTCATTAATGACAGATCATGAACTTTGAAATGAATTTCTCAAAGATCAAGCGAAAATTTATTATCTATGTAGACAAATAATTTGAAAATGAGGAGATAACTAACTGTTTACATAGAATGAGGATTACTCTACATCACGAAAAGGCTAAAATTAAAAAGTATTAACTACCAGAACAGACTTAGTAACTGAGTGATATTATGCTCACCTTCAAACTTAATGGTTTCAAGTTAAACACCATGTAGGAGTCATGAATTAGTATTAACGTAATGTCAAAAACTTCTTATTTTTCAGTAGCGCTACAATTGATGTCTTTTCGCAACAAAAGTAATTTGAAAAATATTGGAGGGTTCTACAAAAACTATGTAAATCAATGAATCAATTCTTCAGGAAATTTGATGTTTGTGTTACTTACCGTCGGGCAGTCAAACCAAGAAATAATAATCCTAGCATAACATAGCCAATATTTGAAATAATATTGTTAAACGCCGTGAAGATGCCAAGTGAATGAGCACATTCAAAGTTGTAATAGCATAAATCTTCATTACCAGTTTCAAAAACAGCCTACTCATATTATTTATGTGTTGAAATAAAATAAAAAAACTCATATTATTGAAGAAGAAATATACAAAACTTAATAATAAAACATTATGAGAAACGTCAATTAAGTAAGAGAACATATTGGCTACATGTATATTATACTGATATAATCGGTATCCACCTCTAGTTGATTTATACCCTTCCCTCCAACAATTAAACATCTCAGCATATTACACTCTATACCAAGTTACCCAACCTAATCGCCATATTGGAACTTGATCAATAGAATTCGGTCAGCAATAAAGGGACTAAGTAAACTTAACATTGGTCACTAGTCAGTGGTCAAGCAATAGTAAACTTCTAAACTAATATAAATTGTACGGTTTAGTAGAACAGGCAAATATAATATCAGTAGTCGTTAGTTAATAACACTAGATAACTCATAATTGATTGATCACTGGGTGGTGATCAATGTCATGCTTGTCTAGTCCTTATTAGTGCAGATCGAATGCTATCGATCATGTTGCAATGTGGCCACCAGTCTAGGTGACTCGACACTGCGGGCACTATGTAATGAGATTAGATGGTGGTTGGAGGTAGTCAACAGGAAACCCTGGACCCGGGTTTCGTGCTACTTGGCACTCGTCAGCAAGGTGTACCTGTAATCTTGAGGGAACTGGTGCTCCCTGGCCGACTCGATCTCGTGTCACCCAGCTTCACAGTCAGAGACGTTACCACTGAGCTATCCGAGCCGTGACTAACCTCCTGTAGGACTGAGATGTAATCACAATTGATTGATCACTGGGTGGTGATCAATCTCATGCTTGTCTAGTCCTTATTAGTGCAGATCGAATGCTAGACAAGCATGAGATTGATCACCACCCAGTGATCAATCAATTGTGATTACATCTCAGTCCTACAGGAGGTTAGTCACGGCTCGGATAGCTCAGTGGTAACGTCTCTGACTGTGAAGCTGGGTGACACGAGATCGAGTCGGCCAGGGAGCACCAGTTCCCTCAAGATTACAGGTACACCTTGCTGACGAGTGCCAAGTAGCACGAAACCCGGGTCCAGGGTTTCCTGTTGACTACCTCCAACCACCATCTAAATCTCAACACTAGATAACTATTTAGTTAATTTGCAAGTAGTTATTAAACGTAAACGAGATTGATAATACCTCAGAACTCTGGAAACAAATTATTTGAAAAGTTAAAATGACGCTCCATCTCATTTTTCAGTTTAAGTGAGTTTATCAATGTATCATACAAACCTATAAATCAGTTACAAAGATGGAGTGATCTTTAGTAAAACTAATACTTCGCAACCCTATAAATATATAAAATACAATGAATATATACATATATTGAAAGTAGGTATAAGTTACCTTACCTTTTGGTATGTCATGATTAATTGTACTGCTGGTAATCCATAGAAAATGGATATGATGATTAAATACCTATAAGATTCATTAAATAAGACGGAAGAAACGATAAATTTAAAGTTGACATACCTTTAATTAAAAACAAACAATAATATGATACTAAATTCAAGAAGAAAAACCGAACATCATCTACAAAATAACTGTTCCAACTACGAAAAACACTGCATCGGACAGAGTGGACGACTGCTTCATCTTCGTCCGCACGAACATCAATTAACGGTCAAACACCATGACATATCTTCGCTTACATCAATACATATGAACAAATGTAAACACACATTCGACTGGAAAAATATTAAGATCTTGGATACATGAAATTTTAAATACACCAGAGAATTTTTGGAAGCTTGGCATTCAAGTCAATCAGCAATCAACATACACATTGAAACCGACCCAATCTACCAAACAAATAGGAAAAATCATGGACAAATATAGGACCAAGAATCAAATCAAAGGGAGGTACAATCAATGTAAAGAAGTAGACAATGAAAGATTAAAGGTCGACAATAACCAACCAAGATAAAGATTGGACAAGACAACCTGTGAGTCATATGTGGAGAAATTTGAACAATTTACTTCTATCTGAAGTTTGTGCTGATGATGTTGTTCATAGGAACAATGAAAGCTCCACGACCAAACCATCAAGCCAAAGAACAAAACTCCACCTAAATCTTAGATATTTTTATCAATCAAAGGTAATAACGTTACTTGAGAAAAAAACTATCGGGTACCCGTTGTCCACTCTTAAGATTGTAGATTATTTAAAATAATTCATAAACTATTACTCAATATTAAAAGTCAATAACCAGCTTTTAAAGTAACAACTGTAAGATTTTCTTATGTTAGTGCTTTACTTCAACATTACCATCGCTCGACCTTACATGATTCAATTCGTATCTGCGACAGTTTTTTCTACCAATTAATAAAGTACCATATTACCTTGTAATGGTTAATGCTTTCAAAGCAAAACTAATTGAAAACAATGTCATGATTGAATACAAATACAGAAACAATCACTGTTTTAAAAACTTCCCTTAATGTATAAATTTTGTAAACTTTTATGCCATGAAAGAAGGATAAACTTTAACAACAATGGCTTTATTTATTATGTTTAGTATAATATTGATTTGTCAGCATAAAAACGATGAGATGGAGAAGGAAGTCCTTTAAACTTATTGATTGGATGGGTGATCTACTGAGACAGGCGTAATTTACCATAACGTAATAACTACCTCTATCGCCCAAACGTTGGAGGATTTTATACTGAGAATCGCTCATTGTGGAACAGATAATTAATATTGAAAAAAAATTTAATAATTAAGTATTTTAATGGTCAGTCTTGGTTATTGTTGGGGATGTTAGATCCCCAGAACTCACTTCGTAAATGCTTTAATTTTATAATTTTATTTTGAAAATTTAAATTTCCTTGTTTTCGCGCCAAAAGCGCACTTTTCACCTTCATATCGTATTTCCCACTTGAGAGAATCTTTAACGCTATTGGTCCGTTGTGTATTTTTAGTATGCTATTTTTGCTACGCTTCCCAAGGACAGTTTTATGAAGTATATATACGTTTGATTTGTGTCTGTTATTATTCACTCTTGCTTCTGGCTTACGGAATATACTTTCCCGTTCCAAGCTTAGACTTCTCCCTCTAGTTAGCGGGGCTGAGACGCTTCAAATAGCTAGCTTATTGGTCTACGGTCACACATCTTTATTCCGTTCGCATACTAAGTGAACTCGTAATAGCTTCAAACCTAGCAGTTATATTACTACCAATATTTTGAAGTCAGAAACTTTCTTGATCATAACCATTAAAACAGTACAAATAGCTTTGAATGTGCTTACCAGAAATAAAGTAAATATTTTCTATTCAATGTTCCATAACGTTTTTTAGACAAATCTGATACATATAATAACACCTTAATAATAAAAAAGAAAAAAAATAAATAATATGAATTAATAGATTGATGGTTACGATCTCTGTGCGTGTGTGCAGCAAAAGATTGAAATGAATTTGTCATTTCTTAGTTTGCTGACAGATCGTGACACATAAAAAAACAAATCCGCCATTACAACATTTTAAAATGTTGATTATTAGACTCACCTATAATTGAGAACATAAATAATTACAGAAGTTACTTGTTGTTACTATTGATGATGATAGAAGAGAAAGTAAATAGGTACTTATTGTAGTAATTTAGTGCGCCTTTAATGAGTAATTATAACGAATAAAACTTTGAAAGAGTGAAATTTGAAATTTCTTGCATGGGGTTTAAAAGTTAGAAATGACGAAAATTCTAAACATTCCTTTTTGGTTTAATTTTGGATGAATTTTCATGGAGAACACATTGTTCGAGGTTACTCACCTTTAACATTCAAAATGAAAAGCGCTGATCTGATAATGCCAAATGTCATAACATATAATTGAAAAAAATTTTCACTATAGTTGTTTTATCCCGACGAGGATTATGAATGGTAACTTTTGAGAACTATTTATTGGACAAATATTGTACGTATATATTCTCAATGTATAACTATTCAGTAGCTAGATTATGTATATCTATACTCCTCTTATTACAAGCTTTATTTTGACCCATAAACTATTATTATACGACTTGCCGTTCTTGGGTTATGCCCAGTCTATTAATTACAGGCCCCCACATTCACAGCCACATTTGACTAGATCTCGTGCAAATGGTGTTTTTCTATTTTGTGGTGCGATGTGGTTGGTTTGGTTTGTATATAAACCCAGTGTATGTTTGAAATACATGATTTATATTGTAGAGGCTGAGAATGGTGCTCTGGACTCAACAGGCAGGGTAAGGTAGAAAGAAGGACCGATAAGGACTCTAGACTGCTCTAACAGGTTTACACGTCATTTGTCCGGTCGGTAAATCACTGTTCCCTAAATAGCGGCATCGTTATGTTATATATTAATAGGGCACAAGGCCACAAGTTATAACAATAATATATGACTTAAGTCCAGAACACTAAGCACCATCTAGTAAGCTTTTAGATGACAAAATTTGCATTAACTATGCCATGGCTAGTAATGGAATCTCGTACTTTTCTCTGAAAACCCCGCAGCGTTAAGCACTGAAAAAAGGCACTGTGTTCGAGTTAAAATACAAACACCAGTTGACCAGTTGACAAATCCCAAACAAGACGAAAGGTGCTTCCTAGGTCCCACTACCTGCTATAGTCAATCTGTTATATTTAATCTAAGATAAAATGGCTATATAAAGGCGATTGTTTTAGTAATGTAATGAAAACTATAACTTATGGAAGAACCAATTGAATTACTGACAATGAGTCTTGGATTGTGAAGCGAAATTTATTCGCCGATATAGATAAATAGGATTTCGGTACTATAGATGATATCAGTTTGTAATGGAAACCCTTACTTTAACTCCCAAATTACGATTCCTGATACTAATTTATAAAACCTTTTTGACCTTAGTAAGCACGTGGGTTGTCTCAAGGTGACCGTCCATAAACTATAGTCTCACCAAAAAAACTTCACAATATCAAACATCATACATAACATCGTGCATTAGATTTACAAACTGTAACTATAACTGACAGATTGATTGAAGTTAAAAATGTAAACCAGTGGATATCAGTTTAATGGTCTAAATGTGATAAGCTAGTCACAAGACCTAGAAATTCTTTAAGTTATATATTATATAGGCTCATGGGCGAGAACTACTTTAGAATTTTAAGGTATGAGGGCAGATACTAGATATCAGATGATTTTTTAATTAATGTTATAGTGATTAAACAGAGTTAACAAAATATAAGGACGCATCGACCAAATAGTTGTAGAATAATCAGAAAATTCACTTTTACTTAGAATTGGATGATCTAAACTAGTCGGCAGTGAAAATACATGAAATATTTTACTTTAAGTCTTATACTTTTAACAATAAAACTTATGATTATCTAAAGTTTTACCTTTGAAAAATAATTTTATTCGTTGTTAATCTAAAGCTATTCAATCTACCGAATTTATTTTCACAATATAATAGAGAATAAGTTGATTTATTTACAGAAAAGATTTTAAAAACGTAAGATATGTGAAAATCACTACTAGTTACTTTATGATCAAAGTATATGACATGAGTTCCTAATACGAATTCTGTTCTATCTATCTGGTAGCTGATTAGCAGTATCAATAGTCGTCGCATAAAAACCTATTGAATTGTAAGTTAACATTTTTTTCAGAAATAGAACTGATAAACTGTTTTAATTTGGTACAGCAAACAAAAACTAATTTTTTTCAGAAAACAAAACTTAAATCATTTGACAAGAACTTACATTCATCTTATACATTGGAATAAATTCTGAATTTACATCTGTCTGATCATCTGTTAAACCAATACTACTCACAGAATCTGGCTTATCATTTCGATTTTTATCATTATTATTAATCTCATGACTGGTATTAACAGTAGTATTGTTAGAATGTACAACATCTGATTGCTGAGATGTATTAGGAATCTCTTGACCAATCATTGTAGAATATGTAGAATGTGTTGGTATTTGTATTTTGTCTGAAATAGTAGTACTATTAGTAAGATGATTTAAATTGGAGAAATGATTCTTTTCTTTTTTTGATTGAATTTTATTATTAGCACCGATGCAACTACCACCACTTACAACATTGTTATCATCATAATCATCTTCATCATCTGTGGAACTGAACCAACCGTGTGAGCCTTGTATTTCAACTAGAGGTGTTTGGTGAATTGTACTACGAAAATGAAGACTAGATCCCATTGAATTATTTAATGAAATACTCTGATAATCTTGTGGTAAACTTAATACTTGATGGTGTATACCAGTATGAGACGGTCTAAGTATGTTCAAACTATCTGATGAAGTTTTTACTATATTTGGACCAGAGGTAAACGGACGTTTTCTCATATTATTGATAGATTTCATTTTTTTGTAGTTCTCTAATGATATTTTCGTTTTATTGTATACAACAGCATTATCATAAGACGCTGCAATGCAATGGAAAAAATACAAAAATACAAATAATTAATTGGTTAATTCACTCATTTATAGCGTAATTTGAAGAAAATATACATTGAAAAAAAATACACAAACTGACAACATTTAAACATAAACACACATACACACAGCTATAGACGTAGAATTATCGACCATGACACGATATCTCTAACATTAAGTTGTGAAAAAAAACAGAATCAGGGTATTAAAATGAAAAGAAGGGAGGGGAACCAACAATTTTTACAAATAATCAATACGTTGGTAACTTATAAAAGGGCATGACAACTACACAGAATTGATGACAATTAAAACAAAGAAAAACCTAACAGAAAGACACATAAATGATTTTATTGTAGAAAAATAGAGGTGTTTAGTAATAAGAGTGATTACGAAGTAGAGAGGAGGGAATCAACAAGTTACCTGATTCTACAGGAATACTTTGAGTCTGTAAACTATTACTATTAACATTATGATGTAGTTCAGTATGACTGGAATTGAATATACTGCCATAATTATATCTATCTTTTCGGTTAACCAAATTGGTAGATATTCGTGGATCAATCGGTCTGGAAGTAGTTTTTGAACAAGTTGCTGTATTTACTGGTATAGTAGATGAACAGGAGGAAGATGCTGCTGTATTGGCATAAAAAAGGTTAGAATTGCTCAAATTGACAGAACAAACAGTTGGATCACAGTCTGAACCACATTCAAAGTTAGCCGTCAACTCTAAGAGTATAAGCATATATATATACATATATAAGCATAAGAATTACATAAAATTAAGAACGTTATATATAATAGTACAGTGTATCATATGAATACTGACAGAAAATATTTTTTACGAAGCTGAGCTTTAGTGAAACCGGTATAAGAAAAATTGAATTAGTACACAATATAAATCAGTGATCATTCGACTATCACTTAATTTTAACAACAATACAAAGCATATATGATTGAACGCCTGATATTTTAAAACAAATTAGAGTTATACAAAACTTCAAGCATCGTAAACGGGAATAATATTAGAATGTTCAATGTACATCTGTACTCACAAACGCACGTAAATACGTATAGAACATTTCATTAATAGAAAAATGTATTGGATTCATGACAAAAGATTAAAGAATATACATAAATCAAACAAAAAGAATAATAATCTATACTAATGAATAAATAAGTAGTAGATAAAACTATAATAAAGGAATATTCAAAAGTACATGATTTAATTGCTCAAAAAGTTAGTCCGCCATTAGTAACGTAGAAAATGACACATGTGTGAACTGACCTAAATTGGCACATCAAATTAACACAAAATGAATACTGAAGTAATCATAGTAAAAGTGATTATAAAAAGATTAGACACCATGATGACATCAGGAATTTCTGGAATAAAAGATAAAATATATGTGAAAATTACATTTGAAATAATCTCAGCGATTGAAATTTAAATAATTCCAACGTTTCGTCCAGCTAACTTATTATTACCCTGAAGAAGTCCAGATAAGTTAGCTGGACGAAAAGTTGGAATAATTTAAATTTCAATCGCTGAGATTATTTCAAATATGATTTTCACATATAATGACTTCCCTATACTCGGCGCCCAATTTCTGTCAAACTATTCGTTCTAATCTTGACGAATATTCGTATAAGAGATAAAATAGTTTTGAAAGTCGAGATCTAAAGAAGATAAATATTGAATGCAACTAAGTCATTGTGATAGACTTCCATCCATGTTATGTAATGTCTCTAAACATCAGTCGTAATAATCACGCGGATCCCAACCAGATATTATGAATTTACTAACAGTCAATGACTTTGTGAACTAATTTGATTTAGAAAATAAGAACTTTCGTCTAAATTTGAACGAATAGTTTCACAATATTTGGGCGCCGAAGAAGAATATATTTGTAAAATCTCAGCGAATGAATTTGAAGTAAATCCAACGTTTCGCCTAGCAATCTCGTCCAAGCTTTTTCAAGGAAAATATAATCAAACAACAAAATTATCGAATATAAATAGGTACAAGGTTCTTCGGTTTATTGTATACTGAATAAGTCATCCAATCAACATGAAGGATTTTTTATAAATAGGTATTTGCATTAATGTGTAAGAGACATGTTTATATGAAAATAATCAAGGGGAGGGAAAAAATAAGAAATTGTCGTGTTATCCTGGGCCATAGAATGACTTAAGGATTACAAGGTAAATTCAAGGTTATGACAAATTGTTTTTGTACACATAAGGACAAGGTATGTGATTATGGAACCAAAAACGTGTTAAGACAACAGAATGTGTTTATACGCAAGTGATGAAAGAAGAAATTCCATTCAACTAAATATTGACTACGGTCTGTGTATATTAAGAAAACAGATCATTTTTATATATGAAATGAATCAAAAATGCCACAACCTGCATTCGATTAAGATAAATAAGATAAGTAAACAAAATAAAATAGGAATGTATATGTAATTGAAAGTGTGTGTTATTTTTAATGTTCCAGTCAATTGTTTAACATATTCAGATGAGATAACGGATTTGAATCATTGAACGTATTATCTATCAATTAGTTACTATGGCATAGATATATCAAATTGCAAAAAGGAGATCAGGTTTACTTATTAATTATTAGTTGCCATGGGACAGCTAGTTGTACTCCATCTCTCCTATTAATATTGTTTGAATTAGCCCATATATAGTAGGGCTTCGGCTGTTAGTTGTTCTTTGTAAGAACTGAATCCTTTTTGAATGATTTTCGTGCCATTGAAATCAGCTGTATGACCCGATTCAATCGAGTGTAATGCTATCGCTGATCTGTTCTCAAGCTTTTTTACATCAATTGAGGATTTAGGAATGTGCTTTAAGCACAGTTTGTGTTCCTTAACCCTCACATTCAGTTGCCTAGATGTTTCACCTACATACTTTGCATTACAGTCATTACATTTGATTTCATAAACACAATTTTGTTGATCATCCTTGTGTATTGGATCTTTGATTCATACTAGTTTTGATCTTAGAGTATTGTTTGTTCGAAAGAATACTCTTATATTTTGACGAGTTAAAATCCTTCTGATGTCTTCTGAGATACCTTTACGATATGGGATTACTACTGTGTTCATCCAATCTTGCTTAACTCTTTTTTTAAAAATATCATTCCATTCTTCATTCTTAGTTATTCTTTTAATAAAACCTTTCGGATAATTATTCATTAATAGAGTGGATACAACTAAATTCATTTCCATTTTTATATCATTCGGTTCAGTGACAAGTTTTTTGACCCTGGTTATCAAATTTTTGGCCACTGTCACTTTGGTCGAATGTGGATGCGCAGACTTAAAATCTAAAAATTTCCCTGAATATGTAGGCTTTCGGAATATATTAATTTTTAAACAATCATTATCCTTCCTTTCAACCAGGCAGTCTAGAAAAGGTAATCTGCGTTCAGGCGATTCCAACTCTTTAGTAAACTTGATTTTGTCATCTAAGCTGTTGAACCGTTGGAATAGTTCGTCTAAACCATCTCGTTTTATAATGACAAAGGTATCATCTACGCATCTTACCCAAATTTTTGGTGGAATGGAACACATTGAGATAGCAATTGTTTCCAATGAATGCATGAATAAATTAGCCACAATTGGAGAGACAGGTGATCCCATAGCCACACCTTCTGTTTGTCTGTACAGAACTCCTCGAAAAATGAAAACCGTCGAATGTAAACGAAGCTCCAACGCTCTAATAATGTCTGAGGGGTCTAGAAGGCAACGCTGTTTAAGATCAGTGTCAGAATCTAACACGTTATACACAATATCCAAAGCTTTTTTAACAGTAACATTAGTGAACAATGAGCAAACATTAAAACTTGCCATTATTTCATCCTCTTCTATCCGAATATTACTGACAATGTTTTTGAAATCATTAGAATTTTTTTATTCCATATTTTATTACGCTTTCATATGGTTTAAGAATTTTGGCAAAGTATCTAGAAAGATTATAAGTTGGTGAATTAATGTAATCAATCACAGGTCTTAGTGGTACATCTGTTTTGTGTATTTTTGGTAGGCCATAAAATCTACACGGGCTATTGCTTTTTGGGTATAAAGAGAACCATGAAGATTATCCTAGTTTGGGCTTTAAATTCTGTAGCAATTTGGCCGTTTCAGCTTTCAACTTATTTAAAGTGGCTCTACATTTGCTCTTCATGATTTTTTCATACGGTCCATTATGGAGATGTTCATTGACTTTTCTTTCATAATCAGAATTATTCATAACAACAGTGGTGTTTCTCTTGTCTGCTTTCATAATAACAATTTTTCTGTCTTTCCGTAACTGTTTTAGGGCATACGTTTCTTCTTCAGAGATATTAGGCGTATTAGGTTTTTGATTCAAAATTACAGCTGAGATTTTAAACCTCAATGTATTTGCCTCATCATCCGGAACATTGTTTAAGGCAGGCTCGATCAACGGAATAATTTCAGAAGCCGAAATCCGTGTTCTGTTCATATTGAAATTGAAACCTTTTTTAAGTATTGAAAGTTCGTGTTGATTTAACTGTCTATCCGATAGATTTACCATTATTTTGTTTATATCGAGTTCCTTGGATTTATTTTTAATCTCATCGTTGTTGGATTTCGACGAATGTTTAAACATTTGTTCAAATTTTCTTATTTGACATCTTTTTGTGATTTAATTGTAAAAGTTATCTCTATGTTTCAAAAATTCATTAACATTTGTTTTTAATTCTGGTGGTATAATTATTGATAAAGCACTATCAATGTTTGCTATACGTGAACGTAGGGATTCCAAGTTAAAAGTGGATTTATGTATACGTTCTCTAAGGAATACTCTAGTAGCTGTAATAGCTGCTTTTTGTGAACGTATAGAATTGTCTGGAGTCTTAACTCTTAGCGTTTTTGGATAAACATGCTGGTTTAAACAGCGTATATTGAAAATTCGGTGGTTATACCAATTGTACATTTTCTTCAATAATTTTATGCGATTGCAGAATAAAAAATAAGAACTTTCGTCTAAATTTGATTTAGTTACCTCTAACGTTCTTCCAAACTCCAGGCTACTCCTATACCAACCTTCATTGAACACTGAAGTAGGTGGTGGTTGGGTACATGTAATACATACCAGCCGCTGTGGTTAATGAAGGTTTACTATCATATCAACTTACTCGCCATCTTGAACTAGCAAGCTGAGTCTAACCGCAGCATTGATCACTCAGTGATCCAAACGTACGAGAGCAATGTTTCGAAGGAATCCATAAACAAACACTAATAATCCACGAATGTCCTCTATTTTTAAAGACCACGTTTCACAACCATAAAGCTGAACAAAACAGTGTTGTGTGGTATACTCGTCCTTTCATTGAGTCACAAGTGATCTAATTTGACAAGAGCGAAATTAGTTTACGGAATCCATGCTGAGATTTTGTCAGACATCAGCCCACTAGGGTTAATGGAACTTCTAAGATAGGTGAAATAGTAAGCACAATCAAATACTTCAACCCTTATAATCATCTTAGGCGTTGACATAGACCAATCCTCAAACACTCTTTTTCATTTAGAGGTGGGGAAACGCGTTTCAAACATTGCAGCATTGTTTCTGAAGGTAATTAGAAAACTCTAAATTTTGTGAGAGTCTTCATTGAACAGGACCATATCATCTACTTATTGTCAATTAACCAGTAAATCTCCTGGTACGAGATTAATTCCCGAAAACCTAGAGGAGAGTATTATCTCTAAAAGAAAATCTATGACCAAGTTAATTAAATCCAGAAAAATGACAAATTCTTGCGAACAATAATTTATATAATCAGCTTTGATGGCAGTACACTATAAGCTCTGAGTCGAATGATAGTGTTTGAGTTTATACACTTGTTTGGTATCCCCCTTACTGATAGATGCTGACAGAAACTTGTCGTTCAATGAAATCGAATTCTGCTTTCAAGTAAAGAAATGCCCCTATAGTAAGGAGTCGGTAGGTACGTCTATGGCTTAACATCTAATGGAGGGTTATATGATAGTGCAAGTAGTTACATACCGTCAAACTTCCAATGATCATATTTTCTAAATGTACTGTTCTGGTGTTCCGAGAAAATAATTTAGTGGTAATGAAATTTTAAAGGTAAATGGCTCATCAGGGATCAAACAATTACCTAGGAAAATACACGCATCAACCCATTGAAACACTTAATTCTCTGCAGCTAAACCAGATATGAAAAGGGATAAACCATCATTCTTCATTAAACGAAAGTGTAATAGACCCTAAACCTTTAAATTTATTCTTACTGACTTGACTAGCAATATACAAATATGGTGGATGTTTTCAGGTAATAATATTAATTGATAAGAAGAGTTTTGGAGACATTAGCTCTAACATTTGCTATTCCAATGTAATTAAAATAGCTGAACATAACTATTAAATTAAAAACAGAAGACTAAATATTAACTTGACAATACACCAGGAATGAATAAGCAAACCTTTCGAAAAAAAGAAAACAAATTTTCAGTATTTTTATAAACATGAAAAACAATCAACTGCAAATTTATTTCGTTCCTCAAGTGCCTACAAGCATACAAGAGTCTTATGATAGATTATATGGGAATAGTCAATACTTATGTATTGACGAACATATGTATAAAGGTGAAAATACGGAAATATACCAAAGCAAAAGAGGTATGCTGATGAATTTAAGGTGTAAGAACCTTCCATTATTTCAGATTATTTTATACAGTAAAAGAACAGATGCTAATATGTGTGAAATAGAAAGTGTCTTGTAGGATTGGATGATAACCCATCAATTACAGGCACAAAGATGACGGTATTTTTAACAGTGCATTACTGTTGATATATTACTAGCACTACTGAATTAGGAGATCTCGATTACACTGATTATTTAGTGACCAACGTCGTTATGTTTGTCAAAACCTTTATTTTTGGTCAAATTCTACCAATCAAGTTGCGATAGGGCTACGAGTCTGGACATAGCGTTTACTATGTCTTGAAATCCCAAACCTAAAGATCAGTTACGGCGCAAATAACCCGGTATTAACACATCTGTGACTGTGAAAACGTGAGGAATGAGTTCAAACAACACACACAAAAATTAATCCCCTCAAGACGACAATATTTTTCTGGTTCCGAGTAGCATGAAACCTGATTTCCGAATTTTATTATTGATTGTTTTTAATCATCTAACAACAAGTAGGTACACTTGTACACAAACGTTGTACGTCCATAATTTCTGGTGTTTAGTAGACATTTTTATTTACTATACAACCTGCATTTCTTAAGTCGTATAACGATCATATGAGGTTAGTAGACTTAAGTTTCATCATTCTTATAGCGCAAAAACTGGTGATTAGAACAGGAGACAATATAATATGTACTGTCGCATAGATTAAGAGTTTGGTTAATTGACATATATGCATCCCAATGTAAATCCGTTTAAATTTCTTAGGTCTAATCAACTAGAACACGTGTTAGACTAGTTTTTCACAATTTTAAACATGGTTACAATATTGATGTAAGAAAGGAAAAATCACTATTGTTAAAGTACTTGATCACGACATACAAACAAAATAAAGTATTAAAAAAAGGCATTTTCAGTTGCACAAGAAAAAAGTAAAACAATTTATTAAAACGTTATTATGGAGATGTAGTTCTACCTTGATTATCTGAAATAAGATTAACCATGAGTATAAGACAATTAGTCGAAATGAGACTACATACATCGCATGCAGACCGAATACCATTAGATAAATTCACATAATATCATTAAATTACACTAATACTTTTGCAAAAAAATCTCAGGATTTATTTTTGATGCAGAAAGTGGTCATACATTTGAGGAATGGTTTGGCAGAAAAGAATATATTTTCTGAGTATAATCTGCCGCTATGGGCGACGTAAAAGACTTAGTCCCAATGAGTATCAGAAGTATGAAAATCATATCATGCTTAGACATCCACGAGAAGTTCATTTCGATGAAACTGTCAACAATTTAAATAAAATGTTTTGTGAACAGATGTCACCATTTCGTATCAGGTATAATTGTCTACAGTTGACTAAAGAAGTTAACGAATACTACACTACATACGTCAGTAGAGTGAATTCACAGGCAGAACGATTTAAATTAAATGTATTATCCAGTGGTTCAGCAATGGATATTTCAGGAACATACTCTGTTATGGGTTCAAATCAATTTACGCCCGAAGCAGAATATACAATTGGTGAATTGTCAAGCTCACAGCAAGGCGAATTTTTGTGAAATGTATATGAAATTGTGGCAGTATCGGAGGACAGAAAAACAGAAGATTCTGTAAATGATGCTCTGAGTCCAGAATTAAATGAAGCCTTATTGGCCTTACATAACACTGAAACTAAACTCCAAACAAAAGAAACTTATGTTTCACGCAATATTTATCGAGAAACCTGGAGGGATCTATATTCAGAAAATAAATAGAGCAACACAAATGAAACTCAAAATCATAGAGACAAAAGTTTCTAATGAATCAACTTCTTATCAGATTTTTCATGTTATTTTACCAGATATGATTTGTCGTAATAATTCACATATTTTTGATGAAATTTCTTATAAAAATGAGAAAAATATTTCGAATGAATCATATAAATCTGTATTCTGATTAATGATTTTGTCATATAATAATTGACAAGGGCAAAAGTTAAAACAATTCACATAAACAGTGTAGATCGAAGCTGCATATATACAAGGTAATTAGCTACACTATAATAAAGTAAATCATTTGAATTGTTTCGCTAATCAAAAGTCTATTCATATTAACTAATGATTTGTTATATGGGAGAGGACAAACCAGATCTCAGCGGAGGAAGAAATAAGGAGGGAGCGCTGGAAGTGGATAGGACACACATTGAGGAAAGCACCGAACTGCGTCACAAGACAAGTTCTCATTTGGAATCCTCAAGGCCAAAGGAAAAGAGGAAGACCAAAGAACACATTACGTAGAGAAATGGAGACAGACATGAGAAAAATGAACAAAAATAGGATAGTACTGGAAAGGAAGGTGCAGGACAGAGTGGGTTGGAGAATGCTGGTCGGTGGCCTATGCTACATTGAGAGTAACAGGCGTAAGTAAGTAAGTAATGATTCGTTATATTAGTATTTAAATAACATGCACTACATTATACACGTAGAAAATGAAATAAAAATTATAAGCATTATAATTTGTGAGGCACTTCTATTGAAAAATGAACAGTATTTAGACGTACCATCAAGAAATCTTTTTCTTCTTTCTCTAAGAGTAGAAAAATCGAAATTAAAATAACCGAAACATTAGAAAATATATAAAGAATTTAATTTTAAACTTTTCCTACAAGAAGATTAACTTTCACAGAAAAACAGCATAAGCTAATTTTGTCCCGTTGTACTATTTAAACTTGGATTAATTTTAATTTGGTTATTTATTCTCTGAAGAAGTGGCTTACACTAAGTCACGAAACGTCAGAAAATCTAATTTTCTACTCATTGGGATATTACAAATATATTATTTATTTATAGCATAAGCTAATTTGTATATATTTTAACGGAACTTACTGATCAAGTGGTGTTTCGTTTATTTTACTTCGAGAAACACTAACTGATTTAGAGACTAAGTGATACTGTGGTGTGTGTTAATTATATCGATGTAAGTAGTATATGACGCGAGTTAAAAACGCAATGTCTGGTAGCCGAAGATGGGGAAAGATCAAGAAAGGAAGAGCGACAACACAATGCAATTTGTAAGAAAACGCATGAACAATGAAATGTGAGACAATTGATTGATGTTTGCAACAAGAACAGTCCAGGTTTATATGATGCATTGATATTTTGCAAATTAACGATTTACTATATGGTTTTTCTATTTTACCAAGTAACTCTGTAATTGTGTGCTAAGTACGATTCAGTTGTCCTCACCTGTGTTCTCCTCCACTACAATACTACTCACTTTACCTATTTAAATTGAATTACGCATAAGTTAGTTTTTGAAGCTACACAGCCTAATGCATGAATTATCAACGTCAGACAAGTGAAAGAGTATCAAATAGTGTCAATACACTGAAAATAAGATATGTAAGGATATCATATAAAAATTAATAATTTAATCAGATTATACAACATAATACTGATCAGACAATCAATATTTTACGTATTCCTATGGAAAGAACCTAGGAGAGTTATAAAGGCTTAAACTTTAAGGACTTAATTCACAAAAATCTGAGTTAATTGTTTTTCTGTTGTGTCAGTTACTATGTCCCACCTTTATGGTTTGATACATACAGATGAAAACGGACTACACTTAAGATACCGACTCAATAAGAACAATAAGCGAGTAATATGAATCAAAATAAAACAACTAAAGACTGAGATTAAAGGTTGTACAATTCCTATGATTAGTTAATAAAATGACATTTCATTGATCAATAACAACTTATTCTGGTCTAATGAAACTCAGTCACATTGATTTTAATGAAATCGTGTTCATAAATTTAAATACAATGAACGAATGAGCACATCGATCTTTTTTTGTGATCGTAATAAATATCTTGGTTAACAGTTGTCTTTTATCACTGGATCAGCTGAGAACTAAATGAAAAGGGCGAATCGATTTTGCTTCTACCATTTGGGAAATGATTCATATTATGAAACATGTTAAGAAACAGTACAACTAAGGAATGTGAAGAATAATGTCCGGCTAAAGATAATGAATAATACACTCATGAATAATAGTTTTGTAACTAAAGGAATAAGTGATTCAGTCTATTCAGTAGTTATTGTTATTACTTGGAAATGATATATCCTGAGAAAAATGTTTATTTTTAATACTGCATTACTAAACTTGACAAAATATACAGTGAAATGTAAAGATATGGATCATAGTTAAAAATTGAAATATATAAAGTCACAAGGTGTAACTTGATGTTACGAATAAAAGTTTTTTAGACGAAATCATTATGACTTACGCTCTGTGATACAGTAATATGATAATAATTGTGACCACGTAGAAAAGCAAGTAAATACCGACAGCTCCAAGTATGGGTAATAAATACGGCCATCCTTCAAAATAAACAAGTCAGTTTTACGTAGAGAAAAAAGATGAAAATTACAATAATCATAAAACAGGCATGAGTTTAAGAATAGTTGGGATAATTTGTACAGTAAGGCTAGAAGAATACTGTTTTCAGACTTATTGACAAGAAAAGGGACTGATTCATTGACAAGGGGATTTCTGCAAAACATCTTGTGATAGAGTTGTAGATTGGAGACCAGTTAACAGTGGTAACTGCTTCAATATGAGAACACTCTCACCCTCACTGGTTATGATAAAAAGACGTCATACATCTTATATGTATTGGTAGCAACATATTTTCTCTGGAAAACCAATATTTGACCTTATGTTGCGTTACCAGGAATCAAGCTTTGCATTATTAAAACTGAAAATGTTCCATGATAGGAGGAAATTCAGTGCTATTAGTAAGATTTTTTTTAAGTGCATACGAAGCTCTAATGACAGAGTTACGACGGATTGATCTGATCTTAAACTTAGTAGTTATGCCTCTTTTACCAAGAACTCATCCCTAATTCTGAATAAAAACAATACTACATTCTGTGAAATCATTCGCTTGTCTTCGTCCAAACAATTATATCGTTTCAAATAAATGAAGTCATGGTAAGCTATGATGTTATTTCATTATACACTAGTATTCCTATTGATAAATGCTTAGAATTCATCATTAGTTTATTGAGAACGACAATACTCTTTCTGATAGGTATCCTTTAAGCATTAATCTAATCATGAAATCCTTAAAACTCTGCTTAAATTCGACACTATTTAGTTTTAACGAGATGTTATACAAACAAACTAACGGCTTAGCAAAGGAATCCCCCATGTCCCCGATTGTAGCCAACCTGTTTATAGCATACATGGAATCAAATAATTTTGCCAATGACTTTAAACGACGAATTTCGCTTAGATATGTAGATACTTTTGGTGTCATAAAAAGGACTCATTTAAGATCTTTTTCGAAACGGATCAATACACTTTAATCGCACATTAAATTTAAGAACGAAAATGGAAATGAGCATGATGAACTGTGATTTTTAGATTGCTTAGTTAAACGAAATCTATCTGCAGAAAAACTACACACTCTAGTCGTTATATTGACTTCCATTCAGCACATCCATTCAGTGCAAAGATCTCACTAGATTACTTTGATTGAGCGCAAGCATATGAACAGGTTTAAAAACGTTAAGGGTAACCAGACTAGTATGATACCTTTCTATAAAGCCATCTAAGATTAGTTTGAACAGTACTGGGAAGTGTGGGTTTCCTGGTTTGGGATTGTAAGAATACCATAATCTCCAGTTAGTGAAGTGGTATAAAGTAGGTTAAAAAAGGATTCATTCTTGATTATATATCCTAATATTCATACACTTTATTACCCCCACTCTATTCGTTATTATTGAAAAATATTTCCCACGATTCGTTTCACACTATCAGTGAAATCCTATCGACTCCTTTAGATTTTTATCTTAAAGATGTAGAGAGCAACAACTCGCCCCATTGTATATTTATGCTAGGTCCTACGTTTTGATTAATTAACAATGCTCAAATAAAAGGCAAAATACTAACTGGTAAAGCACATCAAAGATTTACTGTAAAATATTATAGATGAATTCATTCCATCAATAATTATACCAAGTTATTTTACTTAGAATGAGTTTTGTTCCCGTTACAAGTTTTCAATATTAGTACTAATCTATCGAGCAAAATAACCATTAAGGGAAAATGAAAGCGACCATAATAACCAAACTTACTCCTATGTGTTGAATTAATTAGTATTTTAACAGATTTACTTCGAGATCCTGAGAGATTTATCTGTGGTTCATGTGAAAATAAGCCCTGATCTAGGAAAAAGAGGGAGAAAAACAATGATGGAAAATTTAAGACTACAAAGAACTTGATACAATAACAATGTATTGGATTGTTGTTTTATAAGATAAAATTCCCAATTAACAAGAACCCTTCCTCTTATCGAACAATATATAAACACTGAAAACTCTTAACAGCCAATAAACAGTTCGATAAGTCGAAATAAGGTTTACTGATTCAAAATCAACAGTGAAAGTGAAAAGTAGAAACGTCATTGATTAAATGCATAAAAATAATATATATGAGATTGTGAACTATATCCATTCGGTTATGTTTTACAGATGTTAATGAACTCCTAATAACCGCAATCGATTTCAACCAATGATACTATTGTGGTGTGTGCTACTTATACGAACAGATATAAGTAGTAAGTATCAGGGATTGGAAGTAGCATTCTTACTGACAGAACAGGAAAGTAAGAAGAGACAGAAAAACAAAAGCAGTCGAAGTAGCAACAGGAATGAAAGAACAATGGAATTTCTAAAAGACAATTCAATAAAGATGGGCAAATAGTATTTCAGTGTATTGTTTTCGTATTTTACAAATGCAGTGAGTAATTTTGCATGATATAATAAATTAGTTCACTACTCTGTGATTGGTTACAATTGCTGTAATGCTTAGACTACTGAACCATTTTTATAAACATATTCATATATAATTATGACTGAATGATACTCTACAGGAAATAAAATAGTATATCAGATTGTAATAACTTAACGTTTTCAAAATACGAAAAGAAAAACTTTTAAACATTGACTAGTTTTCCGATATGAACTGGATGCAATTTACGTGGAAAAACTACAACTTAGTTTAGGACTTATTTCCATGTGAATAACCAGACGATGTAACAGACCACAGTGTAAGGACAAGAAGATAAATCACCTAAACGTTTTTCGTACATATATATCTATAGTACCGAACAACATTTTTTAGGAGCTGACACTTCATGTGAATACCAAACTTAGGTCTCCGATAGTAACAGTTGGAGACGTTATCATTGAGCTATTTAGGCAGCTGACTAACTTTTGGTGACTCAGGGAACACCAGTTCCTACAAGAGTATAGGTACACCTTGCTAACGTGTGACGAACAGCCCCAAAATCCAGAACTCTCTGCTTATCGCTTTCAGCTATCTAACATACATAAATATATATGCCTTTCGTTGGATGGTTAGATCAAAAGGATAGAAGCTTTTAGTGTGAATGGTGTTGTATACAAATAAAAGCATGAGTGGTAATTTTACCAAAAAATTCAACAGAACTGGTGCCTCGGAATTTATTCAGTTGGAACCGGTAATAGAAAAAACTTGATTGCTTCAAATATTCCTTTTATTGTAAAAGAACAGTTTATTTATTTATTTATTTAAACATATAAACATCGGTACAAGGAGGCACCAAATAGATATGCACCACATAAATCATTCGATTTGTGCGAGGGCTGGGATACTGCCCGGGTGCCAAAACCAAAGCAGGTGGTTTTCTTAGGGGACCACGCCCGAATAGTACAGTACACTCTTTGACCAAAGTTAGAAAATGAGAACCATTAAATGTTTTACTCCAGAAGAAATGGAGATTTGTTTGTAAGAAAAGACACGAAGATCCTTCATGCGTTTTTCATTGTTCTAGTCAATATTTTATTCTAGTTAAAATCTTGTATCACTTTTTAGCTATGGGATGTAGCAAAATAAATGAATATAGCTAGTTCTTCAGGTTTAGTGATGTTTGGTTTGTATACTGCAGTGAATGATTATTTACAATAACAATTCACTTTAGTTTAAGCTGACATTTCATGTATTACAGATAAATTGCAGATTTCTACTTGTCATTTTATCGATTTGCACTAACAGATAGTACATGTATATACGTCACATATGTCAGTCGCTTCAGTATTGAATCATATAAAACTGATAATGAGCCTTCAAACTCATAGTACAGACAATAAATAGTAGAACACCATAAAGGGAATTTTTTGATTTATTTGGAACTGATTCTATCATGTGACTCGATATATCTCTCATTTGGCAATTTTTAGGAAGTTTAATGTAAAACTCGAAATATAACTTACTAACTGAAATGCAACAAGTCAAGAATCTAAGACCTAGTGGTTGAAAGTCAAATACCATAACAATAAGTTGAGGATACAGAAAAACGGTGGTGTTCATTGTCTAATAATTTCTCACATATGTTCACATGCGCAAACCCAAAGAGCTTTCACTTTGGTAACAAAATAAATAAATCTAACAACACTTTACCGGTCCAAAATAGTATGAAGTCAAGAAACTCGGCCTATGATAATAATAACCAGACATTTCAGATCCAGAAAAAAGACACTTAGTAAATGTAACAACATCATTACAAAAGGTTTTGTCCTAGTTGCTTGTTGTCTTCAATAATTACTACTAACCTCAACGCCCCCAAATGCCCTGGTACGGCCGAGAGTAGGGACAGTCAGCTCTCCTCGAAATGCTCTCATATGGCCACGTATATATAGCCTTTGCCAGAGAAGTCCTACTCACCGTACTCTCGTGGCGGGTGTGTTGTTCACGAAATTGAGAGGACGAAAAGCGAATGTCCGGCGCTTTAACCGGGCTAGTGGGCATGGAGAGTCCATCTAGGGGAGTTGGAAAACCATGATTCCAAACCAATGGTGTCAACTACGAAGGTACAGTTTATACTCTATCAAACACACAGATTTCCAAATAAAAAATATTTTTTGGAGTTTCGAGTAGTTTGGCACAGTATGTTACGAACCAATCAATTGTATATATATATATATATATATATATATATATATATATATATTGCTGCCTTTTTGAAGAATTTTTGTAATCAGAAGATAAAATCCATGGTGCACATTACCTGGTAATGGTGGAATTAGATCTTCGATGCCGGAACAAGCATAGTCTGTTGGTTTCAAGACTAGAACGAGGAAAAATCCTTTGAGGAATTGAGTCACCTAGATTAATTTATTTAAAGTTTTAAGGAATTAAAACACATTACTTACATCAATGGATATTGCACCCAAAGTAGTGACTGTTTGATGTAACCCAGTGTTTCCCACTGTATCGGATAAATCATTGACAGGACACTGAAATTATTTGTAAAATAAACTTACCTCTGGTTAAAAGGAAAACCTACCTGCAGTTTTTGGATAGACAAAACCATACATATATCACTTTTTGAAACAACCTTAATTTCTGCTGAATTTTTTTCTGGAGGATAAAGGTATCGTAAATAGATAGGTTCAGCAGGTGAGACTACTATACTTCTTTCAACGCCCGGCCTAAAATTAAATATAGGTCTGTTATATGAGTAATTTGACATACTCCAAATCGAAATCAGGAACTAACTGAGCCAGAAACATGTAACGCACTTTTCCAGGTGGTTTAACAGCATTAGACAACTCTACTGTGAGTTTTCGAACTGCTCCAGGCAGTAATTTGATTGGACACAGTGTGCGACTAACGTTACCGTGTACTGATCTATTTGTGTGCATTAAACAAAAGGAATAAGTGCAAGAAGGGAAAAAACTTACATAGAATTAAGAACCATTGGTGCTTGGAATGACATTACATTGTCCACTTGCTTGATCACCACTAACATAGGATAATCTAGTTTCGGGTTGTAATTTACTACATGTACTCGAATAACAAATTCCTATTAAAATTATATTAAATTCAAAAGGGAAAATAATTGTAAAAAAATGCATATCATACACTACGATTTGCAAGAGTAAACTGGTATTCAATTTTCTGGTCCTGTGAAATTTCACCCCTATATGGTTCATCCAAATTGGCTTCATATGTCACCGAGTAGGCTTGAAGGATCCAACATGATACGGCAAACGTTATCCCAAAAAGTAGACGAATCATAGCTATTTAGCGGACACATAAGAATTAGAAGCAGCTGAAATAAAAGAGGACAGTGTAAGGATGTCTTTCCTCCTAAAAAGTTAAAATGTCTCGGGAAAAGTCCCAAGAATGCAAATTTCGAAGAACAGGTACATTGAGCAATGTTTCCCATAAAACTATACTAACATTTTATTATACATCGTTGCGTGGATAACTTAATGAAACAAGCAAAAGTGTACCTTATAGCTGCTGAGCAAATGGGATTTGAAAATCAAACGCTAATACTTTCACTTAATTTTAATAAGTAGGACAGTGATAATTAGTTCTGATTTCGATTCCAAATATGGCTGTAATGCTCTTGTAACTGGTTTTCATAGTTGACAAGTAAATTGTTTCTGATAATCAGTCATAATATTAACCATGAAATCCTATGGTATTGTGACCGTAAAAAGAATTTTCTCTGCCTCTGCCTGTTAAACTCAAAACTTTAGTATACCATAAGTGGAAACAAAGACCCCCTAAAGAATAATACCGTGAAGCCTTTAAGAGGTAGAAGAGACCTGAACAGTAACGTATGATTGAGTGAACACAAAATAAGGTATGAAACAGTCATTTGTTTTGGTCGATTTCATTACTTTACAAATGTAAATGATTCTATTTAGATTGGCTAGTACAGCAGAAGCTTAATGATTTAACTACTTAACTTCCGACTATCGTGTTTCAGGTATGAAAAGTTCCTTAATTCAGCTTGGAGGGTCAAGTATTTTTACTAGCGCTTGTGTAAAAATCATGGTTTAAAGTAGAATTAACGAACTTGATCGACTTGGGCATTTTTTATTGATGTCAGAGCTATGTAATTTTACCACATTTAGTCCGATATATATTCTCAAGATCTTGTCAAACCAACTCAATGAACAGGAGATACAAAGACGGTAGCATAGTGACATTTTTTAACGAATCCTGACTGAATATAAGCCTTATTACATACTTAACAGTCTTTAGTCTTCAGTAATAAGGATAGGAGGTCTATCGACCTATATTAATCCTTGCAGTTTGTAATACTGTGGAGGTCCAACCTCGTTTTGAATATATTAACAGACGGTGCTGGTATTATGTGTTCCGGTAGAGAATTCCAGTGATTCACTACTCGGTGAGAGAAACGGAACCCCAGACGTGAACGATTTGATCTCGGCTTTGAGCTTTCTTCGAATGTCCTCTCAAATGATCGGTTCTAGACAGAAGCAAAAGATAAGACATGTTAATACCAAGGTCATCGTTCAGTATACGATAAGCCAATATTAGATCACCCCGTACTCTACGGTAAGATAACGGAAATAAGTTAAGGTGTCTCAGTCTGTCTTCATAAGATAGGCCAGATAGACCTTGTACCATCTTAGTAGCTCGTCGTTGGACTCTTTCTAGCATATCTGATTCGTACTTGAAACAAGGACACGCTACTTGAATCCCGTATTCTAAATGTGGTCGCACATAAATCGGGTATAGTAATGTAAACATTTCATCATCTAAATACTGGAAAGACCTACGAATTGATCATAATACCCTATAGCCTTTGGCAGCAGCAGCAGCCTTACAGTGACTAGTGGTTTTGAGATCATTGCTTAATATGACTCCTAAATCTTTATAGTTTCTTGCTTTGGGTAGCACGAATCCACGTAGTGTATAGTCATACGATTCATCAGAGTTATTTAACTGCATCACTACACTCTTATTAGGATTTACTTCTAGTGACTACCTGTCTAACCATGCCACCAATGAGCTAAGATCGTCCTGTAATACTATTCTATCCGACATACTATGTATGGGTCTCCAAATCTTTATGTCATCAGCGAAGAGTAAAACGGATGATTTTGCTACAGTTGACAATTCATTTACATAAAGTAAAAAGAGAAGAGGACCTAAGGTTGTACCTTGGGGAACCCCACTTTTTACAGGTACCCACGAGGAGAAAGCCCCATTAACTCTCACCCTTTGTCTCCTGTCATGGAGAAAGTTACTTATCCAATCGACGACTGTATAATGGATTCCAAAACGTTCCAGTTTGAATTTAAGACCAGAGTGGGAAACCTTATCAAAGGCTTTACTTAGATCTATGAAAATCACATCCACAGGAGCATTCCGATCCTTTGCCGCAGCCCACTCTTCTCGTGCAATGAGATTTGTCAAGCAAGATAGGCCTTTCCGAAAACCATGTTGTGCCCTGGAGAATAGATTTTGCCCTTCAAAATACTTTATAACAGCTATCCGAATGATTTTCTCCATCAGTTAGTATAACATGTCCCTAGTTCTAAACGTGAATGACAAAACAGCGTGACCGCTGTTTACTAACGGTGGAAGAATATTTAAGTCGACAATATCCTCCGTCTCATGAATGATTACCAAGTCCAGCAGAGAACCCTGGTTAACACCAAAACGTGTGGGTTGGGATACATGCTGCACTAGTGCATGCTGCATTATTGTTATCAGGAACCTACTATCAAAGGAGTTTATAGATCCTTCTGTGGTCATCTCAGTCCAACTAATATCAGGTGCATTAAAGTCTCCTATTATAAAGCATCTGGTATTTTCACTTCAAAGATGAATGTGCTCTAAAATAAAGTCATCAGCTAAGCAGATTGGGCTGCGATAGATGACACCGAGCATAAATGTACTACATCCTATAGCCAACTTACAGCTAATGACTTCACAAGTACCGCTCTCATGGGATTCGCTAGTAGATGAGCGGATATTTATGCTATTGGCTATATATAACAGGACACCGCCTCCTTTTCTACATCTATTTCTATCACTCCTGATGTAATGGTATCCGGATAATTCTGGAGTAATGTCTAAGTCATGGACTAACCAAGTTTCTGTCATTACTACTATGAGTGGCTTTAACCTGTCCACTAGTGCTTCTAATTCATAGAACTTATTTCGTAGACTACGAGCGTCGGCATATAAAACTCCTAAGTAGAACAGCCTATCCACACAGGCCTTGGTAGCATTCACTTCCAAGACCTGACTATCCGAAAACCCACTAGCTGTAGACTTTCCTCGCCGTTTTGCCGACGGGTTTCAAGTTCAGCTAGTGCTTTCTTCCTTTTTATTCTATCTTCGAGAGACATGTCAGGTCTAACTCGGATGTCAGAATTGTCGTGACAACGAGTGCTACGTAACAAGAGATCCCGTTGCTTCTCCGATCCTAGGATTACCTTAAGGAGTCTGCATGGACGGGGTTCAACATTGTCCTCGGTCCTCTTGCCTATTCTAACCAATTTTTTGACCTGAACTACTTTGGAGTTATATGGTAAAATACTACGAATGTATTCTCCTAGCTTTTCTAAGTCATGCGCGTGTCTAATTTTCGGATCAGGGTCGTTTGACTCCCGCATTTTGCTCACAATAATATTCGATGTTATTAGATTTTTCTTCTCAGTCACGCCAGGATGGGTTTCACTCTTACCATCAGGTCTTGGTAGTGCAATTTGTGGCTCCTAATTTGAGTCCACCAGTGATTTACTAACTACCTGTGTACTGCTCACAGCTTTTTTCTTTTCGTTTCGTTTTCTACGTACCGTAGTCCATTTTTCATCCCTCATAACACTGGAACTATTTGGAACGGTGACTGTTTTATCCAGATCTTCGGTTCCCACTAAAGGTGCATTATTAACAATGTCAGTACCAGTTGGTACTACTCCCCCTGTTAATGTCAACGGAGATTTCACTTTTACGTCGGTCAGAGTCGGTTGTTTGAGGCGTCGCGTAACAGCAGGTACTACACTGACACATTTGTCACTGTCAGTCCCCGTGTTGTCAGCGCATATGCCATCGTTCTTCTTACAGGCCAAAGCCAATAGGCTCATAGCCTCCTGTATTAGTAATGCCTTGTTGGCACAGCAGAACATGCAAAGCCAATGTGAGTTAGGCTTTGAAAATCTTTTGTATGCGATGGGACTTAGGCGGGTGCACATTTTGTGGAACCACTTATTGCATTCGTCACACTGTATTCCTTCCTCCACATGGAACAGTTTGGTTGTCCACATTTGTGAGTACTACCAACCATTTTAGTCAGATCAAGGTGTAACACACAATATGATCACAGTATGAAAACAAATGTCAGTTAACGAATAAAAGGTTACCACAAGACAAACTTTAGCAAGATTTTAGGCCTTAACTAAAGTACTTTGATACAGACCAAGAATGCTTTCGAATGTAATAAATACACAAAAGCCAAAAAAACTCAATAGAATATCACTTTAACTGTAGTAGGTTCAATTAAGGTGTAAATCGTAGTTTTGATACGTAATTTACTATCAAAACAGTTAACTAATTCAACGAGAAACAATACCACTGTCCTTTTTAGATAGCGCGCGGTCAACGATTGTCTAGTAGACTAAAGCCAAGTTTACAATAGTTTCACAGGAATAACACTCAAAATAAATGTATAGCGAAAAACAAGTATGGACTGGCTTCAGTTACCAGACTGCACATTCTAAAATGAAGACGAAAATATTTACATCTTCAGACTGGAACACACTGAATGTTTTGTAGTGTAGAGTTTCCTGACCTCTCCGACCTACTCTCGAAATGCGTGGACTAGTCATAATTGTATGACTAATCGTACAAATCACTTAACAGTTTGGAAACAAAGAGCAGCTACATCAGTAACATTCAATCTTCGAGTAATGTCTTGGCAATTATCATGCTTATGATTGAAATAAACAACTAAAACAAACCGATCTACACCTATTTCAATTAAAGCATGTGTATTTGAGACTAGTAATAACTACACAAACGTTCATAGCTTAACTGCACGTTAAAACAATATTTCAATTGTCCTGAGAAATTATATGAAGTAGATTGACCAAGTTTATTTGGAACTACGAGTAGAGATCAGTGTGAGAAAAGTATGACACGAATGTGGAGACTGCATTGTATGCAGTCTTCTTTAAAGTTTTTCTTAGCTTAGAATGGTACTTATTTGAAACCAACAGTTCACGGAAACCTGCAGATGTACCTGCGTGAATATGAGCATAAAACACATTTGTCAGATTTAAACGTTTATAAGAATAAAATAACAAATCTAGGATCTTTTGAGAACCTAGATATTCAATATTTAATTGATAATATAACGCAAGGTAGACATCTTCGCTATAAAAAGATGTTTCTACTTTGAGCTAGGTGGCTGATTACTTACAACACGAAACTCTACACGTATATTTCATATTTTCCGAAAGGTTATGCAAAAGAGCAGAATTGTCATGGGATCTGTCTGAATTTGATTAACCCGATAAATCGGTTTTGAGGAGGCATAAAAAAATCTCTTGAAAGATTTTGGTAAGAATCTGAGCGAAATTCAACCATTCAGGATTTCTTTAGCTTGTCCTTGAAAAAGTGTACATACAATCGAATTTATCCATCTTTTTGAAACTATAAGATGGATCAAAATACAGGATTATGAAGAAATAAATCGTTAGTAAACTATCAGAATGAATTTCATGCGAAAAGTGATGATGAGACAAAAGTTAAACTGCTTACTCTGAAATAGAGTGAGAAACCACATCTGCCTACAAAACATACTCAGCGGCTTTTGAAGGTCTAACTCTGAAAGTATTTACTGCATAAAAACACTTCATAAGATCGAACTTTGTCTGCTTTTATTATATGAGTTTGACTTTAAGGAAAGAATACTTATTGATGAAAATTAACGACTTCTTGATACCATAAACCTATAGGTATGGTTAAAATAAGTTTAATTTGTAGACAGTTTTAGCTGTTATTTGTTGTTTTTTGTAGTTCCGCTTTATCTAAACAAAAAAGCTCTCCCTAAAGCATTTTGCCCAAGTTGGCTTCTATTATTCCAGTTTGTTATGCGCATGATATTTTGTATATAGAGGCTCACATACACACTTCTTGCTAAATTTGTTGGCCTGACCTCTCCGACCTACTCTCGAAATGCGTGGACTAGTCATAATTGTATGACTAATCGTACAAATCACTTAACAGTTTGGAAACAAAGAGCAGCTACATCAGTAACATTCAATCTTCGAGTAATGTCTTGGCAATTATCATGCTTATGATTGAAATAAACAACTAAAACAAACCGATCTACACCTATTTCAATTAAAGCATGTGTATTTGAGACTAGTAATAACTACACAAACGTTCATAGCTTAACTGCACGTTAAAACAATATTTCAATTGTCCTGAGAAATTATATGAAGTAGATTGACCAAGTTTATTTGGAACTACGAGTAGAGATCAGTGTGAGAAAAGTATGACACGAATGTGGAGACTGCATTGTATGCAGTCTTCTTTAAAGTTTTTCTTAGCTTAGAATGGTACTTATTTGAAACCAACAGTTCACGGAAACCTGCAGATGTACCTGCGTGAATATGAGCATAAAACACATTTGTCAGATTTAAACGTTTATAAGAATAAAATAACAAATCTAGGATCTTTTGAGAACCTAGATATTCAATATTTAATTGATAATATAACGCAAGGTAGACATCTTCGCTATAAAAAGATGTTTCTACTTTGAGCTAGGTGGCTGATTACTTACAACACGAAACTCTACACGTATATTTCATATTTTCCGAAAGGTTATGCAAAAGAGCAGAATTGTCATGGGATCTGTCTGAATTTGATTAACCCGATAAATCGGTTTTGAGGAGGCATAAAAAAATCTCTTGAAAGATTTTGGTAAGAATCTGAGCGAAATTCAACCATTCAGGATTTCTTTAGCTTGTCCTTGAAAAAGTGTACATACAATCGAATTTATCCATCTTTTTGAAACTATAAGATGGATCAAAATACAGGATTATGAAGAAATAAATCGTTAGTAAACTATCAGAATGAATTTCATGCGAAAAGTGATGATGAGACAAAAGTTAAACTGCTTACTCTGAAATAGAGTGAGAAACCACATCTGCCTACAAAACATACTCAGCGGCTTTTGAAGGTCTAACTCTGAAAGTATTTACTGCATAAAAACACTTCATAAGATCGAACTTTGTCTGCTTTTATTATATGAGTTTGACTTTAAGGAAAGAATACTTATTGATGAAAATTAACGACTTCTTGATACCATAAACCTATAGGTATGGTTAAAATAAGTTTAATTTGTAGACAGTTTTAGCTGTTATTTGTTGTTTTTTGTAGTTCCGCTTTATCTAAACAAAAAAGCTCTCCCTAAAGCATTTTGCCCAAGTTGGCTTCTATTATTCCAGTTTGTTATGCGCATGATATTTTGTATATAGAGGCTCACATACACACTTCTTGCTAAATTTGTTGGCCGCCGTTATCTAATTGTCTACTTATAATCACATCGCACACGCTTCAGCTCGTTATGCAGTATATTTTCTGTCAACCACATAGTGAAAATTTGGGTCTATATCTAAGTTTCCTTGGAACTGTTTCTATTCCTTTGTCAGGATTATAAACATATGTTAACTGAAATGTTTTGTATATATTTGCTTTTGCGTTCTACTAACCCATTCTTTTTATACGTTTCGGAGTATTAGCTGAGTTGGGATATTCTATTATTTTTATTGGTCAGCTAAAAACTCCACCTGAAGCCTCTCCAGGGTTACTACCGGTCCCAAGCTCGGGCAGGGGAAAAAGATAAGTCATGGACTTATCAATTTCATCCCAAAGAAACACAGCATTGCTTACAAAAACGCCAAATAAATAAAAAAACAACCAACCATTTAAAACCAGTCCTGCGAGTTGAAGCATCTTCATTTGGAAGAGCTATAAAGCCTCATGGTGAAGGTCGAGATTCATCGGAAATCACAAGGCTAATTACTACCCCAACAACTAGAGCGGCAAATAATATAAGCACATAGAATGTCCGGACAGTGTAGGAGACTAAAAGAACCAATCAAATAGATATGGAAATCAAGAGATACAACTTTGTGGAATAAATGAAACCCTTTGGATCCAAGCCGCACAGAATAGATTGTATTCGAGTGGCATGCTGTTGTAGTCTGCTGATGAAAAACTTAATGCTATGCACAAATAAAGAGTTTCACACATGCTATCCAAAGAAGCACGAAATGCACTTGTAGGGTGTGAATCTCATGGACCCAGAATCACTAAACCATCCTTCAAAGCAATGAAGGAGAGAATTACAATGAATGTTATCTAATGTCATGTAACAAGATATTATGGGACGACATGGACTGGTATAGAGAAACAAAAATGGGGGAACATTTGCAAATCCATGTGCATTCAACAAATTGGTTACAGATAGCACAATATTCCCACACAAACGCATACACTAAGCGACATGAGTCTCGTTGGATCACACCACTGAGAATCAGATCGACCATCTCTGCATCAGTAGGCCTCAGCATACACAAAGGGAAAACCAAAGTCCTCAAATTCAAAGTAGAGAACAGCAATCCAATCACTCTTGATGGCGAAACTCTGGAAGATATAGAATCCTTCACATACCTGGGAAGCATAATCGATGAGCAAGGAGGATCAGATGCAGACGTAAAGGCGAGGATTGGCAAAGCAAGGACAGCATTCTTACAATCAAAGAACATATGGAACTCAAAACAACTTTCAACCAATATCAAAGTCACAATCCTCAATACGAACGTCAAGGCAGTTCTACTGTATGGAGCTGAAACTTGGAGAACTACAACAACCATCATCAAGAAGGTACAAGTATTTCTAAATGGTTGTCTACGCAAGATACTCAACATCCATTGTCCAAATACAATCAGCAACAGTCTTTTGTGGGAAAGAGCAAACCAGCTTCCAGCTGAAGAAGAAATTAGGAAAAGACGATGGAAATGGATAGGAAATACACTACGTAAATCGTCAAACAGCATCAGGAGACAAGCCCTATCTTGGAATCCTGAAGGGAAGAGGAAAAGAGGAAGGCCAAAGAACACATTGCGTCGGATAATAGAAGCAGTTATGAAAAGGATGAATGACAACTGAAAGGAGCTGGAAAGGATTGCCCAGGACAGGGTTGGATGGAGAACGCTGGTGAGTGTCTTATGTTCCTTCACGAGGAGTAACAGGCGTAAGTAAGTAAGTAATATATGCATCAGTGAGAAATTCACATGGTCAGTGGAAGATGTGAGAACTAGGAGAGGAGTTGACATAGCTTCAGATCACCACTGGCTGATGGTTGTCAAGATGAAACTGAAGCTAAAGAAGCACTGGACAACTGAAGAAAAAGCATTACAAAGGTTCAACACAATCTTTCCTCGAGATACTGGCAAACTCAATGAATTCAAGATAGATCTCAACAACAAGTTTCAAGCCCTGCCGGATCTACTGAAAGAAGAAGAAACTACGGCAAGACTATAATCTATGGACGAACCGATCAGATATACGATAACAGGTCTCAGATTTTGGCGCGAATTTCACCCATCCATCTAGTTAAATTAGGTTTTAACATTATAGCTTATGTCAGTTCGTGATGAAAACCCTAAATCTAATTCTTAATCTCTGCTGACCTCACTGGTTGTACTGGAAACTTCACTGGTTGAAGCACATCATTCAGGCACCAACACAAGATCACTTTTACGTACTCCGTGCTGCGCACCTCCTCTGAAAGCTAGTTGCCTTAGATTTCATAAACCGTAATACAATAACCATTATCCAAGTACATTTCTACATCTCTTCATTGTCGATTCCCAATTGAAAATGTAACGATACCCATCCTTCTAACGACCAAACTACCACTATTCGATTTGAAAGCATAACTGACGAACGAAGATGTATTCGAATAGACCAGACTGCGTTCTTCTGTATAGCTTACCAAGTGTTTTTGGGATACTCGTACTAAATTATATCAAAACACAAACTCTGTGCTCAATTTAAACGGTTCTAATTTGGGAAATAGAACAAATTATATCAAAAATTCAAAATACCTCAAACGGTACAGCCTGTTCTACACAGTCAGAAGTAGAGAGCTAAACAATAAAAGAAACAGTTAATACTAAAGGGTCTGGTACCTGAGAATCAATAAGAGAATTCCCAACAAGATGGGATCAAATATCTATCTGTAGGGATTCCATCAATCCTACCAAGCAGACAGTTAAAAGGTTAACAGCCACACGCTGAACTATGCCGTGACCTTGAACCTAGTCAAACACGACCTTACTGTCAATAGTCCGGCAAAATGCAATAGAAATGTAGGTAACAAAGGATAAGTCTTCAGTCAAAATCACATAATAAAGGCTCAGACGAGGAAGGCTGAAGAACAAAAGTTGTGATTAGACGAGATCTGGACAAAGGTCAAAATATACGACAGGGAGAAAAAAACAAATAAATGACAGTACTGTACCAACAAAAAGGCTGCGGAGAGACTTTCATCGTTCTCTTTACGCTACAATCCTATTAGAAGAGGTGCCAGAAGACAGAGTTGTTAAGCATTGTATATTCGCGGCATGTTCAAGAGATTCAGGTATTAATACTGTTATATCCTGGTGATTCATGATTTTTCATATTCCCCTATAATTACAAATGAGTTGAAGTAGGCAATGAATGATCGCTTCACTAATCCTAGAGCTGAGATGCGATAAATTATCAAAAGTCATTTTTCGCGAAACTGGGTATTCGTCCATGATTTGACTATTATTTTGTCGGGTTGTGTCATACATCGGACTAGTTCAACTGTTCTTGTGAAGCTAGGCGCATACGTTGTAGTCAATACTCTCCGTCGATCCGGATACGAGAACATGTCCTAGTATGGTCCTACAAGGGTGGGACGACTGCAGTTAGAAATTACAGTCTTGAAGAGCTAATCGCCTCTAATCACTCTATCAATCCACAGCTTTACTTAAATGTTTTTCATGCGATTCGTTTAAATCTACCTATATTCCATCCTATATAACTCCTTAAAACAATAGAAACTTTTGCCAACCACGAGTTGAAGCCAGAACAGTGTGTAAAAAAGGAGTAAGTCTTACCATTATAGTTACCTTGACCTTAGGTTATTATTACTATTATTATTATTATTTCATTTCATATTTGAAAACATTCCTCCCTCTCCCTAATTGTGTTTCACATCCTCATGATTTTATTCATAATTGTTTCAGATATCACTTCATTTCATTTTTACCTCTCTGTTACCTGTATTTGATGTATCAAAAACATTTTGCCTATCTCAATTCATCCACATTAAAATCCGTTGTTAACTAAGCATTCGCAGCGTCAAATAGATCCTTGAAATGTACGGTTCTGTAAGTCTTCGACATTGGTGATGACACCAGTAGTTTTACTGGGCACACCAAGCTGAAGTAGTCCGGCCACACCGTGCTATGCATCCCGGTCGACTGCTGGCCAACTTAAGTCAAACGTTACTCGACTTATCGATAGCTTACCACATGTGTTTGCTAACCTCTTGATTTCTGACTTCTGATTTGATTGCGTTGGTATGCTTCGATTGTAAAGGTGTTACGTGTAAAGACGTTGTCTTACACTGACTACTTGTGACATTTTAAGATTATACACGGCTATCTATTTGCACACACACGATCTTTAATTTTTATTTACATTGAGTAATCTAGTATTATAATCTTCCGGATGCATCACCATGTTTATTCCTTGTTCATATGTTCCCGCGGAACTGATACTTTAACAAAATGTTTTCATATATATGTATATATAAACGATTGTACGGCATGATTATAAATTCTTTGAAAAGATATCCCTTTGCGGAAGTTCGTGTTTTTATTAACAATGTATTTGTTGGAACGATTTAAACACAGACAAGAACATAAATCGTAAAAACTGTTTAGCAAAGCCTTGGGTAAGTGCATAAACACCAGGTAGCATAAAATACATAATATGAATTTGGAAAAGAAACAACAACACGCGAAAAAACAAAACCTAAACAAATTGGCATAAAAACCCAAGGTAAAATACAGAACTGAACACGTTCTTTCTATCCTGCAGAAAATCATTGAAACAGTTTCGTTAACACAAAGGGTATTACGCTGATCGCGCGAGGTTACACACTCAAAACAGATTACGTAAAGATATCCTTTAGCCTGTAGTTAACTTCGGAGTACATATAATCAAGAAAAAAGGGAAATAACGCCACTAAATCAAATCCTGAAATGTGATAGTTCATCGTACACTCTGGAGAATACAGTGGAGGTTTGTAGGCCCTTCAATAACAGGGCCTCTGTACTGATAATGACCAGTTGATAAATGATGTCGACATATCGATATCAAACGGCCTACATGATGGGAATCTGTCAAAAACCTGATCGAGTAGAGCTTTAAAAGGAATGACTATGAAAATGTCTGTTTGATACCGTTTGAACTACCCTCACAAAAGTACAAAGGAAGGTAATCGGTTACTTTTCAAAGACACCAAATTGGTTATCTTCTCTACATATAATCTTGATTAAGTTGCTTTTGCCGCAAATAACCAGTCGGCATTCCAAGGTTTCATCAGTGAGGACGATAGCTATTCATACGTACAGTGTGTCTTGACATAATTTATGTGGTCTAGGCGGAATGCAATCTCAAGTTACTCTGTTGTTTGTGTCTCAGTCTCTTTCAACTTCGTCAGACATTAGAGACTACCATTTCCCAGGGCTTGGGTCAGAAGAGATCATTGTGGCCCTCACGGTCGGCAACAGATACATCAAAATCACATGCTTAGTAAATTAGAAACCTAGGCAGATATATATTGTACGATAGTGTATCTCGAAGTCTGAACTTACTTTTTACATTCTGACTGAATCAATGGTTAACCCAGTGGCTGTAGTGTGAGAGGGCAGCAATTTATTCTTGTTACTTTGTTATTGGACAGACAGATCACCAATGTTAGTGATCTACGTTGCCTACACTAATTGAACAAGGATGGTATGACCAAATGTATTACACTGAGGTTACACCATGAGGGAAATCCGTGACTTCGATTGTGCAGTTATGATAAACAGCTGAATAAACTTCTTAATTGGCTGGATAGGATTAATGCCCATAATCGGCAACAGCGCATATCAGTATCACCAGGTTATAAAAGTGCGAGACGAAACAACTGCCGAATGTGCCTGTCCATGGTGTGCAATTGATTGATGACTATATAAATGTGGCGAACAAATTTCGCGATCTTTAATTCTAAACAATGATACATAGTGGTACTGAAAAATCGTTATGAATTGGTTTATAAAATGCCGAATAGTCTCTAGAGCGTTGAAAAGAGCTAATGTTACACTAGGCGTTACAAAGCATTTACGTCACAATGTTTTTCTGTTTGAATAGTAGTGTGAAAATGGCCAATCGCTCATTGTTAGGTCGAAAACAAAATTACAATGACATATTTCAATAAAAATTCGGATCGTGAGTTAACTTGTCTGTGCAAACCATACAGTAAACATTAGTTAACGTTGTAATTATCTATAAAACTAAAATTTAGATCGCGGTAACATAGACACTTTGTAAAAGGCTGATGAGATATGTTTATTATTTTGCATTACGTAACGTATTACGTGTGGTAATACAGCGAAATGTCTAGTTAAGACGGTTACGATGGGTTTATTCTCAGTACGTTATCTTACGAAGCATTAATATACATGATTATTATAAATTGATAAGAGGTGGAGTATATGACTACACCATGTGAAAGCACCTACTTATTGTTGTTAAGAGTCAGCATCGCCATCAACTGAAAGTAGAAACTTGTATAAGTTACTTTCATATTTACATTGAAGATGCCGCAAGTATTTGGAGTTTGACAAACCGGTAAACCTTCTATAATCGAAACGTGCCAACCCAGTGAAATTGGAAGCCAGGAGAGAAGAGGTTGGAAGATATGATTGACAGGCTATCATTATATCGAGAAGTGACTGATCCAAACTGCCTAGCGGTTGTAAGAAAAGTTGAACACTTTGTACCAACTCGTGATATGGTGCGAATGCGTGACTGAGAGCCTTTAGCTAGGTGAGTCCATTAAAACTAATGTGGTTAGCATCAAATGCCGAAGGCTTACAAAGTCATTTATTTACCGCTATAATATAGTAGAAATTCGTAGTGGTCAGTCCCTCGATATGATAGAAATCCAAGGGAAGAGTGGACCAAATAGAAGATATCACTGAAATGGTTGTTTGAACAATGCTCGGGGGCGTTTCACTGGTCATACAGACAATTCGATCTACCTACACCAGTAAGAACATCAAAACTCAGGACTTCATCAACTTCAATGTTGTTAGAGAAGAGTGTGTAGACTGATGTCGACGAGAAATTTTAGTAGCCGTTTATCGAAAAGTTCACCTGCAAGAACAGAGTACAAGTTGGTTTGCGCCGAAATTTAGTTCGCGTAGTACAGAAAGATGATAAAAGATTCGTTTGTCACATATTTTACGAAGCTAAACTGCCCTAGTCAATAAAGATCACTCGTGAGTTCTTGACCTTGGATGAAAATTAAGAGGGCATCATCTGAACGCTGAGTTTGTTTTCGTCTAACGTAAAAGTACCTGTCACGGGATTTCCTTTAACAAGTCGTAGTATAAAGCAGTCATCTGATTTCATCAAAACGTCAGTATGAACTTTGAGGCCAATGACAAAATAGGCCACACGTTCAAGGTTATGCCTCAGACATTTTCATATAACTTCAAGTTTCAGAGTTTGAAACTTCAGTATTTCTACCTAATGTACCAAGAAATCGCCTAAGATATCTCCAGTGGGCACTTTAAAAGGCCTAAATTTCGTCTTATCTGCTCAATCATGGGTCAAAAATGTTGGATATTGGATAAAGGTAGTGTTCTCTATTTGAATTTGAGCGTAGCTGATGGCCGATGGCATCTCGTAAACCAAATGCGAGTGCTGTTAAAGCACTTCAAAAGGAACTTAAAGATTTGAATGAGTTCCCAATGGAGGGGTTCAAAGTTATGGTTTCTGAAGAAGAAAATCTTTTTGTTTGGGACGTCGCTATATTTGGACCACCAATGACTTTGTATGAAGGAGGTTATTTCAAGGTAGGTTACTCTTTTTTTGACGTAGACTTTTAGGCACGATTATGTTTCCCTGACGATTATCCATATAGTCCTCCTACAATGCATTTTCTTAGCAGGATGTATCACCCAAACATATATGAGAATGGTGAAGTCTGCATATCAATTTTGCATTCCCCAGGTGATGACCCACAGAGCGGTGAGCTGCCGTCTGAGAGGTGGAATCCGACACAAAACGTCAGGTTAGCATGAACCCCACTAAGTTTATTCGTTTTAGGACGATTCTTCTGAGTGTCATTTCTTTATTGAATGAGCCAAACATCCATTCAGCTGCTCATGTCGATGCATCAGTGGCTTATAGGAAATGGAAAGAGTCCAATGGAGTTCAGGATGAGTATGAACGTGTAGTTACGTAAGTTCTAAATCACTTAGTTATGAATTGACAGTCTGAAGTGTAAGAAATCAACTAATTATTCTTACAGTGGTCATAAATTGAAGCGTGTAGTTGCTTAATTATTTGGTAGGACTTTATTTTATGGACGCCCTTTGAACGAATTTTTAAGTGACTTTGGAACTATTAGCCAATCAAAAGAGAGTTAGTATAAAGTGAAAACATTAATACAGCGGATATTCTTCTTTTATATGGTTTAAAAACTTGTTAATGTTAGCTAAAGGTTCAGATGTCCTGAAATCATAGTGCATGCGGTTAGGGCTAAGGTTAGAGTTAGGGTTTAGGGTTAATGTTAGGGTTTAGGTTAGGGTTAGGGTTATGGTTAGAGTTAGGGTTTAGGGTTAATGTTAGGGTTTAGGTTAGGGTTATGGTTAGGTTTTAGGGTTATGACGCACTACTACAAAAGCCACAGCCAATGTTACTGGTGACTTCATAATCCAATTTGCAACAATTATCATGATTTGCCTTAGTTTGAGTCGTGATCGAGCGAAGAAAGTGCCAGTTCGAGCAGATTTTATCTTCTAACATATAGTACAACGAAATCTAATGTCATCACGGTAGTCTGCACATCATGCCAGTCACAGATACAGGAACTTCTTAAGAGTCCCATCTGTTGTAGTCGCTCAAAAATCACCTCTTCTCTAAAATCTGCTGTAAAACGATCGAATGTGAGCACCTCGTATTGAACTTAGCGCCGTGACCTTGAAATTCCTCAAACGCTTCTGATTGGCTCGTCCATAAATTAGTCTTACCAATTAATTCATCCCAATCATAGACATATCTAGCATCGTAGTTTGTGTGCTTTCACTACGAGGTTTAGCTCCTCATTATGAACATCGTTTACTTGCCTAGTGCCACGAACAGGAAATGCCGAGTTTAAAATCCTTAGTATTATTCTTCATGTTTCTGTGAAATGTATTCACTTCCACATAACATACTCGTCTGATGTTGAAGAAGCAGTTAATCATCCACGTAAGCTGCAAATCTTCGTTATTTCAGAAGTGGCTTCACATAGATTCAACTGGCAGCTAGGCAACCTACCTTAAGTTTGAGCAAACCGTGTTGCTTTTCATTGATCTAGGTGAAAAAGTTAAGATTTACTTAGATAGTTTATAGAACTTTTCAGTGATCTATCCTACATGTCTTACTTTCATCCAGCACAAGTTATTGTCATGGATACCGACAGCATCGTTTCCCTTCATCCATGTTTTTGCACTTGGATCAACGAAAGCATCCAAATTTAGCTCATTTATCAAATGCAGGTTATTGGGCTGTGGAGCACTCTGTTAAAATACTGATTGTCCAAACAGAAGTGCCATATGTAATGGTGAGTCAAAAATAGTTTAGAAGGTAGTTTTGTGCAAATAAAGAGTCATCTCCCTCTCGAAATGCTCTCAAATGGTCACGCATATACAGCCACTATCAGCGAAGTCCTACTCACCTCCTCGTGGCGGGTGTGTTGTATACGAAAATAAGAGGACAAAAGGCGAATGTCCGGCAGTTTAACCGGGTTGGTGGATATGAAGGATTCACCTAGGGAAGCTGGTCAGCCCTGATTCCAAACCAATGGTGTGCATGGGCTCCAGTATCCTGAGGGAACAAATAGCGTATAAACCTATTGTTGGTCACCGGCTTCCATAGGACTGCATCTCCTGACGTTGTGGATTAGACCTTTAGGTCGAAGGCTCCGGGTGTGGCCTCCTAAGAAAACCACCTGCTTCGGTTTGGGCACCCAGGCAGTATCACGGCCCACATACACATCAAGTGACTTGTGTGGCGCATATCTATTCGATGCCCCTTTGTACTGATATTTACGTGTTCAAATAAATAATAATAGACGTCACACTTTCTTTTACCCCAATTTTTAAGCAATTTTCTAAATATCGTTTTCCTGCTTTAGATCACTCGTTAAAGCGACTCACGAGGAGGCTAAACAAGATGGAGTTACTGTTCCCACCACCCTTGAGGAATACTGTGTTAGTGGTAGACCTGCGTCTAAAACATTTTATCAATGTGATGATGTAGATGGACTGTCTGATTATGATGATCATGACGAATACTATGGCTCTGATGATGATGACAATGATAATGTATCAATTGATATGAAGGAAGATGAAGAAATCAACCCTACCAAGGAGTCTCAATCCTCTACAAAGATAGATTCTGGAGTAGAAGAACCGTGTGTAAGTAAAACGGGGAAGTCTGGGGAATCCTCGAAAGTTGTCGATCATAGAATATCAAATGAATGTAGCCGTGTTACGTCACCAAGCTAGTTTATTCGTTTCGTCTTCGAGTGTGGGAGTCTTACTGGTCACTTTATACTTTTTCTTGACTGAAGCAGCAAGGATTATTAAAGTAATCCCTATGGTTTATAAATGTTGTGTTCGTAGAATTACTTATTCAGATTCACATTTTGGGTGACTTATAGTGTTTTGCATTCAATGGTCTATATTCTATCGAATGTAAAGGATTTTGGTTAGTTTTGTAAATCAAAGTTATTTTGCTATTTTGGACACTATGTACATGACATCGACTACTATCACTACTGTTTTCGCTTATCTTTACTAGTTTGTAACAGTCAGACATATACACAAATACAATTCTTGTACATTTTTTTACTTGTATTGGGCTTCCATTTTTCATTGATCTTTGTCTTTAAGTTTATCACTACTTAGAGAAAAGCGTGAACTAAGCCTATGCACAAAATTTATCATATTGTTTGCATGGTCACATTTAGTATTGTTCGCGACTTTTTATACTTTTCTCACGTTACTGTTCAAATTGCACAAAAATTGAGGACTTCAATTATCTCCTTAGCTTGTATATTTGAGATCTTTTCAGCTGTTTGGCATTTTACTTATCGGTTGATGTTGAATGACATGGGTTTCGCCAAGGGAATCGGTTTGTGTCTATTTTTGTATGTTCCGTCATGTTTTAAGTATGGTAAGGATTTTTATCGCAGTAGGACAATTTGGTAGTATCTGATTACAGAATGAAACCATTCGCCTCAGGTAGCACAAAACCACCTAAATATTTTAAACGTAACAGTGTATCAGGCGCAAAGTTAATCACATCGAAAGTCATAATGTTGGATTGTGTGACGTTATTTCCCGTAATCAGTTGAAAGATGCATCTAAGAGGCCTTAAGATATTTCATCTTAAATACAGTTGATAAACGAGAATCGGCTTGTAGGACAGGTTTATCTAATCATTATATCTTTTCTAAGTAGAGTATTCGTATCATTCTTTGAAAACAGATGGATATGGATAACTGTTTCTCAGGTTTCACAATCCCAGATCTGTATTCAGTTGAATACTAGGATTAATATAATTTAATTGAATTAACTCAAATAGCCTTGTTTAGTTAGGTCAGAGTGATTATTCATGGTTATTGAAGGAAAGGATTTCAATTCGCATAAGCTCGAACAGTTATGGATAAAATTCGTTTATGTGGAATTGCACTAAATCGTTTGGAACATTTGCTTTTAATGTAAAATCTTTTCAGTCTGATAAGTGTCATTTATCAAACAATTGACCAAGATTAGTAGTTGGGTTTTCGTTGTGGATTGTGATTATTACATGTTTATCTACTCATTCTCTCAGGATCCTCAGAATTCACGTATTAGTTTAAATCTAGATTTTCAATGATTTAGTGTGAAAATTCTCACCAACTAATTTTATCGCAGTCTTAATGAATAAACGTTATGTCCTTGTGGTGGTGGTGGTGGGGGCAATTGGTTACTTTTAGGTTTATATACATTATTAGTTACATATAAATTACTTGCTTTCTCAAATATAAACTCAGAACCGCTAAACTTATGGATACTAGTAAACTTATCAGGCTGCGAACAAGTTAAGGAGCCAAGGTAACTTAAATGTAGACTGACAACAAGTCTACACAATGATCGTGAGCAGTTGTGTGTAGTTAAGGCAAAAGTGATGGGAAAAGCGGCGGCGGTGGGTGACAACAAAATTACTGAAGAAATATGTACTAAAAATCCGGGAGTTAGTGAAACGACTTCTCAGAAAGACTAGACATTGATCCACTCTCAATACAGAATAATGCGACGATGGATAGAACAGTTTAACTACTCTCCAGCTACACTTCGATTGCCTACTTTCACCAAGCAAGCTGAATGAGATGTCGACCAAAGCCTCCTGACTCTTGAAGAATTAGAAAAAAGCATGGTTAGTTCGAAACAAGGGTGTGTAGCAAGCCCTGATGGGTTGACCCCCTAGAGTTCGTTAAGGGTGGCAGTCCAGTTCTGGCTGTTAGATTGAGATATTAGTTGGAGACTGGGAATCGGAAGTAATCCTGTCTGACTGGTCTCAATCACTGATTGTTCTAGTCTATAAGCAGGGATAAAGTCTTCGTGTGATAAACCACAGAGAAATCAGATCAACTAACAGCGTTTAAAATATCAGCCTCCGTAGTCACCCAACCCCCAACTAGGGCATATGAAGAGCAAAGTCAAGAAAACTAGTGGTTTGAGATTTGGGTGGGGATGTGTAGATCGAATATTCACCTCTTTCCAGGTTGTGGAACACACACCTATCAACTCTCAACCACAATTGTATTTCCCGACTTTGAGGCAGCGTTCGACTCTGTTGATTGACAAGTTTTATGGCAGTAGTTATTACTGAAAGGCGTACTGAAGAATCACACTAACCTTGTACAAGCTATCTACTAGAATACTACTGGTGGAGTGAAAGCTCATAGCGAATCGTCATCGGAAGTGATGACCTCAATTGGTGTTCGTCAGGCTATCCACCTTCCTCATTTTAATCTAATTTTGTGATATTGACTTTTTCTGGAGATAACGTTCTCATCATCTGATTTTTCGGAGGTTAATCTTCTACTAAGAGATTCACTTGTTGACTTAGAATACACAGATGATTTAGTTCTGTTTGATGAGAACGTTTACAAAATTCAGAGTCTTCTGACCACGTTAAGCAAAAAAGGATTGATATTTGGTATGTGTTTCTCTCCTTTCAAGTACAAAATGTTTTTTCAGTGGCTGGTCGGCATCAACAGTTGAACTAATAATAGGTAATGAATTGGTTGAGTTTGTCGATGGCTTCATTTAGCTCGAAAGCTTATTCATCTCAGTTTGATTGGTGTCGGAAGAAATCTCGACATGCATTCTAAAAGCTCGACTGACTTTTGCTAACTTTTGGCTTGGATGAGATATAGAAACCAAGACATGTAATTAATTTTTGGAAATAGTGACCAGCTACCGCTGGCGTGGTTGTGTACAAGACTGCCGCTCCTTTTGGAGTACCTATCTGGACTTTGACCATACCCTGGTCTGCGCCAATCTTACCTTACTTTTCAGTGGACAACGAAGTGACCGCCACCAAAGAATTGATGTCAGCAAGTTGGTTGTACCTAAGTATCGAACCGAACTAGCTACCATTCCACCGAAAAGTATGGATGAGCATTGGTTGCAACTTCATGACGCCGTGAAAATGGCGAGTAAAGTCGCTTGCGGCTCATTACAACTCATCGAAGCCCGTCGGTCGATCCCAGGTGGCCGTGAGTTTGACCACAAACGAAGGATGTTACTTAATAAAATCTGGCAAAGCTTGCGTAAGGACCGAGAAACCTGGTGGTCGAAGCGTGCTAATGATCTGTAAGCAGCAACTGCATCTGGTAACTATCGGGAGCTCTTTCAACTCACCCGAGCCACTGGCAGAAAGAAGTCTGGTGTGAGCGAAACAATCTGTGAGGATGACGGGATGCCAATCACCAACATCTATCGACGTCTTGGACGATGGGCAATTTTTCGAGAGGCATTTCAACTGGTCTGTAGCCCCAACAGCACCGATCAGACTGTCCCTCCCACCATGGCCTGTGACGACTGGTTCTCCAAATAAGGTGGAAGTCCGCAAGGAACTCCATCTCTTGAAACGCTAGAAATCACAGAGCCCAGATGACTTGTCTCTGGCCCTTTTGTAAGGTGTTGGTGACTTTGCGGTTAAGGGACTGACTGCATTGTTTACAAAGGTTTGATAGTCAGAGAGTGTTCCAACATCATGGAATAAATCGATGGTTTTCCCTATCTTTAAAAAGGGTCTACTCCGTTTCTCTAACAACTATCGGGGGATAAGTCTACTTCCGATTACGTCTAAACTATTAGCTTCGGTCATAATTCGTAGGTTGTTCAAAACCCGAGAAAGATTGACTCGCGAGGAGCAGACTGGTTTTCGTTCTGGTCGAGGATGTATTGATCTTATCTTCACCCTCTGCCAAATGTTAGAACACCGTCATACTTTTCAAAGGCCAACAATCGTAGTGTTTCTTGACATCTGGGCATCTTTTGATTTGTTAGACAGAACTGTTCTCTGGGATTGTCTATTGAAGAAGGGTGTTCCTGAGAAGTTTAATAACATCTTGAAAGCCTTATATACAAACACCTCGGGCAGAGTGATGACATTGCTTCATTCAAGCAGTAGTATCAAGAAGGATTTCTCACTCTTATCATTCATCTTCAATAATGCCATCTGGAAGTTGCTCTGATCAATGTCAGTAGTGGTGGCGTGGATCTGTTGTCTGGAAAAAGACTTGACTTTGGGAATGTGGATGATATTGTCTTACTGTGCTATGATGCCCAAGCCATGCAATCCTCACTTAATCAGTTGGCAATTAGTATCCGTAGGTATGGTGTGTGCTTCACACCTTCTAGGTGAAAAGTACCTTTACAAGACTGGCAGGACCTGAACCTGGACTCACCTTGTGTGGTTAACAGATGAAGGTAGTAAGGAATTTTATGTATCTTGGTAACTGCATAAGTGCTGGTGGTGGCTTGATTGATGAGGTCAATTCACGTTTAGTGAAAGTCAGGGCGGCTCATGCCAATCTGGGCCATCTTTGGCACCTTCCTAGTGTTAGTTTGTTTTTAAAAGGTCGGATCTACAACGCGTCGGTGAGAGCAGTTCTGCTCTATGCTTGTGAAACCTGGCCTCTCCGAGTTGACGATATTGGAATACTCTCCGTGTTTGATCATCGTCGCCTCCGAAGGATTGCTGACATCCAGTGGTAACACCATGTTACTAATGCAGAGGTTCGGTATCGTGTGTCCGTGCACAGCGACGACAATTCAGTTGGTGCCACTATTTCGAAACATCGACTTAGGTTGCTTGGATATGTTCTAAGAATGTTTTCCTGGCGAATTCCATGTCTTGCATTATTTGCTGATGCTGGGACTGGTTGGAAAAAGCGGAGAGGTGATCAGTGTGTGGCATTGTGTCGTGGTATGAAAAAAAAGCTGTACAGGACTGGCTTCTGTTAGTCCTTCACGACTACCTGGTTAGGGTCTTAGAGATGGTACAACACAGTGGCTAGAGACGTTATTAGCAGCACTTGACCCCGTAAATAGAGAGGTTCTGTGGCATTGTCTGTCATTGAAAGGTGTACCTCAAAAGTACATAAACCTTGTGAAGGCTCTTTATTCGAACACTACCAGTCGAGTCAGAGCTCATGGCGAACTGTCATCTGATTTTCCAACCTCAAGTGGTGTTCGTCAAGGCTGTCCACTTTCTCCATTCTTGTTTAATTTCATCACAGACATGCTGATGGGAACGACGTCCTCGTCGAATGAATTTTGGGTATTGATCTCCTTCCAGGAGGTCCACTTATCGACTTAGAATACGCTGATGACATAGTCCTGTTTAGTGAAGACGCCGATAAAATGCAGAGTGTTTTGGTAGCACTAAGCAAAAATGCCAGGATATTTGAAATGCATTCCTCCCTTTCTAACTGCAAGTTGTTGCTTCAGGACTGGCTTGCGTCAACACCTGAACTAATGATAGGAAGTGAAGTAGTCGAACGCGTTGACAACTTCACTTATCTTGGAAGTCTGACCAGCCCTAATGTGTTAGCGTCTGACGAAATCACTGCACGGATTCAGAAAGCTGATTTAGCTTTTACCAACTTACGTCACTTATGGCGAAGATGAGATGTCCGTGGATCAATTAATGAATGAGTATACTATGCGGCAGTTCGTTCTGTCCTTATTTAAGGTCGCGAGACGTGGCCATTAAGAGTAGAAGATACTCGTAAGCTACTAATATTTGAACACAGATGTCTTAGAAATATTGCTCACGTCTTCTGGGATTACCGGGTAAGTAATAGTGAGGTTAGACGCAGGGTATTAGGGAGTGATGGTAAATCAGTTGATGAGGTTGTGAATCTTCATCAACTGAGATGGTTGGGCCACGTGTTACGTATGTCTGGACACCGGTTACATCGATGCGCAATGTTGACTAGTGTTGGGGATGGTTGGAAGAACGTTAGGAGTGGCCAAACCAAAACATGG